TCCATGGGGAGGAATTGCATAAATCCTTCACTGTTTAGGTTATAAAGTGGCCGAACTTTTGCAAATTTGTCATCTGCTTGCAGATTACCTTTGTTTGCCAGATGGAGATATTTCATGTTTTGTGTCAAATCTGTTTCGATTCATTGTTTGACTGATGTCTGTATTGTGGACATCTTGTTCAGGATCCCGATACAGGTGTCTTCGTGGCAATGGATTATAGCCAGAGCTAAACAGAATAGCGAGAAAAGTACGCATTTCAGCCGCGGTTATACTGAATGAGTGGTCACTTTTTGAACGGGCGTACTCAATTGTCTGCCTTACCATGTGCTCACCGACAGCGTTATCAAAGAAGCGTTCAAATGGTTTCAGAAGGTTTTGAATACAAATCGGTTTTTGTAGGATTTTATTGTGGCAACGTTTCGCTCTTGACACAAGAGCTTCTTCAGGCCAGGTGAATCGGTACACAATTGGCTTAGCTTTTGCTGCGAAAGTAAGGGTGAAGATTGCAAGAAATAACATGAACCATTGGATAATAGCGTTACAAGTCAATAGGTCGAGTAGCCATTCTACTGCAATAACAAGCATCAAGCGTTTCTCATTGATCCACGTCACCGGTCGTTCACGTATGACGCATTCCCTTCCTGCAGCTGCTGATTCACCCTCCGACCTGAGTTCGTCCGCCGACACCTACGATAACTGCACCCCATCCGTTCTGTTCACAGTTATTAGTTTTAGTAATCTCGATCGCCTCAGCACTCAGACTTTGCCTTGTTGCTGGTAATCCCCTCTTAAATATCTCGACATTGTCCTAATCAATTGTCCCAATTGTCCCAATCAATCTGGCGCATGTACGGCCCTCGCTGAATCTCTTAGTAGGACCCTGTATTCAGGCTCACTTTTCGGTGAACGCTAAACACAACACAACACATAAAAGTCCATGATTTCGTCAGATTGCGAGGTACTGCCCGGTTGCCCAAACCGAAGTAGGGTGTTGACTTAGGGGACACCACCCCGAGCGTTTGGCTGATTAGTCTGCCCGCAAGGCAGCGGAGCGAATTCAGGGAATCGCGCCCATTGGAAGTCGGTGACTGATTGCTCAGTTCATACGCCTTTCGTTTGTTCCTTTGTCAAACAGGGGCCCAATGCTCTCCAGAATTACAGCATGAAGTTGCTGGAATACAATGCTTCGCCAGGATGAAGCAAAGGGCACTGAGTTTATTTAGTGGCGAGTCACGTCTGTCACGCCACAGTGTTGTTAAACGGAGATATGTGGCTTTTTATAGGGAGAACGCTTGCCAGGCGAAAACCCACCACGTCCTGGAACACTGCCGCCGAACCATTTGCTGGAACGGGAAAATCCCGAACCACTCAGCTGGCACCACGAGGAAGTTGTTCGGCAAGCCAGCCGAGATACCTAAGAAAGTGCATTGCCAGCAACAAGCCAAAGGCTGATTGCTGAGGCGATTGAGATTACTAAAACTAATAACTGTGTGAGCAGAACGGACCGGGTGGAGTTATCGAACACGTGGCCACCTGTGTTAACCCGGTCAGTCAAAAAAGGTGTCGGAAGACGAACTCAGGTCGGAGCGTGAATCAGCAGCTGCAGGAAGGGAATGCGTCATACGTGAACGACCGGTGACGTGGATCAATGAGAAACGCTTGATGCTTGTTGTTTCAGTAGAATGGTTACTTGACCTATTGATCTGTGACACTATTATCCAATGGTTCATGTTATTCCTTGCAATCATCACCTTACTTTCGCAGCAAAAGCTAAGCCAATTGTGTACCGATTCACCTGGCTTGAAGAAGCTCTTGCGTCAAGAGCGAAACGTTGCCACAATAAAATCTTACAAAAACCGATTTGTATTCAAAACCTTCTGAAATCATAAGATCCGAGTCGGTTCCAAGTATATTCCGAGATATTGAAGCGTTTAAATGATTTATACAATGTAAGCTCCTACTTTAAAAAGTCAGGTTCACACGCAGTCCATTGTCTTTGGGTCTATGATCCTAGACTTAAGTCTTCTTTCCTCCATAGTCTGGATCTGGTATCCTTTTGAGGTTTTCTTAAGGAAAAAATATAGGGGCAGCAAGTTCCTTTCGTGAACTTATATTGCCACTTTCTGGTTCCTGTTCGCATGGTTTGCCATCCACAGTGACTGGAATTACGGATCTACACTGAATAACTGCCTCGCTGACAAGAAATCCAGCATCCTGAATCACTTCATTGATATCATCTTCATAATAATTTAGTCCATTACCCGGAGGCGTAATGTAAACCTTGGCTTCGAGGACACCGTCAGCTTCTTCTCTCATGGTAATAACATCTTGTGCAGAATAACTTTCCAGATTCCTGTAAATAAAAACTGATGTCACCAGGTAAACTTTAGTCTACAAACATTTTTATCAATGACGATGAAATTAAAACGGAGAAAGCATGTTACTACAGTGCAATGTTTCATGCAGTAATAGTATTAGCCCAATATATCGAAAAATTTATAACCAAATGCCCAAATTTTTCAATCATGTTTCCAATAACTTGGTCAGTTCCAAAGTTCACGTCAAGACACCGTTTCTTGCTGGCGCCCTTTAAAAAGGACAGATGGTTGCAGCTCATGCATGCAATAAATATCGCACATTTTACATGATTACATGTGATAATGTGTTCTGGACATATAATTTAACACAAATTTGGCAAAAATTTGGTGCTTTTCAATGAATGATTACTTAAAGTACACTCACCTTTTTGGATTTTCCATTTTGCTACCAATTTGTGATCACACAAGAAAGGGAAACATTTTTCGAAAATAAACTTCGACTGGCTAAAATGAGTTCAATATAATGAGGATTAGTGTGTTGTCTAACTTTACAACCAAAGAAATCATGAATAATAGATTAATTCAACGTCATAAATCACATTTTAGTAAGTATTTTTTATAAAGGATGCCAACGGGAAATGGGTTAATAACCTATCAGTTATCCAGTACGAGAGAGCAGCTGCTGTGACGGAATGACGCAGTCATTTCCTTGGAACGCCCTTCATCGCAGCTTTTACGACAAAATTCACACTAGTCCTAGTCTAGAATGACCAGTACAAGAATCTGGCTTTGAATGAAAAAGTGTCAAATTATGTCTGCTTGGGAACAGGCGCTTTCGTTCTCGTGTTTGGACCGTACCACTACAGTTTATGCGTGGACAGCTTAGTCGAAACCTCTGCCTGGCTTGTGTCGTCGACTGGTCTCATGAAAACGGTCCGCCTAAGGGTGAATGTCTTCAAAACACTTCCTGGGATTGGTCGAAGGCATTGTTCCCGAAAACGTGGCTGTTACACTGTACTTATTGATTGGAATAGGAACGTCCCACCACACTCGTTATCAACAAAAAATTCTGTTATCGAGGAGTAGTGGGGGGAGTTGAATGGCATAGGTAGAAATTCGTCATATCTAGACTCACTCAGACAGCCATCACACAACCGGAAAAGCACTGTACGCGTGTTCCATCTTTTCGGAAATCGTCAGCAGTGCGCATTCCATCGGACCCTGGTAGAGCTCGAACCCGCAACTCGACTGCTGCCATTCCTTGGTTGAGACCACTGAGCTACGTGGAACGGCAAAGGCCATCGTGAATGAGTTACTAGAGGTGATATAGCGCCACTCACTATCCTCTGTAATCAGTACGCAGACCAAACTGCTTAGAATGCTATAGGTTAATTGGCGGCTTAATTTTGGTGAGTTCATCGCTTGGTGAAGGGGCTGCCTTGCCCTCTGCACGGTAGTAACGTGCAAGTCATCGGATAGTGAGTGGCGCTATATCACATCTAGTAACTTATTTACGATCGTCGTTGCCGTTCCCCGTAGCTCAGTGGTCTCAACCACGGAATGGCAACAGTCGAGTTGCGGGTTCGAACTCTACCAAGGTCCGATGGAATGTGCACTGCTGACGATTCCCGAAAGGTTGAAACGCGCGTACAATGCTTTCCCGGGCGTGTGATGCCTGTCTGAGTGAGTCTAGACGTCACGAATTTATTCCTATAAAATTTTGTTATGTTCAGTAAGCGCTTCGAATCTTACAGTTTGTGGATCAGCGGTCCAGAGCTGAATGCTACGAGAGCTCCCTTCGGTAGCGAATGGTCGACCCTGAGATATCGTTATTTTCATAAGCGTTGGTTCAGTCGTCGGTATGGCATATCCCCTGCAGATGGAAGCACATATGATCTGTTTGTTACTGGGTTCTGGTGCACACATCGTGTGATCGGATTGCGACACACAGATGATGTGCCATCAGAACCATGACGAAATAAAGGGGGGAAACGAAGTACAACATGAAGAAAACTGCTTTTTTCGGTTTTACACACGTCGCTTTGGTAATTTTTTGTGTTTTGGAGTTTTATGTTCCATGAGACGTTAACTAATAGATAACACGGTTGAACAGCACTGTCTTCACTGATACCGGTTGCACGCCATAGCCTCCAACGTTTCGAACCACTGACAGTCCGAGTCGCGTGGTCCCCATCCTGGAAGGCGGACCCGTCCGACGGATGCTAAGCTTGAAGTTGCATTCCTCATGCTCCTTCTCCACGTCATTGGTTATCCACCGCGACACTTTTTCCAATCGCTTCCGGGGAGCGCAAATAACGCTCGGCGGGAAAAGTGATAGCCCGACATGCGCAATACGTGGCCGAGACAACGCATGCTGTGTTGGAGAATAAAATTCTGAAGACTTGCACTACTCGCTCGAAGCACTCGGTCTCGGACTTCTGCATTGCTTACGTGGTGTTACCACCACACCCGAGCCATCCTTCGTAGACAGCGATTGTCGAAGACTGACAACCGCTTCATGTCTTCCGAGCGAATAGGCCAAGTCTCACAGCCGAACGAGTACTGCACCGACGGAAGCATTGTACACCCTGCTCTTGTCCTTGAAACTGACCTCACGACGACGCCGTAGGTGGCTCATTTAGATGAATGCAAAGTGGGCCTTTGCAATCCGGTGTGAGACTCCATCCCCAACACCGCCACGAGCCATGATGCAACTCCCTAGATAAGTAAAGCAAGGGACTTGTTCCAGAACATATCCAGCAATAGTGAGCGCGGGTTCAGGCATCTGTCAATCCTGGAGCAGCGTTTTACATTTTTCCGAAGCGAAACGTAAGCCATACTTAGACGCCTCCATTGCTAAGCGGTCCAAAGTGCTCTGGACGATTTATCAGTCGTCTCCCAGCAAGGTGATATCATCGGCCTAGTCCAAGTCCGTGACTCTGTCTCCAGGGAGGAGCTCAACACCACAGTTATGGACACTTTCCAGTGCTCTTTGGAGGACATCTTCGATGGAGAAATTGAAGAGGAAAGGTGAAATAGCGCAACCTTGGTGAACACCGCTGGTCACAGCAAATGAAGAAGAGAGCGTGCCGTAAGCCCCGACTTTGCCCGACGTGTGGTTGTAAATTTTTTTCAGGATGGTTACAGACTTGTCAGGCACACCTTTCTTCAGCAAACAGTTCCACAACGCAGATCTATCCACTGAATCAAATGCCGCTCTGATGTCCAAGAACACTACGATTGTTGGCCGCCGGTGGATGTAACGGAGTTCGAGAAGTTGGCGGAGCGTGAAGATTTGCCCGATGCGGCCGCGGTCTGCTTGTTCTTCTCCGGGAAAACTCCTCTCTAGTCGTTTAAAGCCTGCGAAGTAGCACAGGCACAAAGATTTTGGATGCGACAGAGATCAATGAGATTCCGCGGTAGTTACGACAATCGTCGCGAGAGCCTTCTTTGTGAATCGGAACAATGCTTGATTCTCCCCATGAGTTCGAAACCTTCTCCTCAGTCCAAACTTTCGTGAACAGCGATAGGATTTCGCTGACAAGTACACTCCTGCCATCTTTGAATAGAGCCGCTGGTAGGCTATCGGGACCAGGAGCCTTGTGGCGTTTCAAAGATTGGATTGCGTCTCAGTTTCTTGCTTCAGGCGGGGGTTTGTGGAGACAGGCCTCAGCTCTAACAGGGCGATTCCAACATCAGCTTGCCCAGAGGCGGCAGGCGGCGTCACCAGAGAGGCTGAGATGGAAGCGGGGGCGTGGGTGAAGCGGTGACGCTAGCTGGTAGACCGAGTTGGAGTCCTGGAGTCGCGTTTCAATCATGCAGCAGATATCAATCCCAAGGGTATTTAGCCTACGTGCAAGTCCAGCTTGCTGACCGATCTGCAGTAGTGTGCGTAGGTTGAAGGCTGCTAGTTTGAATTGCGTTCTGGATTGCAGGAGCGCAGATGGGAGACCTCGGGACTAACAGCTATCTGTTGAGCACTGTGTGGTTGAATTGGCAGATGTCACGGGAACAGGTTCATCGGTGGAGGTGGAATTGTTCGCCGTAGAAGAATCAGGTAAAATGGGTGTGAAATGTCCGAGGGAAGGGTAGGTAAAATGGTGGCGTGTGCTTGTGAAGTTGGTATAGTAGCAGGCGTGAATAGCATCCTAGCAGTAAGAGAGCGTGTGAATGGTTGTAGTTTTAAGTCCATGGTTCTTCAGTAGCCGAGATACTACCCGGTTAACTAGGCCGAGGTAGTTAGGTTGTCTTAGCGAACCACCGCCCCGAGCCTTAGGCCAAAGGGCCTAACCCACAATGCAGCAGGACGAGATGAGGGAATCGCATCCATTGGGAGCCGGTGACTGGACACTCAGTTCATACGCCTTTCGGATGACGATGAGTCATGCCAGGGGCCCAACACTCCCGAAGTCAGAGACAAGATCGATGCTCGGATTGCTTGCGGGTGTACAATGTCTCCAAAGGAGACAAGGGACAGTGAATTTATTTAGTGGCGAGTCACATCCGCCACGTCGCAGTGTTATTAGACGGACATATGTGGCTTTTCATAGGGAGAACGCTTGCTAGGCGAAAACCCACGACGTCCTGGACCAATGCCGCTGAACCATTCGCCGGAACGGGAAATTCCCGAACCATCCAGCTGGCACCACGACGAGGTTGCTCGGAGACACACACTGTCAGGTTGAACCATGATCTGCCACCTCGACCCGTAAGACCTCATCCGAAGTGGAGAGTTTTCACTGTTACTCGCTGCCGACACCTCACCTCACAGCCTATTTCATATTTAAACTTCTCAAGTAGTGATAAATGGAGTTTAAAGTGCAATTCAGAGGCTCTTGGATAATGCCTTTCGTAGCAGGCCATTGATCACCGTCTTCCACAGACTTGGTTTGTTCTGTCTTCCAATAATTTCAACTAACTGTTTCGTTTTCTCGCCTACGATGTCATTTATCTGCCGAACACTAACCTTATCAGACAACTTTGTGTCACGCAACGACAGTCTCTAGGGAACTTGGCTCGAAATCCTAGTGAACATCTTTCATTGTTCCTGAGTTCACTTGTTCGCCGAGCTTCGGAGTTGGGATGCAAACGTTTCATCACCAAGCGAGGTGACTTCGTCAGTGCGCTGCTGGGTCCAATCTAATCCGCTGACTTGTTCGTCGATTTGTGATCGATCAGCAAGTGACTTTTGAACTGGCCTCGATCTGTGCCCGTGACCTTCACCGGTCCGCCCAACTCTGATAGATACGGGCGATCCGTGGGATGGTTTTGCCCCGGCTGTTGTTGATGTGTTGTTGATGGCTCGTTTAGCCGACCACGACGGTTTCTTCTTTTTTTAAGGTGTTTTAGTTCCCTCCGTCTTAACGTTTGGTACACTGGATCAATCTCTATGTGCATGTTTATCGAATGCTGCGTTGAGTACCATGCTTCGAGGAACTCTCTTCCTTTCCGTGTCTCTCCTTTTGCTAGGACTTCTGTGTTGTTCCAATCGAAGTGATGTCCTTCTTCGTCTGTATGTATTGAAATCAGTGAGAGAGCGTAATGGTTCTTACAAGCTCTCTTATGCTCTTGTATTCTTGTTGACAGTCGTCTTCCTGTTTGACCCACATAGTTTTTATCACAATCTTGACATCGTATCTTGTAAACAACATTTCGTCTTTCGTGTGTTTCGGGTCTAGCTTTGGGGTTCGACAGAGTTCTCCTCAATGTGGCAGTTGGTTTGTGGGCCACTGTAAGACCGTGCCGTTTGAATAATCTTGCTGTCATCTCGGAGATGTTCTTTACATAGGGTAGAACGACTCTCTTTGTTGTCATCTGATCAGGCTGAGGGGTCGTAACTTTGTTGTTTAGACATCGCCGGAGGAAGCTATGTGGATATCCATTTAGATGAAATGATCTGAACAGATACATCTCTTCTTTTCGTTTTGCCTCAAGAGTGCTGCAATGTGTTTCAATTCTACGAAAGAGAGTTCGCACGCAGCTTATTTTATGACATTTCGGGTGATTGCTGGAGTAGTTTAGAATCTGGTCGGTGTGTGTTTCTTTCCTGTAAACTGATGTTTGTAACTCTCCGTCAATCGTCCTGGTGACTAACACATCCAAGAATGGGAGCTGGTTATCTATTTCAGACTCCATCGTAAAATGAATGTCTTCAATGATGTTATTGAGTAACTGGTATGCAGCCTCTACTTGACTACGTTTCAGTATCACGAATGTATCATCAACGTATCGGATCCACAACTTTGGGTTGATTATGGGCAGTGCGTTCTCTTCAAGTTTCTGCATTACTATCTCTGCCACGAGCCCTGACACCGGGGATCCCATTGGCGCTCCTTTCACCTGCTCATAAATCTGTCCATCAAAATCAAAGTAGGTCGCGAGGCATAGGTCAAGTAGCTTGCACAGATTTTCAGTCGTCAGCTTTCCGATTGTTTTCTCACTTTGGTCCAGCCGTTCGGTGATTGCTTGCTTTGCGGTCTGTAAATTGACAGACGTAAAGAGTGCGGTCACGTCGAACGATACCATTAACTCGTCATGATCTACTCGTATACCTTTGAGCTTCTCCAGAAATTGCTGTGCACTATGTATAGAGTGCTGTGATCCCATTGTTAGGTGCTTGAGACGTCTCCACAACTCTCTCGCTAGGTTGTATGTAGGTGTGCCTGGGAGCGATACGATTGGTCTTAGTGGTACATCGTCTTTATGTATCTTTTGAAGCCCGTAGAATTGTGCTATGTTCGGATCGTGGGCCATCATTCTAGCACGGTCTTCCTTTGTGATCTGGTTCCGTTCCTGGGACAATTTCAACGTTCTGTTTATTCTGTTTGTCAGTTGCGTTGTTGGATCGTTTTCGATGCGGCGGTAGGTTGTTGTGTCACTCAGAAGCTGTTTCGCTTTTTAACATAATCCTCTTTATCCAATATAACCGTCACGCGCTAATTGTCCGCAGGTAAAATGACAATGGATTCATCGGCTTTCAGGACTTTTATTGCATTCCTTTCTTGTTGAGATAGAGAATTGTGCTGTTTGTTACGTGCTACGACTGGAATAATTGTATTTCTTAGTTGTTTCTGTGTATCATCGTCAAACCCGCTGAACTAGATCGCGCTTTCGAATCCGCATGGGAACTCTGTAGTCATAGCACCCTTTAAATTGTAGTTGAGCCCTTTGGTGAGGACTTGTTTTCTGCTACTGAAAGTGGCCTATTGGATAGATTTCGAATCCAGTTTTCTTTGTTAGCTTCGTTATTGTCGTGAGTCAATTTTAAATACTTGTTCTTTAATGTCTCTTGTTTTCTCCTTCCAGTATTCTCCGCTCTACGTCCAATTGCTAACATGACTCCCTCTGTTAACTGTTGTTCCATCACTCAGACAACTAGTTCAATGCTCGTTGATACATCACTCATATTTCTTGATACGCTTGTGGGCGTCCGTTATCATGATGCGCACCATGTGTTTCCCAAGTTGTCGTGCAACTGTCTATGCTTGTGGATGGTTAATCGGAGGTCTGTCGCTGACGCTGCGAGGAAGAGTATCATTGCACAAACAATCATGAAGAAAAGTCAGTTGCTGCCGTGTGGAGGCATGTCTGCATGCAAAATCCTCCCAGCGGCGAGCAGTTCGGAGCGTTTCGCGCCCATAATTGTTCAAAATGACTTATTGTACCAAAGCTATTCCCTTGTGCATAGATGTTAAAGGTATGAAGTTATACGTTTGGGGTCATTACAGTTCATCTCGATTTATCAACTACGTGGGTCGATCAGGCCAATCCCGAACTAGTTTTTAGGTTAAAAACCGAATCCCAAGGCGGATATTATGTATACAGTAGAAAGTACTGACTTTGTCCTCTTACAGCTAGGAGGAACTACTCCCATACACTATCCAATATAAGACTATTTAAGATGACGGACAAGAAGATGATCCTGCTGTTAAACAAAATATTGTGCTAATATGTCCGCTGATGGAGGCATAACAGCGGTTGAAATTTACAGCTATCTTCAGTCACCGTACGGTGATAAGACACCCAGTCGTAGTAGAACATTTGAAGGCGTGAGCGCTTCAAAGGTTCCCGTGCGTCTAACGATCCCGTACTAGGTGGGTCACAGCCCACAGCTCTCTCCTAGGAACATTCTCCACATCAAGCATCATACCATTGACAGTGGTCACATAGCTTGTCGTGAAGTCGCAAACGTGTTTAATCTGTCGTTGGGGAAAGTGAACACGATCAGTCAAACTCATTTGTCGTTCGGTTAAATGAGTGCCACATAAGCTCCTGCCTATAGTCCTGACTTAGTACCAAGTGATTTCTCGGAAGTCAACATTTGCACAGTGATGATGGAGTGAAGCTGACTGTCCTAACGGGTTCAGACGTACTTAGAAGCTTTTCGATGCTAAGGTCTTCCAAACATTAGTGAAACGGTGGGATAAGTGTATGACTAAAGCATGTGGATGTAATGAAAAGCAAATGCAGTTTTCTTTTTTGCAAGGACTCCCGGGATGAAATCATATGATCCGTACACCGAGGTGGAGTGAATTCATGCTAATCCCAACTATTCTATTATTTGTTTTTTTGCTGATACTTCTTATTTGATTTGTTCATCAGGCCGTTGCTGCGCGTTATCAACTCCCTGTTGGTTATGGGCACGCTGGATGCAGCTGACGTTAACACGGTGTTGGCCATTCTGGATCCCAAAGCATTCTATGATTCACGCTGTGAGTTAAGACACCGTTGAGAACACCATGTCGCCTATTTTATGTGACCACTAATTCTCACCATGATATTCAATGGCACGCCAGTAAAAGTACTGTGCGCCATTGCTTCAGGCTTCCTAGGAATTGGATACAACTAACTGATCTAATCACTTCATCCACAATCCACGCCACTTCTCCCATCGCAATGTCAGTTGTTTGTTCAGTATACTTGATCAACTATGATCCGAACACCGAAGTGCGGTAGATGCAATTGCCACGGCCCACATCGTAAGCATAACAATAAGTAACACCGGTAGGACAGTGGGGTTACGTGCAAAGGGAATGTAGAGAAAATAAAAGCAAGAAGGAAATGCGTCAGACTAATCCGAACGGAACGAAAATTAACAACCAGATGAAAGAAGCCGAATGCAGGAACGCCACCGACTTCGTGACTACCGTGTCTGACAGGGTGTCCAACCATTGGTGTGGACCGTGTCGAGGCCCCCAGCCTGACTAAGTCTCTCAGATAATTTCTTCAAGCTTCTATGCCAGGTCATGGACTGGCCACCTCGAGGTTTCGCCCAGCTTGGTGCAGACACGGAGTATAATGCACCTCGAGGAAGCCAATCAACAGGAATACAGAGGACGTGGCTAGCCAACGTAAGTGACTAAGACTTATCAAACACTCGACACAGGCACCAGAAGGCTTATTGCGAAAGACCAACTGGCGGACCCCACCATTGCTCACCCAGTGTTCCCACCAAACGTGAGCAATACTTCGTAAGCACCGGTGGTCAAACACGGCCATGTGTTTAATGTATTCACTACGAAGTAGTCAGGTCTTTGACCCATACAGCAGCGTTATACACCCTACCTTTCACTGACAAACTGATATCCCGCCGTCTCCATGGATGGTTCCGCTTCTGGAACACCACACGGGCCTTGCTGATACGCGAAGTAACCACTTCAGTGATGTGACCACCAGAGGTGACACAGCTACCAAGGTAAGTGAACCGATCCACCACTTCCAGTGCCTGTTCAGAGATAGCTAAAACCGGAGGTGTGTCAGTCCAGCGACAGCACTTTGTAATTTGAAGGTGCAAAGTACATGCCGAACAGTGCAGCGATACGCACAAGTTTGTGCAGTAGTGCTTGCATAGTCAATGCATCAGACTCAAGAAAAATTATGTCGTCCGCATACCCCATTTTTGTCAGTCGGTCGCCTGGCAAAACTACCACTCTAGAATAGTCTGAAAGAACCGAGTCGTTCATGATCATTTCGATCACAAAGTTGTGGTGGAAAGGAGATATAGGACAACGCTGGCGGACCCCACTTGTCGTGGAGAACAGGGAAGAGTTTCTCGTAGACCGCAATGTCAGCTCTCGTTTACTTTTCGGCTGGTTAGCATAAACATCTTATACACTTTTCTCCGCGTTTTTATGCGTCACTCCTGGTTATTTCGGTGTTTCCTGCATGGAAGAGTGAGTAACCACTTCTGCTAGCCATTGTATGCAGGGCGACGTAGTCACTGGCGCATGGGTTTCTTCTCAAGTTTCACTGCTGGGTGCCAGCTACGTAAAGGTTGACGGCGTGCTTACTCCAACATCTACGTCGATTTATTCACTGGCTGATCTCCGACGCTATGCCCACTGGTGACCACTATGGTCACAGTCCTCGTGAGCTGAGTGCAGCTGGGGCTTGTGCACGCACTCAGTCATTAAACACAAACCTTCCAGTGGAGTGTTACTCCGAGATAATATCCTGTGCGGAATTGAAAACTAAACTACTGAAAAAGAAATGGATCTATCTATTATATAAGCGTATAGGCCTTGTATTTTTGTGTGCAAATGATTTTGTGCTATTTTGTGGAAGTATTAGTCACACTGTTGTTCAATACGTGTACGACAACAGTTTGCATGTTTTAACAATATAGTCCTCCTTTGCATTGAATGTAACTGATAGACGGATGCTTGTGATGAATGACCTGCTTACTATGTAAATGTTGTGTGCGTCTGATCGCACGTGACCTAACAAGCATATGTGCCGCACTAAAATAGGTAGTTTGTAAATTATGGCTGGTGACGGAAATAGGTCATTATATGTTTGTCTAGAAGAATTGTCCATTATGACATAATGTTGCGACTTCCGGTAATCAAAAAGATAATGAGCATAGTGAAATGCTGCTTACATCCTAATAACCAGAAATTCTATAAAGTATTTCATTACTAGCTATCCAACTGGCAGATCCCCACAACAGTACCCGCAACTGGTTCAATCAGTACACGTACGAGTACCAACTGCTCATGGGTGTCGTCTGAATCGCAATGCATCGGTCCTCTCATGCTATGGTGCCCGCTCTGGAACTTTTTCCAGCGAACCGAAATACTGTGTGTTGAAGCAAACACAGTGAATCAATGTTGTTGCCGTGAGAACGCTGTAAAGAGTGTCTTGGACAGTTTTAATGAAGATTTTGTGATTGTTTAACGACATTTAACCCACATTTTCGTGGCACATGTCATAGGCGTTGGTGTTGGCCGGTTGGGGCAAGAAGGCCATACGGCCTTCTCATGCCACTCGCCAAACTACGTGAGCAGGTGCACCAATACCTGCCCTACTAACACAATCAAAGCTCCCTGGTGGCCACTGGATGTCAGTCGTCCCCTTCGTCTTGCACGACCGCAGTAAATGCCCACTTAGGGGCTATTTCCCCGCACCTAATCTCATGCGTGTCCGTAATTTAAAGTTTATGTTGACAGACACTTGGCTCTCATTCTAACAAGCTAAGGGACCTCAGAATGGCTAGAATACACAACTCAGAAATGATTCGCTAGTTCAAACTCATCCTCACAAGTCTGTCTGTCCGGACTGGGCATTATATAGCGCCACGTTTCTCCATTATGTGATCCCGAGACACTGTGTACTCGCAAATACCCCTGCATCTTGAATCCAGCGACTCTGCGGCGTCGCGGCTATCACGTACCATGGTAGGCACTGCTCTTGTTCATAGCCGTGAGAATTTGGTCTCACACTGTATGGGAGAACAAGTAGAAAGTTAACTATGTACAACCATCGAACTATAGTCAAAAATGTTATAAAAAGTGTCTGCAATCAGTGTTAATCTAATCGTTCTTCAAGTTCTTATGTAGCATTTCAAAATGTCTGACTGACACTGGGTTCACAAATGCATAATGTCCTTGCTAGTGTCCAATCATTCTCTGAATCGAATGGTGGTGAAATGTAAACCCAACAACATTTTGCTGCATAGATTTAGCCTTCATGACTTGTTCTGGCAGATTGTTTCAAACATTTCCCGCTCTCCGTTAGAAACACAGGGGATGGGGTAATCATTTTATATCCTGGCACCATACACTTTGACCGGTGTCCGCGGGTGTTGCATGGCTGTGAATTTTTAGTCGGGCGATCGGCACCCAAACTACCACATTAACATTTGAAGCCGAGCGGTACAAAGTTTAGCTTTCGAGTAGACCGCTTTTCTATCCAGCCTAGCTGGCAGTTTAGTTCTTCACATGTCCACCACAACCGATCCTGTGTACAGTTGACACCTGAACTTGTTCTTTTGAGCGATCTCAGGAACAAAAGATTCAACATCTGACCCACCCTTGTCTTTCTAAACGTGAAAATAAGCTGCAGATGTTTCACGCTGTCAAGGGTCCCGACCTAATTTTGTTTTACGGATCATCCTATTGCTTAGTGATTTTCGGTGATCGTTTCATGCAATAGCTCCGCACAACATGATTGATCAACGGCTTCGTTTGCTTGCATGGTCCCGGTGGCATTACCGTTGAATAAGACATTGTCATCAATCCAAGAGCTACTTATAGCTCTACAGCTGTCTGTTCAATCAACATTCTTGCAAATTTACTCAATACTATGAATTGCATTCGGTGAATCTAGACAGCAGAACAAGGTGACGGGTGAGCTCGTCCGTATAACCGAAGAGGGGCGACGAATAAGACCGTGAATGGTGAGAAAACGGGTGGGAATGATGGGGAACTATAGCGTGGTCCCAGTGGGCCTGATTTCTGATTATTGGATAGAAGCAGTAAGAAGAGATACCTCCGTGTAGCTGCATCTAAAATCTCTCAGGCATACTAACCAACTGTGTTGGCGATCACTCTCGATATTTCATAATGACAAACTGTTTGCCTAGGAATTTTTTTGAATTCCAGCACCGACTTTGCTTAGACTAGGTGCGGCAGCCAAGTTGTTCCATCTATCCACTACTCCCATTCGAAGCATAGTTGGTGGGCGACCCGCTTCTAATCCAGCTTGTGCCGATGTCTTTATGTGCTCCTTGGCGTACGCAAATGCAGCAGCGGCCTCAACATGGTAATCGCCAAAATGTGATATCCGGTTAGTCATGGTGAGGTCAACCCGCACTCAACGATAAGACAGGGTGTGAACTCCTATCATTTTGCACCGGTCTTCGTACGACACACCTAAAATGGGGATGAGCCTGGTGGCCGCATGTTGTATAGAGGGAGGTCAGCTTATATGCCCAACTTGAAAAATTCGTGCAAAATCCACCCAGGAATTCATTGCACACGTCTATCCCATCTCCCCATAGCACCATCCGCTAATGGCGGGGATTCGGGGTGTCCCATATTTTTCGTACAGTGTCCACGAAGCACTGCGGGCAGCGTGCCTACAACCTGTGCCTTATCATTGTGTTGACAATTTGACGTTCTCGATGGATGATATTAACGGAAAAACATGGGAACATACAGAATCGAACACCATCATACACAATAACATGAAAAAAACATGCGAAAAAAGTATTACCGGCAGGTTTTTTGGAGGTCGGCTAATATACGGACCTACGATTTTGGACAAATTCGATAACGCAAATTTGTAATGTTGGCTTATCCATGGACAGGCTTGTGTTCGGTAATATACGGTTCATGTGGCGCTGCGACTCATCACCAATGAACCTCATCCTGGTTATTTTGGGAATGTGTAGACAGCCATTTTCTCCTGTAAGCACCTAAACGCTTAGACTAGCGAAAGAAGGGAACAGGACAAAGACCGTGACGAATCTACGTTTCTGTTTGACGGTCAATAGAGGAGTGAATGAATTACAAGCCCTAAGGATCTCTTAAGGTGGAAGTGTGTCAACAGCCATTTTGTGACAATCAAATGAAGCACATCACGATCTGGAACGGAGCCTGCTGACAGACGGATGAGCCGGTGCGAACAATTAGTGGGGTGGAATGATGACTCACCAAATCGGTTGGTTGAGAAAGCATGGGAGTCGCTTGCATGACACGTCGTGGGAAGTGGGGGACTGCAGCCAGGTAGGGAAGATCTTCTGACGAGGCACACCGAAGGAAAGTTAGATACCATGACAACCAGCGGTGGAAAATTAGGGCTTGAAATAGTCGTTGAAGTGACCGGGTCAGACACGTCTGGACTATAGTCCAAGGTAGATGCAGACAGCAGCGCGACCGTGCGAGCAAATGTGGGCTACCCACTGACCTCGAAGATGAACTTGAACGCGTCATAGGCTTGAGTGAACCTGTTTGCATAGTTGTCATCGCCGTTTAAGGGACAGATTGGGTTTTACGATGACCCATTTAAGCTTGTTCTGTTCCGCCGTGCCCATGGCAGACGCCGCGAAGGCAGTTTCGGCGAAGACCCATCCCTCACTCCAGTAGGAGTGACCATTAATGTACACCTACGCTGCCTTTATTTAAGGGCCAAAGTTGTTATGCCGATATGTATGCAGCTTCTAGTTTGAGGCGTCGACACCTTGGCGAAAAGAGAAGTGACCTTGAGGGAGTACATGGTTGGATTCGTGCCATTTGGATCACACATGGCATCCGCAAACTCAGGTCTCTACTTCGGGCTCTCTCTGGACCAGCCATTCAGTAGGCGAGTGGTACAGCGAGTTTCTTATCGCCAACTAGTCATAGTGGAAAATCAGACTTGCCAGCTCTTCCAACGATTGTCGGCGGCCCAGGTCTACATGTCGAGGTCGATGAAACCCTAATATCACGTCGTAAAAACCATGCAGGGCGAGTCCTTCCCCAGCAGTGGATTTTCGGAGGGATTTGCCGGGAGACTAAAGAAGTGTTCTTGTATGCAGTGCCAGATCGAACTGCAGCCACTCTGCTGGACACAATTCAGGCCTGCATCGCTCCCGGCTCAATTATCATTTCCGATATGTGTGCATCATACCAAGGCATTGAATCGATGATTGGCATGAGTTATACTCATCAAACGGTTAATCATACCGAAAACTTTGTGGATCCAACGACTGGAGCTCACACACAAACCATCGAATCTCTCTGGCACATTTACAAGATGCAGAATAAGCGCCAATGCGGCACACACCGATCTTTAGTGGACAGCTACCTGTGTGAGTTCGTTTGGAGGCAAAGACACCGAAAAATGGACCCTTTCATGCAAATAATTAATGACTTGTCTCAATTTCACCCTCTTCAATAGAGAGTAAAAGTTCAACTTCCATATCCTCCCTTTTCATAATCTTTTTTGGGTGGCGGGCTTAATTTTTTGGCGGGGCTTAACTGGAAAAGATCCCTCAAGAGCTCCTAAACGCTGGGAGTGTCGATCCCAATGAAGCTAAGACACTGACGGACGGCTTCGCTGCCATGGCCGCCGTCCATAACCATTTTGAGATGGTTGCGGTTTCGATTTCTGGCTAATAATAATAATAATACGTATGTTTCTCGACTGTGCGAGAATCTGTCCCTGAATTGTAGATAGATCGTAAACTATGGTCATGCTCACGCATGAGTGAGATACGTATTCCGAGGTGTGACATCAAAATATTTTGGAATTACATAACCTGTTTGTTGCTGAGTTTTATGTGCCATCTCTTTCATTGGGTATATATTGCTTGGTCCATCCTGGAAGAACTCGTATAGTGATTTATTCGATGGAAACATGGTCATTATCGAGTTTTGATCCAGGAAATTTCCAAGCTGCATGCAGAATGTTCTTGCATCTCTGCAAGACCTGAGTGGGGCTAGCAAGCTACTCCACTTTGATTTACCCTTTTCACATCCCCTTCGAGAGCCTCACATCGTTTACTAATATCCCGTAGATTTTGTTGAGCTAGCCGAGCTTAACTGTACTGGCAATATTTAACTTTTTATCTAGGTTAGTTAGTAAAAGTGTACTATCACCAACCACAGGAATTCACCACAACTAGCCATTAGTGCGTCGAAGCAAATTCACTAGCTAAACGCAGTCCGGCAGCCAGCATACATCCAATAAGCATTCGACAGTTGTTTACTCCTTTATGGGCTTCAAGAGCAAATAAAGCGATCTACTTGTATTGAACTAGGCTCACAAACCAATAACTTGCTCTTACATAAGCTGTACTTACTCAGATAGCTACTTTAAGCTTCGTGAGTTCCCATCTTCAATTTCAGTAATCATACCTTACTTGCTTTTTTGCATTGGTACGCCCTTTCATTACAAGCTTCGATTGGAGGCAGTCTGTTGGAGTTTCCGTTACCCGAAAGCGTGAAGTTGGAAATTTGCCGGTTGTTACACACTCTCTGTGATCTTCAGCTGCGTCATCGCGTGGAGCAGGTGATCAAATTCGCGAATACATTCGTGCGTGAACTGCAGTCGGTAAGGGCTTATGCATGGGAAATAGAGCCAGTGGTGTGTCACCTTTGTCTTTTTGGATACACTAGTGCGCTTTCGGTAGTTGCCTTATCAAAGTACTATTGGACTGAATGATTATATCAAGGTGCTTTCAAGCGTTCCACTTGTAATGTCAGCTGATCTCTTATAGATTACCTCCGGTTGCGACCTATTTTATGTCCGATCGACTTTCGTTTTGTTTGCAGATCTTTGTTATGTTTCCCTGTCTATTGCAAAGGTTGATTTTATCACTGCAAGAATATTCAACACAGATTGCACTAAAATTCTATGAAATCAACCGCATAGATATCCCATCCTCTTTCAGGATCAATACTCTAGATACATGGCTATCAAACTGTCCAACCTACCATCTTCCGTAGCTGCGCGAAGAACGAGAGAGTTCCGCTGTCCAGCAACGGTACAGATGGCGTGCCTTCTACGGATGCCAGGTCCTGGAGGTCCCACTGGCAGACTGGAAGAGCTACCTGCGACGACAGAGACGCCTGTGGTTCAATCGGATGATGGCGCCGCTGAGGAAGAGGACGAATCCGAAGGCGAACACACGAACAGATGCGCAGAAGAGATCAAAGTGCGTTTGTAAACTTTGCTCACCACCCCTATATTTTCTACTGTTGACCATTTATTTGATAACAATGTGTCGCAACTCGAACTACCACTAAGAAGGCAGTCTAGCTATTCTAGTGCAGGATAACTGTATTTTCTATTGAAGTTAAGCGTTTCAGATTCTTGAATTGATCTACATTCTCATTGCTCTCTATCCTCTTCATACGTGAGTCTTCAGCACTTTCTGATCGACATCAGTTCGTACGCTCACGCAAATTTTCCCAACTTGTTTATTCAACATATCTGACGACCAGGCCAGTCATAGCTTATGAAACGGCTTCACTGCACTGCACGCTGTCCCCTTCTCTCTCATGACGGTATTTTTTCATCTTAGTATGTGTATCACTTTGTGATTCATGTTTCGGTACATTTTGTAGGACATGCTACGAAACTTCCATAAGCTTTTGACCGACAAGTTTGGAGTCATGAGACCGAATGCTGATGAAGCAGATACAAGCGAACAAATAGGCCGAGGTTCCGTCATTGACAATGAACCTGGTGAACCAGCTCGCGTAGTTACCGTGACCAAAGCTCCGGACAATTTGAGTCTTGTATCCTTCTCTCAAGTCTACCCACCGGATGACCTGCAAACCGCTTTGTCTCGGTTGCCCCTTATCCCACCCGATATGGGTTATCCGGAAGAGGGCTCTGGAGTATTACCATGGCTGCTTCGAGAGGCTTGGAACCTGGCCACTCGAAAGCGTACCGAGATCGTCACATCGGAAGAGCAGCTGGAGCTGGACCGCCTGATGAAAGCAAAGCAAATAGAAGAGATGAGCAAAGGTGAGTACGATTGTCAAGCAAGCGGCAAAGCATGGAATGTTCTCATTGCATTGTTATGGAAACTGTATGGTTTACTTGACACCAGACCCATAAAGCATTGTGACTACCAGTTCGTCCGATTCGTTGCAATCCTTCGGAACTCATGCTATCTACTTTCTGTGGGAGCCTGCCGTTTAGTGTCCGCCATAAAACTGTTAACTACAGCACTGCAGAGTGATTCCCTATATAGAGTCACTAGCTTATGTGGCCTACTTGCTTTCTTTGACCTGAACAAGTGTAAAACCAGGCCTGGAAATGTGCTTCATTTAACAGACTTAATTTTACCCAACTGTTCTGTTCTCTAATTCTTTCTATCGTTCTCGCTTAGTTGTTACTAGGTTATTCGGTGGACCAGCAAGTTAGAGTGGTAACACCAGTGCATTGGTTACATACTCCGGCACCTGACGATGTGCGAATAGCTGGTTACTGTAACCTCAACCTTGATGAAAATCAGCTTAACTTTCGTTGATTCCACTGTCACACAGCCCAGCGCACCTACTAGATATTTTGTTTATGAGTAGTCGAAGGCAGTAGTGATGAGTTTGGCCTCTATCCTTCGGACCCTCACCATCTACCAACGCTCCTGGTCACTTCTGCGAACCCCACTCGGACGAAGTTTCAGAGTGTCTAGGATACTTTGAAACTAACCTACAAATTTAATTGTCTGTTGTGCTTGACGCAGTCTGTTCGAGGACCCAAAGATTCGAGTAACCGCGAGTGCCTTTTGTAGAGCCCGTTGGACGCGATTCTAATCCGCATTCTGTTTACTCATCTCCTTCATCAGGGACAGTCGACGCTATGTGACGCAACTTCATATTGCTTTTGTACTGATTGCAAATGCAGTTGACGAGCTTGCATCTTTGAATTCACACAGTACGTGGAGGTCAGAGGAGCACGAATTGTCCGGTGGCTGATGAGTGTGATTTGCGTCGAGACAGGTGCGGTGTATCTGCCAACACTTCTGGATTAATGCGCGTCATCAGTTAGTAATAGCGCTGTGCTCAGTTTGAGTACGGAGCAGATGTGTCGGGACTCTATGCTGCTGTTGTTAGGATTATAGGATGCACACAGTTGAAGTGATCGTCAGTTCCAGTATAATAGGCACCGACCTTGAGATGGCCTTCAAGGATGTGTTCTGCTTTCGCTAAGCAACTTGTTTGTGTATGTATATCACCCGCAACCACCATACTACCTGGTTTTTGTCATAGAGCATGAGGATGAAAGCTACTGGTATGGCTTGTTTTCCGAAATTCCACTTCACACTCATTGGGAACATGCATGCTCACGATCAGCGTCGAAGCTGAACAGCCGAAACGAATGTTCCCTGGGGTCTGTTCTAGAGGGGCCGCTACACGTCTTCTAGGTAATTTTGGCGCCGTAAATGGCACCAGTCATATTATTAGACATCATTGATGACAAGATGTGGGCAGGCCCTGTCATTGGGACCTGTGCTTGGTAAGTGCAAATATTTTATAGCGCCTTTGTTCCGTATGTTTGTTTGTAAGACACACTCACCCACATCAACTCTGGCAAAGTACAAAGTCATGAAGTGTCGTTTGAAAGCCGATCTGAATGATTACGCGTATGTTAGCAGGGTCAATATGAGACGCTATCTGAAGTTTCAAGAGTGACAAGGCCTCTTTTTCGATGCGGCTGACGAATTCAATGAGGTTTCCCGCTTCTTAACATGAGGACGGGGAAACCCGAAACAGTTGACTAACAGCGAAAGAAAAAAGACCTTTGGTTACAAGTGCTGCGTGGCCGCTAACCGTTCGCACACCACGACCGTAAAGTGAACACGTAGACGAGCGAGGACAGAATTGTATACGCAAGAAACCTGCTTCATTTACCTAGGGTACAGCAGTAGTTGCAGCAAGTCTACTAAAACATGTTCGAGCCAACCATCAACCTAGGAGACACTGAATAATACAGATGAATGGGAAGTGGTAGAAGAAAGAACCAATCACGCGAGTTCGAGGAAACGGTATTAGCGGAAATGGACCTCTGAGATAGCATTCATTACGAATGACGTAGACCGACCAATCAAAACAAAGGAATGTTGCTTTCAAAAAAAATCAAGGAACAAAAGGTGACGAACCTAAAGCAGGCAACTAAAAATTGTAACAAAATATATGTCCAGTGAGCTTCCCCTTAACAACATGGCCTTGTGAGCAGATAATTCTCTGCGCTTGTCCATTCGGGTGTCCCGTTTCACTAGTGAATAGGCACCGCTAGTTTCTGCTTCAAACGCGCAACTCACACGTTTACTTATATTTTCGGATATAGTTATACTTTTTGCCGTGACACCCTTCAGTTTTTACAGCACGCTAAGGTATCCCGTCGATGGAAATGAGAAAAACTTGATCTAATTGTCTGCCGATGAGGCATGACGTAGTGGGTTATTATGTCTAGTGGATTTTAATACCGTTAGGCTTGTTCAGAAGACAACTTAACAAATGGCACAGTACCCCGCAGAGGCCGATCGACTGACGCTGGTAGCATCCATCAGGTGTACTGACTCTCTGGCCTAGGGTACTGTACTGCTCTTATTCTGTCCAACATGCACATTCACTGAAGTGGCGTGCCAGTCCAACTCTAATATCATCCTCATCGTTTCTCCTCCTCTTCATAGGTAACCTAAGCAGTCTAATCGTTAAAACAATTGTGAAGTGGGCCAGGTCCGAGTACATTGAGAATCTGGAGCTGATACGTGAAATGTTTTATGCTCTGTATCGCCAATACAATGCGATCGAGGAGGTATGTCCTCTATCCCTTTTCGTGATGAGTTTTATTCACCGAACCAAAGGAACATTTCTTTTTCCAGTCATACACCTGACATGTTTGCCCACTAGTACATCGTCTTTGGCCTTCTGGTATTCGGTGTTTGAGGTTCTGCTTTGATTTTGTGCATCATTTCTTCTGTCGCTATGATAAGCATCTCTTCGGAGGGGAAACTGCACATCTAGCAAAACACTGTGGTAAATCTTCTATCTCATTTCACACCAACCATAACTTCTGCAACATAAGATAATCCTCGGGGACCGTCCCACTCTACGTTCGTATACGTTCTAACAGTAGTTCCAACATATCTGTCGGTTCGTTACAGTGCCTTTTCTAACTATTGGCCACAGTCACAGTAAATAGTCTTCCCAAATCATTATGAGAGATGTTGAAGTTCACGTCCAGTTTGTAAGGTCTTTCAATGCTTATCGTTGGTTGTGCATTACTTTTCTGCTGGGGCAAGCAAAGTCGGTAACGCTGAGGTTATCAGCATGTACATCAATGTGAACACTTGTTGTCACAGTAGGGCAAAGTGAATTCCCTGATTGCAGACGTTTGCCTCCGGCACTAAGCTGGTGATCCTTTTGTGCCGTTTGAGGTACTGTCCGCGATTTCGTTCATTTACATACAATTGTAGCGATCCCAGTGATCCCGTACCCTGCACATTACCATCCGCAGCAACATCAGTTCCCAAGTATTCATCTTATAATTCCCCTATGCGTTTTTCAACCTATTCTGTTGCATGCGTTATTCTAATTGGCATTAAGCTCGGCGTTTTGATGCTTAAGCGCCCACTGAATCACCTGCTGTTATTTTACTATTTTGCCACTCCCAGGTTCGAGATGCCCTTTCCAAGACCTACGTCATTTCTTCATCATCGCAAGAGGAAGTGTCCCGTTTATTGCGCTCACTAGGGCGTGTACGATGTCTACTTGGTGTCCAACTGGGTTCAAATGAGGAAATGCTGTTGAAAAATTGCTTGTGGTACGTCACCGCTTACTAGCACCCGTAGTGTCCTTCTCTACTTATTCACAATAATAATAATAATAATACTAATAAACTTACTTGTGTTATGTTGAATTAAATCCGGTTAGGTCGATTACCCTAGTCTTTGGAGATTTGCTCTTCAACTAGTTTGGCTGTGTTAGCAACGACAGTAACATTGGCACTTATAGGTTGATGCGTGGGACATTTATATAAGTTATTAATAATCAATAAATTCCAGACTGTTGTTAGCCAAACGGTCAGTATGGCTGACTAGGAGGCATTAAACTAGCCATCTGCATCACTACCTCAATTATCTCTAATTGGTTGGTCTAAATAGGGAAGAAATTCACCGTGAGAAACAACTTATGGGGTGAGCACAGCACCAATGTTCTTACAATAACAATTATCGTGCCTTTGCTCTATCAATCTCACCAACACAGCCAACTCGTGAACACAGCCCTTTTGAACCAGTGTCCGAGCAACTATCGGATACTTGGAAACTTTATAAAATGACTCATTTACACATTGCCTACATGGTGCTACCTCATATGGAATATGGTCCGCGGCTAAGCATCATGTATGAATTATTTGTTTAATAACTTCTTTGCTGAGCTGCTTCATGTGAACAGGCAGTAGTAGACTGCGAAACGTGGTATGCATGATGCTTCTGTTTGCGGTATGTGGTTCACCTTTTTAGCATGGCCATTTTCTACCACTGGTGTGATTGTACCCCCACGCTGCTTCGACTTAAATAAATGGAAAGATCCTGTCTTTAACGAGCTCTCATAAAGGTTCTCCAATTGCGAATTTTACCTCTATTGCTCCAGGACTAAATTTCTTTATCCAAGTAAACATTACTTCTGTAACGTTTAGTATCTCATTTGCAACCGTGTCGGAAGCGAGGCGCCTCGCCAACCACCTGTTTGACTTCAGGCGAGACACGTCGGATGGTGAAATGATGGATGTGGCTTCAAATTCGCACTGAATTCCTTTACTTGATACATTTTCATGAGTTAAACAACCTGAACTGCTTATTCAATCTGTTAAGCGAATCCATACTTCAATCGAGTTCATCTGCGATCCAACTAAGTGCACTGATAGCTCAAACAAGTTTACCTTCACCATAATCAAACCAATTCGCAACGATTTCAAGTTGGATCCTGCGTTAGGTACACGCACGCAGGGGCTCACTCTGGTTGAGTGGCTAACCACATCAACGATAGAGTATCGGACACGCATGGATGGTACTGTCTGCGCGTGCTTGCAGCATTGTCGTGCCGGTAAGGTTCCTGAGTCAGGGTATACTTGCTCGCCTAGCGGTGATCGGGTGCGTATCAACTGCAAACTGATGGTGTGAGTCTAACCGTGTGTTCAAACTTACGGATAGTAACAACTGACTGCCCCGAATGGTTCAAATTATGTTTGAAGATAAACCTGTGACCTACTGCAGCGGCACAACAAGAGTCTAACGGTGGAAAGAGATGGTGGCTTATACCTCGGTTCGCTTGTTCGTTCACAAAACAACGGCCACGTGCAGTGGAAGCACGTTGCGCGCGTTCTTACAGGTACGACGGGAGTGGAGCATTTAGGCCTGTGGTCATAGTTGACTTTTGCTAAGCCGTCCACTTAGCATGTGAATGGGCGCATATCATCGATACAGTTGATGAAGCAACTGCAGTGCGCGAATTGTCTCGGTTTCACTATACCTTTTCTCAGACAATTGAATCTTTAACGCTTTCAAATTCCTCCTTAAGGAAATCGCGTTTGTTTTAGCGTCTACCGCGAGTTCCAGTCATATCTGTCACGCCACGCACAGCAACCTGCAAATGAGTGGATGAGCGTCATCAATGGATTAATATCAAGGTAATTACACCTGTACCTTATCCGACTCACTTTTGTGAATAGAGTGTCCAGAGCGTGTCCGCCCCTTGTTCTGCTTTCGTTAGTGGGTTCCACCCGTAGTGATTCAAGATCCTACTTGCGTAGGGGCCTAGCGTGCGTATTGAGACACAACAATCCTCCTCCATAGATCTTTCAATATGGTCCATAACTCTTTCAACTTGAATCCAGCGGGCGCCATCTCCCCTAAATGCTACAGTCCATTGAGTGACTAAATTCACATAGAACTCTATCATCCCACTCAGTGTGCTTATCTACTATAATATCTGCTTATTTGTAATTGGTCACTCAACGAACAGCACGTAGTTTTTAGATATGTTGTGCTTGTTGGATGCAACTTGAAATCGTTATGGACCATTTTGAAGGGTTTATGGAGGAACATGATTTCGTTAAGGAGGAATTTGAAAGCGCTATGGATTCAATTGGCTGAGGAAAGGTCTAGTTTGTGCTGGACAATGCTTAAGCCCGTGCACTAAGATTTTAGCACAATCGGTGCTGTGACGGTCTTTGCGCTTCTTCCATGGCGAACTAGCACTCATAATGCAGACAAGTTTTATTCACGTTGACCTCAATACGCTATTGTCATCAGCGCTAGGGTAAGCGTGAATCATTGCAGCCGTCTTCAGAAGGAATGTAGTTCACCTTTGCAAATCTGCACACGATCGTATTGACAGGTGCGGTGGCTGAGTGGGCGGTTTCCTCTCTCTCGAGCGCTGGGTTAGGCAAATCCGGATACATAAATCATATTGGCATACTTTGTCAGTTAACTTATGTGTGGGCAGTATCACAGTCGTTCTGTATACTCGACTCCAAACCACAACCAACTGCAGCCCCTAGGTGACTCATTGGCGAACATCGACAATGTTGTCCCTTCTCCTCTCACCGCCCTCTGATTTCCCGCGACGATGTCTTGTCCAGAGGGCTGTGTAGCTTCAAACCACTAGGTTAGCCGACCGAACAACCAACAAAAGAACTCTTTGGTTTCCACTTGCCATGGTCCTATTTGCTTGTTTAGCATCATTTTCTTGACAAAAACTGTACTTTATTCATCATCCTTCGATTATGTTCAGCTTCAACTAACAATCTAAGACGAATGATTATTCCAAAAATTTTGTCTTTTGCCGCTATGGCGAACCACCAAGACAGCAGTCACATAGCACTCTAGGGATGCCTCAATACGGACTACCAGTGGCCGACTCAAAGCACAATTCACTTTGACCTGGCCAAGTGCTAGCTGTTGTGCCTACAGCATCAGACCTTCCACAAACACCACCTAGAGAAGCAACTTTTACCGCGCCCTTCTCATAAAAGCCTCTCGGTGGCTTGTCGAGTTACATCGCAGTGCCAGCTGAGTAGTCCGGGTTTATCCCGTTCAGTGAATGGTTCGGCAGCAGTGTTTCTTGACCTAGTGAGTTTTCACCCGGGCAGGGTCCACTTTACAAAACATCCGTTCAACAACACTACAACAAGGCTGATCTGACTAATCATTGAATAAAGTCACTGTCCTTTGCTTCATCCCGGTAGAACACTGTACATCAACTGATGGATGTTGACATCATGATAGTGTATTAGGATCCCATTTGGCAGCTTACCAAACCGAAGGACTGGGAACCTAAAAACCGGTCACCGGCTGCTAATGGGCCTATTCCACCAATTCGAGCCTTTGCCTTGCGAGCAGTCTATTCGGCAAAAGGCGCTCGTCGGTGTTCTCGAAATCAAATCCCAACTTAGATGATCGGGTAGTATCGCACCCATGACGAAACCATGGGTCGTTCTATGTTGTGTTCGGTTTACTTTTTACAAAAGCACGTCTCTTTGATTCCCATGACTTTTGGTGGCTCCACGTCTATTCACTAGACTATATGTTATGTATATAGTTGGCGGCATCCGTGTTCGGATTTGCTTGTCAGTGTGGCCAATCACAGGACGCCTGCGCCTACAGAGGGACCATCGGTTGCTTGCGCTGCACCAACCACAGCTCCAACCACACACCCCATATCCAGTGTAAACCCGAAGGAATAAGACCGGGAGGCTTGTGGATGGGATTCAGGTTTCATCAGCGAAGTCGGCACACACTCCTTCACAGGCAAACACAGGTACGCTGTATTTGGGGAATCAAGTGCACAAAGAAGCGGTGGTTGGACCGTAGTCCGCTCCACACTGAGTGCATGAACCACTCTTCGAGCCTAGCACGGCCATAAGGACTGTGCACTCCGTCCCCTCCAAGCAACGACCAACTGTCTCCTAGAGCCAGTATAGACGAGGTAGTGGGTAATAGACAGGTAGGCGCACCTTGTCAACTTGCACATCAAGAGCAGCCACACCGGGGATAGCAAGCAATAGCCAGTCACTTGAAACGAAAATATCAAATAAAAGAAATTGGATAATGCATACAGATACAGTGGCATAACTCTTTAATAAATGAGCAAATGAAATAAATTGGTTGCGAAAAAATCCGCCATGGTCTCAAGACGTCAGAAAATGTATTTTAAGAAAATGTCACAATCACGAAAGTGTTATCAAAGTTAACTACAATTAGCTTGAGCGACGTGTGCAAATTAATAGAAGATAGTTTACATAGGCAATAATAAGACAAAACCACCACATGAAATCAAAAGACCCAGCATCCAAGCAAGCGGTTAGTAAATCGAATGCAACCAACCTACAAATGCTGCGCCGGTTCTGTCTACGTTCTCAGCAGGACTCGTCGTCGCTTCGGTGGTGGCCCCGAGTGGCCTCGCTCATGGCTCACTAGGCCTGCTGGATTCAGGCAATCGCAATCGCATATGCTACAGCACCATGCGCTTGATGTCGATGGAGTACAACCCATCGGCGCTTGCCGCTTCTCCCCATGCATGAGGTCTTTGTCCCGCACCTTAGCAACTGCCTTCGTGATCAGTATATATATATATATATATATATATATAATGTGACTGGCCAGTAACTTATAGGAATTTTTTCTCCCAGTATGTCAGCCGCAGAGTGCCTATTTAAATTATGAAATTTCTGTCGATCTTTCATTGGTATACTGAACAGCTTTACGCTGTACTAATCCGGATGCGTCGCGCTGCATAGCCCGTGATGTTGTCCTTTGTTTTCATCATGATATTAACGGGTGACGTGTTCATCATCCCCTCCCGTGAAACTTGGGTAGGCACATTAACGACTGGGCCGCGGGAATCTCACGATGAGTTCGCTGATACACGCTTTAATTATTGACACCATCGTTTCTGATTTTGCGATCTCTCTAGCCAAAAGCTAAATGTTCACCTGTGCCTGTGATGGCAATACTTTCGGTCTCATATTTGTCTGACTATCAAGATCTCATTAGCGGGTCACTTTCTAGCCCCTCAGGTGCCAGCGAACACTGACTTGTCCATCGCTTCCTTAGTAATGAGCTTCTTACTTCAGACTCCCTTCAATCCTCTTAAGAACACTTGAAATATTCCAACAAACGCCATAATATTCCGATTGTATCTAGTCTGTATGTGTGTTATGTAAAAGCACCCACCTTACAACATACGCAATTCGTCTACTGACTTTACTTTTCACCACAGGGACTTGATGAACAACAGGATCTTCTTTCAACATCCCGATCTGACGCGCTGCCTATCGGTGCACGAAACGGTGATGCAGCTCATGGTACAGACCTTAACCAAAGCCACATTGGAGCAGCCCGGCACAGCTTCAGCCGTTATCGATGTTTCATCCAGCACGTCCACGGGTCACCCACCTGCTCAGGACATCCACCTCGCCTCTCAGACTGGGCCGACTGGAACTGGGCTGCCGGCTGTACAGGAAGAAGGTGGGGACTGCATGTGTACTCGAGGAGTTGTGCAGCTGATTTCATCATCATTTTTACTCCACCTTGTATTTCTCAAAAACTTCATGACATAGGCTAACCACCCTTCTACCACTGAAACCTGTGTTATCAGTAAATTACCAAAAAACCAAGGCCCTTTTGTCTTCACCGGAACTCCATCCCAACCGATTCGGTCATGTCACCAAGTTAATTTTTGGTTAGCTATCAGTTGTCAAACATCCGTTCTGTGCAGTGGTGCCGAAGGTTGACCGAACAAATTGGGCTTTGAAAACTCCAGGTATAGCAGCCAAAACGACTAGGGCTATCCTAATTCCGGGTCATCTTCATCTGTCTATCACCTCTGTAAACTTCGGGTACTGAAGGCACCTGAGCTCCTTTTATTAGTGACTTTAAAACCAGTCTAAGTTAAATTAAGTTATTTCATTACTATCATACCATCATATTTCTACCATTCCACAACAGCTTTGCAGTTAGCAACCACTCCCACAGAGCAGCGTACCAACGCGGGACCCACCGAGATGGTCGTTCAGTGCTGCCGTTTCTTGTGCTACTTTTGTCGTACCTCAGGCGAAAATCAGAAAGCCATGTTTGAACATCTGAGTTACATGCTGGAAAAATCCTCTATGCTTCTTGGTAAGTCTGATTCGTCTCCTGCATATGCTCAGATTTTGGTGCGTTGAATTGTCCGTAGACACGCCTGTGTGTCGATTTCAGCGTAAGTTTGTTGCGTTAGTTTCTCACTACTTTGGTACGTAAATGAAATTTGGGACATCTCGTCCTCATCTATCCTCACATCTCACTGTAGTCATCGCTCGGAATGAGCCTGACGTTAGAGTTTGACTTCGTATCCGTTGTCCTCGCAGCTGGCATATATGCCACTCCTGGCTGCATTAGGATTCGTCAGTTACGAAAGTCAGTGCCACTCTCTGAACTCAACAGCCAGACTTGGTGACCTTTGCACCCCGAATGATCAATTAGTTAAATTGTTTGGATGATGATTTAAGATTCAAAATACTGAAGTACGCTTGGAACCGGCCTAGCACTGGTGACTGCAGAAAGATTTTGTGCATGTTCTGCAAATCATCAGAGTAAATATGATATGTGAACCAAGGGAAAGGTTCTTGCTCATCAGAAGAAGCGATGTTCGGACGGTTGAGTGACCGCAGTTCGTTCCCTCATGTTATCTTACAACCCGGCATCAGTCCCTATTGGTGTCTGTATTACACAATCCTAGCAGCGCATCCGCAACTAGGTCCGTTGAGATCGTGACGTGAAAGACGCAGTGGTAATGCACCCCATAGAAAAGAAATCTCGTTCCTTTTAGTAAACATACTGAAGCTGGAAAATATTTGCCTACTACAATACTGCTCGCAGTGCCCACTTGTCTGTAGCCAAGGCTAGTATGAAATGCATCCGGATTTCGCTTGAATCTCGGAGGTATGCGGTTAGCTTTACTCCAATATCATTTGTATTAAAACGTTGCAGAAAACAGGATTAAGTGTGTAAGTGGTAGGAGGATTTGTTGGATAGTTTGTAAAGATCCCTCACAGTTAGACTCCGGCAGACAGCCACCACACATCCAGAAAAGCGCCAAGTGTTATAACTGCATTTGCATCGAAAACATACTTGACTGTGCCTCATTCCCAACTCGTCTGGGATAAGGGTACCATTTAGTCCATCGCCGATGGGTTAGTAGTTAATTCTAAATGACCAGAATCCATTTCTTAATGTGCATCAATAGCATTTTGCTAACACTGTGATACGATTTTCAACCATCTGATATTCCTGTGACTTCCGTAGAAGCGCACCGAAATTTGAAGTTCGAAAAAGCATTTTGTAAAGTTCCTCTCAAGGATGATGCAGTTTCACACCGTCTATATCTTTTCGTTCATCTTCACACCATGCGTCAGCTCGACCGAGTCTCCGTGGGACATGTCCATTGGATGTTGCTTGCTCGTCTCTTATGGACAATAATGAGTTGGCTCTGGCCCTTAGAGAAAAACAGCTCGAAAAGGTTAGTCTAAGAACATTGGGGATTAATCGGTTTCACCTTATTCTCTTTGCTGACGTGTGACAGTACTTGAGAAAAACACCCATGATCTTTAGCTCATTATTTTGATTTCATTATTTGTTCACTAAAACTGTGTGTAAATAAGTTGAGCATATATTGCTACTTATAAAAAGAATTTTCTTGCTGCCTCTACTTTGCGTGCTTCGAACAGAAATACAAAGCGAATCATCTGTTTCCTCTTCTAAATTTAAGCACTCACCACAACACAGTCGTTCTCTGTTATCAGATCATCCAACAGAATTCCCGAATTCCAAATTATCCAACCGCTGTATTGCATTGGGGTAATTTTTCATTTGACATTCTTTATTCTGGTCACGTGGTTTATATCTTCCAATATATCAGTAATGTGGCTGAGTTTGTTCATCCAGATTCGCATTGTAACGGATAGTCACTGTGATATTAGAGGGCCACCCTCCACTAAATCGCCAAATGTTGGATCAGTAGATTACACAATGCGCCAAACTTATTGGTTTTCGCCTGCACCGATGTGAGACACGGGTAGCCATGAGGCGACTGACCGCGCTTGGTTAGGTGGGTTGCGGTGACTGTGGAGATACCTATCGCTAAGCGGTATGCCTAGGGGACTCCTTTCCACTGTGAATTCACATCGTCGCAACTACGGGGATCGTGTAGTAGTCTACAAGAGGCTTTTTCACGAGGGCTTGGCGACATGTATAATGCGTTAGAGATGCCCTCCCTACCTTCCGCAATTGTAGCCGAATTGATCATAGTTTTTACCAAGGAACTAACTGAAGTGTCTGTCTTATACTTCGACGTAGCATTCTTTCCATCTGACCTATTTGCTATGCAATCGCTGTTAAATAAGCTGCCGCCTACCTCTTGGGACTTCTATGTGCACTATGTACCTTCACAGCGTTAAGTACTGTTATGCACGACACCAACCCTAACTGGCAATGAACTACTACAGCTCATAGAGGTTACCGGTTCGCCCAACTAAGGAGTTGCGTCACATCTCATCATTACACCACCAAAGAAAGTGCTGCGATTCAGTACAGTGGTCACTGTGACGGACGGTGGAGGCAGTTGCCTTGACACACGGCACCAAAACCACAACGGCAAAAAATAAAATAATCTTAATGCACAATAAATGAACAGGAGGCAACACCTTTATGTGGGATATTTAAGTCAGGAATAAGGGAAAGAATGCCGGAATACCCTGGTTTCGTGACTACACTATATCCGGTGAAGTATAGCCAGTCCTGAGGACTCCATCCGGAAAGACAACAAGAACCAATCGGGCTCAGACTTCCGGTGAATTCCTTCATGCTCTTTTAACATGACGTTGACTGGTCACTTTTGTTTCGCTCATCTAGCCACAATGTTGGCAATCGATGCACAACTAGGTAGTCAGTTTGGAGGCATCCGAATCATGTTACTGGACGAGCGAAAGTGATTGGTATTCGAAATACGTTCTAATGAGGCACCGGAGCGTCTGTTATTAAACGCCCCACGACGAACTTCAGTATTACTCAGTAGCTTCTCTTACCAGGTACCCCAATAATGATTCGCAAATATCGGTGACCAAGCAAGAGCACAGGGTGCATCAGAGGTCTCTTGTGGTTTTTCAACTCCCAGTTATCGCAACCGGCTATCTGCTTATTAGGCAAGAAAAGTAACATGGAACGTTCCCGTTGGCCATTGTCACTGTATGGCTCAGAAACTTGGCCAAATCCTCTGGACTTTTTAAAGGGACAGATGTTGTGTGCAGAAAACCGCCCCATTTGGTGGGACCACTCGGGAAGTAGCGTAGAGTTCTACCTTTTGGAGTTTGCTAACAAGTCCACCATCGCATCCCTGGACTACCAATTCGAGTTGCACAGTTATCTTCAGCTAGACCGCTGCCTTCGCCGTCCTGCTACCGCCTGTCTAGGTGTGCATTGTTCGCCGTTTTGTACCTATCTCGGTGAGGCGTCGTAGTAACCAGTACAACCTATCAAATTCAGATTAAGGCGTGGAAAATTAATCGCAAAGCCTGGTCAATTCGCAGCATGCTCGCTTTCAGGGTGGGGAACTCAGCCAATTGCATCCCTAATACAGTCATATTCCTGCTCAAGTAAAATCAGCTTTCTGTGTAGGCAACTTCAAAATAGGTCTTAGCCCAAACAAGATGAATCCAACCGGCACGGACACACCAAATTGCGTGCTGCCTGCGTTGGTGGCCCATTCCAAATCAACCAATAGCATGCACCAGGGAGTAGCATCGTGGCTTGGAACCCAGACTTGAACAGCGTTACGTGCGCGCAGAACGAATGCGCTTTGTGGAGGTAATATCCACCTTCAACACCCAAAAGCAGCAACGCACCGCTACACTGAAGCCACATCCGTGGCAAGATGTGGTGGTATCTCTGGTACTGGCGACGGTTGAGCACGCTGTGCATAATTCTCAGCCATCCTCCCATCTAGTTGTGATCAGCAATGCACGCAGTGTCACCTCATTGAGTGTTAGGATCGATCACGGCGGTCTGCAATGAAATGGCGTGGACACGGGTGTGACGCTCGGCATTGCTGAAGCAGGGACCAAGTGGTGAAGAGGGTTGGATCCCTGTACCGAAGAACGACACTAACACAAAGCCCCGAACGCTGGTCCATACATTTGATAGCCGCCGCGTACAGTGCACATAGGGGAGAACGCCAGCACCCAGAGTTCGAGTTGACATAAGGTAATGGCTGACTGCGGGTACACGACTCAAGCCAGGTGTGAACGGGTGCATACTATCAGTATAGCTGGCCAAGTGAATACAACCCGCTACTTGCACTCCATCAAATAGTGACTTTTGAGCCCGCGCACTTAGGAATTCAGCGAACTCTTTTGTGGATTTGGTGTATGTCAAACGGTAGACACGCATTGCGCTTGAGGATGATTGAAGTCGCATGCAGCCTAAGCTAACCGCATTACATTAGTAGATGTGGGGCACTCCACCTGTCTTCATCTGATTGCAGTCGAGGGATAAGTGGTAGTTACCAGTGGACGGTGTATAATAGGCAATTGCCACGACGCCTTCTTCGGATGAATAAGCGGTCCCTATTCTGTCGAACGTTGCCCTACTAACTTAACTGGAAGCAACGGACGACTCATGATGTATCGCCTGCGTCGGCACAATTTAGTTGCTGCAGGAAACACGACCTCACATCTTTCTGATAAGTGGCAGATAGCTATATAACGTCGTGACATGGTTCAGTGGCGAACGTCGTTGGTGTTGTCCTTGCGTATTTCACTGCTACCGGTTTTCCACAACGATCTGTGACCTAAGGGACTATGCCGTTGTTAGTCACCCAAAATAGTCTGCTCAAAGTTATGATAAGTAAAATGACCTCTTTTTAAACACTATCGTCGTGTTTACAGTGTGAGTTGCGTGTAATTCCTCACCTACCAACTCGTCAAGTACCCACAACAACACTTGATCTACAGCCATTACTAGCACTGTAATTGCCATCCTGATTGACGCGAATCTTCAGGATCCGCTATGGTCCTAAACACTGTTGTGCATCCCTGCATGGGGATATAGATCGATGAAGCGGAGCTTGTCGCAACAATGGTCTCATGCTGCATGGAAACAACAATACCGGTTCAAATGGGTCACACTTATTTATTGGAATACAGACGATTTACAATTCTATGAAACGCAATGCGCAAGTGTAATTACTTCTCACGTGTTGGATCATTCCTTGATAATGCTGATGCGTCACGCGGGTTCATGCCTCTGACAGTACGCTCCAGGAAACGCATCTTCCACTCGCCCTTACAGAGAATACTCTCAGGATCTCCCTGGAGCATCTCGGACTACTGCCCTCTCATAACTAGCTTCACCTACGTCTTTATAATGCTCAATATGCCTTTAAGGGAATTCAGTGATGGAGGACATGGAGCAAAACGTAGGACGCACCCCGAACGATACAGCTCCTCTTTGTATACGTGTTCCAGATTCACGGGGCATAGTGCGTTATCACATATCAGGAGGAATCCTACAGTAACAGCAATGCCGTTGGCATCCAGTATTTGTCGCAACCACCACGCATATCTTGTTGTAGCCCCTTTGGGACGGAATACCTTAGCAGTCCATTTGGGGTCGTTGCGCTGAGATGAGTGTTGGCTACCTTACAGTATTTGTGGTTGCCACATTCTGCACACTCTCTAGTACGATTGCGAAACAGATTGCAGTTCGCCCCATCAATCTGTACTGATTTCCGCCCTTCAGCCTCTATGTTCATGTGTTACAAAGCGTACAACTTTCTTCGCTTCTTGTTCTCGGGAGTATTCATCGATTTCGGTATTGCATGTAGCTTTCTCATGACTATGAGCCGACTCTCTAAGTACTGAACGACTGTACTGGCGTCCGCCTCCACCTTGAACCCAACGTTCATTCGAAAGGGTTCATTGGGATGTCAAGAGCCGAAGCGTGGGACCTTGTCAGAACAAAAACGAAGAGGTTCCATGGTGATTGCAAGCTTCGATTCAATCCATTTAGTCGGCCAGTCCACATGACATTCTGTTACCACGGGAGTGCCTAAGTCTTGCGAAGACACGCGACTACTTAAGGGTTAACTGTGCGCGAAGATTATATGGCCCTTGTGGCCTGTTAGAAGAATTGCAGCTTTGGTCTAATATACTCTTAGAAAACGGTTATCAGACCCGGTTTATCGCGAAACATGCTGATAACAGTGACAAGAAAAAATGTCCTCACAGAGGTCAAGGAGAAAGTGTCTATCGGGCCCCCATTTAAGGGTGAATTTGTCACCATGAGGACGGTAAGGTGCATAATTTTCGCCTTTCATATGACTTATTTACGCAACTAAAACTGGCCTAATCAACCCGAACAACAAGCTGCTTGTTCCTCCAACAAAGCAAGGACACTATCTCGGCGCCAACTCACACGATATCTCTCAATTCACTTTAGATACAGAGCATGTCAAATTGGCCGAATCGATAGGGTGTTGAACTCCAGACTGGGAGGATAGATGCTTAAATGGCTGCAGCGTGAAGTCATTGAGCCCCATATCACCTATTCACGAACTCCACCTGTCTCATCTAGAGGTAGACATTTACTAGCCACCTGTCATCCGTTCGATCCCGTTACAATGTTCAGAACCACGTTGCGACATGCCAACATCAGCTTTCTGCGTTTTCCAGAGGTCGTCGTGATCAGTCGGATCAAGTCGGCACTCTGTGAATAAAAACCGCAGTTCTAAAGTCTTAGGCTACCATGTATGTATAGATTTGACGTCTGTCCCCCACCGTGCCTCTACTTTGTCTGGTCACACCCTATCGCATACCCTTTCCTGTTGGTGTAGTGGCAGTGACAAAAAATAACTAATTGTGGCCTAATCGCATGTCTCATCTATCGCTCCGTTGGCTTTAATGAGTGGGTGACCACTTGCGTACGGCTGGAACCTAGAAGTTAGCTTGACCCGATATACACACTCATCCGCACGTAACCACTAAATGTATCCGGGATCACGCAACCTGCCGGGGAGACAAATAAATATGCAATGTTACTGTGTGACTGCGAGATTGTCGTACTCGTAATGGCACGCACTGGCACTCATACACGGCACTCGGCGGAGATGAACAGAATACTCTGGACATATGAAGAGAGGGATCACTGAAAGCACCTTGCAGGTATACTGGACGTAAACCTGCCGCCGTCGGATAAGGAGGCTGGAATCAACCGAGCCAAGAAGAAAGCATGGTGGGCCACGAGGAAGGTCTCTGACAGAAATCCACGTAGATGGTCTTGTGTAGTGGGTGTCGTCGGAGTCTACGGTTACTCTCAAAACTCTTTAACTCCGGTTGAGGTCAGTGTGCGCACGGTAGCACGATACCTCGACGGACGACTTATAACCATGAAAAAGGTATGCGCAGTCTCGGAATTCGCGAACGCAGAGGAAAACAAGAGGCGAAGCAAGTTCTACTTTTCGGGACTGATGCAATTGGAGGCTGTGAGAAAACAAATCGTATGGATAGATGGAACAAATTTCAACCTCTTTTGTTCTTACCTCAGGGGGCGTTCACTGCGTGGAACTCGTGCGGAATATAAGGTGCCAAACACTCGAGGGTCTAATTTGCATGTTGTTGGAGCAATGACGATTGACGGCCTGATAGACGATGCCATACAGAGAGGCAGTTGCAACAAAGGTGCGCGGGATGGTAGCGCCAAATGTTGAATGCCAATGGCTCGACTTTTATCGAAAGCTGCTTGCTAATCTGTGATAACGCGCCATGCCACACAAATCTGGACCACTTATTACCGCTGAACATTCCCTCGCGAATATGTAATTCCCTGAGCAGAAGTGTATTTAGCCCTCTGCATTCTACTCCATATATACACGTGTAACCCGCCACCGGTAAGTACACGCTAACGGGATATGTTCAGAGTTCATATACTGGTCTGTTTTTCGTATATTTGGTGCTAATTCAGTTGTGATTTCTTCCTGTGTCTAGATTGCCGTCTATCTATCTCGCTGTGGAGTCCAGTCGAACGCCGAACTACTGGCTAAAGGCTATCCGGATATCGGTTGGGATCCAGTAGAGGGCGAACGTTTCTTGGACTTCCTAAGGTTCACGGTATGGGTGAATGGTGAGTGCGTTTGTTAGTTTCACAAAAAATGCGACTGAGTGCTCACAATTCCTTGTTTCGTTCGATCTTTTCTCTTTATATTCTGCTTCGATGCGGGAACCTGTCACTTTTGACTGCTGGACACAGCTCTTTTCCGCAGACATGGTACCTCATCCTTGGACACACAGTTAAGCTGATCTGAGCAATTCGTCTACCTGGTGTCCGCTACTTTAGTCTCAGCTGCACCCATCATCGGTAGACGGAGCATGGAGCACCTATTTGCACTTTGTTCTGTTCTGGAACGATTCCACAGACGCTGATTATCTACCAGAGTCGTATTATCTGATCTGAACACCGTCCCTGATGCAATCGCTTGTTTTTGGTGGTACCTATTTCGAATGACGTGCCATATAACGTTAGCGCAGTCTTGAAGCATCTGAGTCCTGATTTACGTATAGCACCTCTAAAACCGAGGTGCATTCGTGCTTCCTTGTCTTTGCTGCTCCACTTGCAGGCGTCATGAAACAATCTGTCCTATATGCTGCTTCTGTGGTGTACTGTTCAACTAGGGACCGCCTGATGGGCAACACATACAGATTGGAGCACTGGTGAGCATTTCCCACTCCCGACACTGAATTCCACGGTCGGTTACGCTAACCTTTGGGCCTTTCAGATAGGGACTTTCGAAGTTGGGAGTGGAACACAGCACGTAGTAGTCCACTTTAGTGCAAATCGTGGTCCAACTTCGAACTGCGGCACGCAATTTAAACACCGTGGGTTCCCCGAACTATAAAAAGGAATGTGAGAATGCTGCCCGATTGTATAAGACGGCTCTGCCACAACCACTTACATGCTTTAGGAGAATGACAGATCAGTCGCCGATGACTGAACAGCGTTCCTCATTTCTGATGAGATCACCGAATGAGTAGCGCAGACGTACTCCGGTTGTTGTCTGACAAACGGCTTCCGGGTGCCGTACTGAACAGTCTGTCGAGATTAAGTCACCTGTATTGTCTTAACCACCTTCTTCGCATGCCTACGACGGCTTGTTCAGACGTGTGCTCGATATCAACATGTCACATGGTTTAACCCTAGTGCTACCATTCTCCGGTACGCCGAAAAAGCATGAAGCTACCGACAGAATGCTTGAGTCAGTTGTTTTTTCCGCCCTTGAGGTCGACTACGTCGTCAGTTAAATGCCATGTTACGTGGTGCAGTAGACAAGTATGTATAAAGCATTACCTGTGACTCGGTTGCATAGGTGATAAAGCTCCATCCGGTGATCTCTACCTCCCAGGCTTAAGTCGCGATTCTTCTATACTTGACAAGTACAAACAAATACAAAATTGGTTATGGGGGCACTATTGCGATCGGGCAACACCTAACATTGATCCGTTTCAGCTACGCTCAAAGTGCTCGGCGTAACAGATTCTCTTTGATGTTAATCGCAGCCCAGATTGGGGCTGCGTGTCGCGATCCATCTACACAACGGGTGCTTTCATTGAATACGCGATAAATTTGCGATCTATTTTACTTTCGTCTCTTGTTCTTAATAGCTTCCAGACGGCCAGTACCTTGCTGGCAGTAAATCTTATCAAACACCATAAGCTGAATTTGCTATATACCCTCTTAATCCATCTCGCGCGTCACTTTGGCCTGTCCCGATAGCTATTCTTTCGGTACTTTACTTCTTTAGACTTCAAGCATCAGATACTTCATATATGAATTTCACTGTAACTCACTCCTTGGCATCCTTGTGGCGCCTTAACTGGTTACCAAGCTTGCCGAACAACCTCCTCGTGGTGCCAGCTGGGTGGTTCGGGATTTTCCCGTTCCAGCAAATGGTTCGGCGGCAGTGTTACAAGACGTGGTGGGTTTTCGCCTGGCAAGCGTTCTCCCCATAAAAAGCTACATATGTCCGTTTAACAACACTGTGACGTGGCGGACATGACTCGCCACTAAATAAAGTCACTGCCCCTTGCTTCATCCTGGTGAAGCATTGTATTCCAGCAACTTTATGCTGTAATTCTGTGGAGCATTAGCCCCCGTTTGACAAAGAGGAACAAACGAAAGGCGTATGAACCGAGCAATCAGTCACGGGTTCCAAATGGGCGCGATTCCCTGAATTCGCTCCGCTGCCTTGCGCGCAGACTAATCAGCCAAAGGCTCGGGGTGGTGTCCCCTAAGTCAACACCCTACTTCGGTTTGGGCAACCGGGTAGTACCTCGTCCTCTGACGAAATCATGGACTTTTATGTGCTGTGTTGTGTTTTCTTTTACTAATTCTGTACCTTGTTTTGAGTCCCGTGGTCTATTCGTAGACTGTTGCTATATATATCCATATACACATATCCACATATACATATCCCGACTGTGAGTGCACTCAGTAACACTTTTTCAGCCAAGGTGCAGCCTGAGTGATGGGCTCATCTTTTGAGCAGCATGAATCTGCCTTCTTCTAAATTTCATCATTCGACTTGGGACCGTAGCATTCGTTGTTATTGAGATAGCGGTGAGCACTAAAACATTCCCCTACGTTGGTTATGCGCAATCGGTAAACTTTTCGAGAAACTGAACCTATGCTTACCTGCTGATTAGTAGCACGTTTCTACTATTAAAATGGTGGAATTTTCACATATTAGTCATTTCAACAGAGGTTGTTTATGTGTTCTTTATACTCTAGGTGAGACCGTTGAAGAGAACGCAAATTTGGTGGTGCGCTTGTTAATCCGCAGACCGGAATGTTTGGGACCAGCCCTACGTGGTGGTTCCAAAACCATGAAGTCCCCCGGTGCCGCAGATGGAAGTGAAGCTCCTCCCGGGGCCCCAAGGGACGGCCGAGAGGCAAGCGATGCAGTTGGCTCTGATGTTGAAAGTCAACAAACTTCTGTAGGTGGAGGCCTACTGAAGGCCATGAAGGAAGGCTTAGTGATGTCTGCACAGATCAAACTGGTTAAAATGGCACAGGAAGCCGAGGCGGCTGGATTGAATCCCGAGGAGGAAGATCTTGGCTGGCGAACTGTGCTAATGGATTACGAAGACGCCAACTTGTTTGTGCCTCTGCCATACAATTTTGAAGGTTTACCGGTACTCACTTTTCGCGTATTGCTGCTTCAGCATTCTCCAAGATATTTCATTTCAGTTGTGGACAACAGTATATATCAGTCATAGCATTTGATTTAAAGGTGTAAATTCTTTGGTTACTCTATCTCTTGCGCCATTTTCAACACTAGTGTTAGCGTGAATTTTAAAGTGCTTCTTCGTCTGCCACATCACATTTGTCTACATTTTCAACCCGTTTAGCCGGAAGATAATCCTGACTACATCGACCTCGGGGCAGCCATCCTCAACTTCCACTCGGTGCTGGTAAATCTGCTGGGCAGATGTGCACCGGATCTGGATACCACCAAAAGTGAATCACTTCGTGCCCGCTCCATCCTTCAGTCACTGGTCAGTATGAGTGACTTAGAAGGTGTTCTATCCCTACGTTTTATCCTCCCGCCTCCAAAGTTGGAGCTTCAGGTAAGCCTTATTTTTGGTGCCTTTTCTGGAACTGCGAAGTGCTTAATTCAGTAGGTTACACCGGGGTCATTCTCACTGTGTATCCCGCTAGTTCTCTTCAAGCGATCTCGATGTACAAATATGAGAGCGGTTTCGCTCTATTGCCTCAAGTTTCTTCGAACTTGTTCCAGTACACTCTCGGCCGAGGCCGAACTCCTAGCCGCATGCATCGTATCGGGCCACTAAAGTTGCTCCATGCAAACTTATGACTGATTTGTGCTTTTGTTGTATTGCGGAGGTTCACTCCTGCCAAGACTAACAATTGCCTGTCTATCCGATAACATGGCAACGCTTGCTTCAGCCGGCCACTAACTCTTGAGGCTAGTGACACCGAGCGCATTGTCTTCATCCCACGGCCTAAGAAAGTGTTTCGCTTTATCTTAAAGAGGGCCACAGTCTAGCAATTACTTTGCGTATAAATGACTAACCGGTGGCTTCTACGCATGGGTAATATTGGCGATCCACCGCAATCATGTTTCTCGATATCAAATTTATCGGAAGATGGATGCACACTTTGGGGCTGCCTGCTCAGGAGTGGTGTGCCCGATAAATATGTAAACATCTGTTAACCGAACTGTTCGCTGATCTTGGTACTTTTGTTGGAAACATATTGGCATCACTGCAGGTGGCATCATCCCTGACGATGTCACCTCAACTGGCCATAAAACGTTCGCAACAAAATTGCCAACCTCAGCGAACAGTTTGTTTAGTAAATAAGCATTGTGAACCACCTGCATTTACTTCTATATGTAAACATTACCAGATCACTGTACGCGCATAGGTCGGGCAGAGTGAAGGTTTATGGCAATCCGTCGCCGCCATTTACTTGATCCAGCGGTGTGAGACATGGTGGCCCGCTTACAACTTTCTTTTTTAACTTCGCAATTGACGAAGTTATGGAAACGGTGTTCGCTGGACACGACCTACAAGGTGTGGAACTGCTTCCTGGTGAGTGACTTCATGACCTGGAGTATGCTGACGAGGTTGCCCTAATCTGTGACAACTCCCGACCTACTAAGCAGCGCTGGACATATTAGTACCGGCTGTCAGTCAATGAGCAATGAATTTATACGAGTTAATAGGCAATGTTTTACATGTCCCGTTTGGTGGTCTTGCAGGGCTATCGAAAAATAAGAAAGCTGTGGGTTATTTAGGTTTGAAAAATGGACTTATCATTTGTTTCACTGTAGTCCTGCGACCCGTGTCCTTTCATTGCACAAACATGTAACAGCAAATAAATCCAAAGTATATTCTAGGAGTGGAATGGAGATGTAGTACTAGGTAACAAAGTGTAGGTGAGTAAGTGAGTCATCCAAACATCTTAAAAATATGGATAGTGATGGTGCAGAAATGACCGATTCTGGAAGAGCGTTCCACGAGTAACACACGCGGACGGAAAAGTAATTCATACGGCAATCCAGGCGGATGTACTGTTCTGCCAGTTTTAGTGAGGGATCTCTCAAGTTGCTACTACTGCTGAGTTGCAGTAAAGAGCGGCACACATGATATGGATCGTGCAGAATTAAGTACACCATTATCAAGTCACCTCGTAAGCGGCGGTAACGTCCGTTGAATACCCCCAATCGTTCCAGTCTCACCACGTATGGAAGATGGTGCATTCTAATAACGTACTTTGATGCTCGACGTTGGGGCTGCTCCAATGCACTAAGATCGTGTTTTAGCCATGGGTACCAGGCTTGAATTGCATATTCGACATGAGAACGAGCATACGCACTAAGCATCTGACGGAAAATAGAGTGATCTATTTGTGCGTGCACCCGCCGTAACAGGCCTACATGTTGGTTACCATTTTTGGAAACTTTCCTGGATTGCCTGGAACAACCCAGATCATCCTGAACCAGTAGGCTCAAATTACGTTCGGGGTATGCTTTGTAGCATCGAAATACAACGTCCTTCTCCAAGATTGGCAAGGACCCACTCCTTCACTGACCCTTGGTGGTGATCAGCTAGAATTCGTTCAGAAATGTAAGTGCTTAAGCAGCTATGTTAGCGCCTCTGGAATAGAAGATGAGATCACGAACCGTATGGCAAAAGCTCGAGGCTCTTTTGTCAATCTTCGCCCCTGTGACGCCGGCGCAACATCACAACCTAAAGTACAGTGTTTACAATGCAGCCGTGCGTTCAGCCCTCCTGTACGGTTGTGAAACCAGACATAAAGAGGTTAGCTACATTCGACCGTTGCTGCCTTCGCAGGTTAGCTCACATCTAGTGGGAACCGCGTGAGCAATTACTGTGTTAGCCGTCGTGCATTTGTTGCAGGAAAACCGAGTGAACCGCTCAGCACCATTATATCACACAACAGGCTCCAATGTCTGGGCTGTGTCATTTATGCCAGCACACGCTCTTTCGACATGTATGTTTGCGCGACCGGGATATGGATGGAAGAAGAGGAAGGGAAGACAGCCGATGATTTGGTCAAGAGGAATGAAAACCCTCACTTCGGAATTGGTGCCGCTTGGTATCTTCTTACTACCGCGCTATGGTCCGAAAGACGTTGAACACCTCTGGTTTGATACACTTGTTGACATAGCGAAGAGTCGACTTCACTGGCGTTTGCGTTGTGGGGTTTTTTGTCCCTCCCCTCCCTTTTAACTTCCTCCTCTAACCGCGATCTCATACCGACGTATAATATGTTACTTAGAATTATATTACATGTATTTTTAAAGCATTTTCATCTGGAATGTCTAATATGTTATCTTTGTTGCTGCGGTACATTAGCTGAGGTGGGTTTCTCTCCCTCAGCTAACGTGTATTGTTGACGTTGATGATGACCTGGGTAGTCAACTGGCGAAACATCGGTAAGATGTGCCGCCGTACTGTTTACGCTTGTTTATCTCTGTGTGGGTGTGTTCATGATACTCGATGCATCTGCATTCATTTACCATTTTTATCATCTCGCGTTGCTGTCACACGAATTAGCCAGCCTGCGAGTAGTGAGCTAGCCAGCTCCGCAGCCACCATGCTTCGTCTCCACATGCCCTCTGTCTTATTCTTCCTGGAGTCCTCTCGATATTTGGCTGTGAGTGGTGCGTCGCAAGTCGTTCAAAACCGCATAAATTCTGTGGATATGCACAGTCGCTGTAATAAATCGTCAGGGATTCGATGTCTGCCGGCCGGAACTTGCTGCTGTTTTATTATCCTTAACTGGAGTGCAGGAGCGTTTTTATACTGTGTTGTTTATTGTGGTCAAAATGTTTATCCACTCCTCTGATTTTAGTGTCCGTATGAAGCTCCAAATTAATATACTTACATTGAGTAGGCAGTATAACAATGGTACCATCGCAATAAGCCTGGACCTTACCGTGGTGCGATGGTTTGCGTGCCTCAATATCCATTGAGCTATGCTGCGTGGTGCTTTTTTTGCACCTTCAGAGCCACTCATACTAGATTGGTCAGTGGTTAGAGGCCAGACAAAGTCAGCCTTCTGGTCCTCCAGCTTGGGGGTTAAAATAAGGGTGGCTCCTGTAGTCCAGTGACAAAACCCTCTGCCTTGCGGCAAAGTTTTTGAACCAAAGGTTTTGCTTGAGAACCCTAATCGTTCTTCTGTCTAGGCCTGGGCAACCTGCCCACGCAATACATTGAGTTTATCTTCAAACAGTTTGTTGATGCTTTGGCCACCGCAAGGATAATAAACGGCGCCCTATCTGCTACATCGAGCAGGGTGGATAGGGGTATGGATGCTACTGCTCAGACCTTCAAGTCTTCTTATCCCCCTTCTTGCGCTTCTTCATCCTTATGGTCCCGTTCCAACTTTACTTTTATCCTCCCATTTTCAATCCACAATTCTTGGCCCTCCCCCAGCTTGCTTCAATAGTCGCTTGTCTTCTAGTATCAAATCACACACAGTCGCAGGACGTCGCTCCAATCCAGTCGACAAGTCCATGTTCAACCAAGCGGACGACATCAGTTCATCCGTTTCCCTTTGGAGTATTCGCGTCTCGCTAAGGCTGGCATGCCTCAACGTGTACATTTTGATACAGCTTGGCCAACAAGCAGCACTTGCCCGCACACTAGAGACTCTATCCATCGATATTTGCTGTTTATCAGAAACCCGCCTGTAAGATTCGAGCTCCGGGCGGCACATTCTCATTGCGCCTGTCTGGCGATGATACAGCTCCAAATGCCGGTCAAGCTAGCGTCGGCATTGTTTTGAGTCCCCGGGCTGAAGCTGGCCTGATCGATTGGATCCCAGTCAACAGTCGGATGTGCGCCGTTAAATTAGCTGGTTCGTTCCGTGCTACGAAGTCGTGCGGGACAAACGGTGCTTGTTTGTCATTGCGGCCTACGCCCCTACAAACTATAGCACTGATTCGGTAAAAGATGATTTCTATCAGCAACTTCACGAGCTCCTTGGCGATCTAAACGCCCAAGTCGGAGAACTGTCCTCTGATGAGCTTCCTCTGGACGGCCAACATGGTGTAGGCTCCCGTAATGATAACGGTGAGCGATTGCTACAGCTGTGTAAAGATGCTCGCCTCTTTCTCGCGAGCACTAACTTTCGACACAGTTAAACGTTACTGTTAGCAGACATGTCTTCTTGGGGAAAAGCAAATTGCCAAACCGGACATTGGGTCTCTACACAGTCTCCGGAACTTATGGATGCTCGCCGACGTATTCCGGCTGGAAGAGAATACAATGAGGCTCGCAAAAATCTCAGGGTAAAACTGCATGCTAACCTGAAGAAAGACCGCGAAACCTGGTGGTCTCTTCGTGCCTTGGAGACCGAAACAGCCGTTACCGTTAGCAATCATCGTAAGTTATTCCGTCTGATACGGGAAACATGCAGCAGGAGACCTGGTGTTAGCGTGACCATACTCGAGGAGAGTGGGTAGCCGATCCACAGCCTGTCAAAACGCTTGCAGCGTTGGGCTGAACACTTTGCAAGGCAATTTAACCAACCTGAGTTATCGGCTTCTTTGGGCATTGAGCGCCCTTCTCCCTAGGCCGTCTCCTTGGATCCGCCCTCATGCGCGGAAGTCGAATGTGAGATCAGGCTGTTGAAATTGCATAAGGACGCAGGAGCAGATAGAATTTCCCCAGCCCTCTTCAAATTCGGGGGACCTGCTCTATTGGATGATTAAACACGAGTTGCTAGTGGAACTTTGGGAGCATAAGACTGTCCTGACAAACTAGAGTCGCCCCCTCACTGTCCCAATTTTCAAGTGCAACTCCCGTTTGAAATGCGGCAATCATAGAGGGATCAGTCTGATTTCGAATGTCTCTAAATTGCTTGCCTCTGTCATTCTCCACAGACTGACTGGCACTCGTGAAAGCCAGATTCGTGAAGAGCAAGCCGGATTTCGTCGAGGTCGGGGCTACATCGGCCACATCTTCACCTTGCGTCAATTGTTGGAGCACCGCCATGTTTTTTGGCGACCCACCGTTGTCGTGTTTCTTGACATAAAAGGTGCCTTCGACTCATTCGATCGATGTGCCCTTTGGGACTGTCTGCTGAATAAAGGTGTGCCTGATGAATATGAAAACATTATCAAAGCGCTTTACGCGCATACTTCTGTCAGGGTGAAGGTTTACGGCAAACTGTCGTCACCCTTCAGTATCACCAGCGGTGTGAGACAAGGTTTTTCGCGGTCACCTTTCCTCTTCAACTTTGCTATTGATGAAGTCATGGAAACAGCGTTCGCTGGACACGACCTAGAAGGTGTGGAGCTACTTCCTAGTGAGCGACTTCTTGACTTAAAGTATGCGGACGATATTACCCTAATCTGTGACAGCTCCCAAACATGCCAAGCAGCACTGGACCGATTAGCACTAGCTGTCAATCGTTTTGGGCTATGCTTTGCACCATCGAAATGCAAAGTACTTCTCCAAGATTGGCAGATACCCAACCCTGCGCTAACACTTTGTGGTGATAAGCTAGAAGTCGTTCAGGAATTCAAGTACCTGGACAGCTATATTAGCACCCGTGGGATTGAAGATGAGGTTACGAACCGTATAGCAAAAGCGCGAGGTGCTTTTGCCAACCTCCGCCACCTGTGGCGCAGACGCGACATTACTCTCGCCCTGAAGGGTAGAGTTTTAAAACGCAGCGGTCCGTTCAACTCTCCTATATGGTTGTGAAACGTGGCCCATCAGATCGACAGACATAAAGAGGCTCGTCATATTCGATCATCGCTGCCTTCGCAGCTTAGCTCATTTCTGGTGGGAGCACCGCGTGAGCAATGAGCGTGTTCGACGTCGCGTATTTGGTGCATGAAGAGCGAGTGAACCGCTCAGCACCATTACATCACGCATCAGGCTCCGATGGTTGGGCCACGTGTTGCGCGTGCCGGCACACCGACTTCCGCGACTTGCATTGCTTACGCCGAGCGTGCGGTTGGAAGAGGATAAGGGGAGGCTAAGCGATGACTTGGTCGAGAGAGATGAAAACCCTCACTTCGAAGTTGGCGTCGGTTGGTGCATCCCAATGCCTGGCTGGGGTCCTAAGGACGGTGAACACGTTTGTTTGGACACACTTGCTGATATGGTTTGGAGCCGGCCCCACTGGCGTTTATGTTTTGAGTTCGTTTGTCCATCCCCTTCCTGCTAAGCCTCCCCCTCCAATCACGATCGCATTCTTTAGGCATAACATAACTTTTGCGGCACGAAAGCCGGCTGTTAACTCTCCGGAACGATGTCCATCCGTTACTGGGGACTCAGCCTGGGTGCCACTGTTTGTTTTCCTTTTATTGTCTTTTGTATTGCGGCACAACGGCTGAGATGTTTTCCACCTTCAGCTAACGTGTATAATGATGATGATAACAATGTTAGATCGATGCACCTGTCCCCCACGAATGAAGGCAATCATTTACCAGATTGGATTACTGGCTTGAGCATAGCGGTTGCAAAAGATGTGATCTGCTTGCGACATCAACCAATATCCACAATGGGAGCACTAGGTTGCTCAACCTTGTTAGATTTCTCATTCTGTCAGAACTCGTTAGATACTCGAATTGCGGTTGATCACCTCATGAGATCAAGCCTCACAATAAAAGCAAATGCTATGAATAGAGAAAATAGGCAGAAGAAATAAAACCAACGTGAAACGAAGAATCGTCCAGAGAAGATAAAAGTGACACATATCGTTAATCCAAAAACCAGTCGTCGGAATGCATTAACTGCGGAATGTCAGATAGGATTTTCAGACAAAAATATGGGCACTAAAGTGGTACTTTCATCCGTATCCCTGCCGTACCGCCACATGACCACGGTGGAGCTTCATCTGGCCGTAACTAGCAATACGAATTGGGCAGACGGTCATTAGGCAAGCGTAGACAGTGATCCGACCGACCCGATGAAAAACCAACAGCCCTCTTGCCAAAGCTGACTGGTGGACTTTGATACTGCTCTCTCCGTAGTCCCAGTATATATGCAAATCTGGATAATCAGTAGCACAGCTAATTCTGTACGGATGCATTACTAATTTGATTATTGTTTTGATGGAAATCTTTTCTTCTGGCATCAGTTTAAAAACTCCAGGAATATATCTCATCTACTTTATGCCAACCTCTCTTACCTCATACTTTCTCATTCATCATGGTATTTCACAATTCGATATATCTTATCACCTCCCCCTGCCCTCTACTTTGCTTAGACAAACGAGGATGGTGAAGAAGAGTGGGTGGACAAGGCTGGAATGCCGCCTGGTCTTCTGCCAGAACACAAGGCCTCAGTTGTACTCTTCCTAGAGCGAGTGTACGGAATTTCAGACGCTGCCACCTTCCTAAGGCTATTGGAGAATGGATTTCTCCCTGATTTGCGTGCAGCTACTCTGCTTGACTCAGTAAGTGGCTCTAACCTCTTGGATGCCCTTCCCTTCATCATATGGAAACGGATGAATCATTCCTCTAGTTCTCTAATGCTTGGACGACTGTTTTTGTATCCTTTCTCATCCAACACCGAACGCTGATTTAGTCGACGGATCGTTAGTTGCTCATGTGCTATGATTGGACCAAGAAGTTTTCCAATGCATTTCAGGGGCTTTACTTGACTAAGTGAACTGCATTATATTATCCGTGATAGGTCATCCACTTGCACGTCAGTTTGGTCTCCGATAAACCGAAACGGTTGCTTATCTTGCTACAGTGGGGTATCTGCCCTGTTTTGTCAGCTGCCGAACGTAAACATGTGGCAGAGGCTTAAGTGAAACAAAACCAAAAGGGCAGTATAGAATGATCTGTTCTGCAGGAGTTACAAATGATCCCACTCAGACTTGTTTATATGCACATCAGTGATCTGGCTACGTCGGTGGAGTCAACCGTCTTGCAGATATTCGTCTCAGTCCTACAGGCGTTCTGACCGCAACTAGTTGCGCCTCTCCTTCTTTTGTATGCGTTTCATACCGCTCCACCAAAGTGATCGATCGAGCATCGGAACATCTAGTTTAATAGGAACCAAGATAATCTAATGATTATTTTACGTGAAAATATACATAGGCCGGCCACGACCCCGTAAGTGGTGTAATTTCACGAACCGCAATTGATGCCGCAAAGCCAGTGATACCGAATAAGAGATGTGCTTGTCATAATTAACGTCCATTTGACAATTTTCCAATGTCTGCTATAGAGTACTGTCCTTCAGTTCTCTACTTGACCACCCATCGAAGGCTGCTGTGACTGATTAGACGTCAGGTAGTCATCACTGCTCTCTGCCGTGAGTCAGAACGATGCACTTACAAGAATACCTCTGTAGTTTGCACATGCGGCTAAGATCAGTCCACTAACTAACAGGACACCATTCAACATGCATCGATGCCGTTGCAACGTCAGCTAACCATTCAGATGCGCAAATCACAACAATTTTCGCTCCAAACACCCTGCTCAACATGCTAGACATAGTGAATTGGCTACCGGCCCTCTGCAATTACCCAATCTTGTCAGTACTCCCCTTGCCTATGTTACGTAAGCTGGTGGCTTAGCCACGTCGGCCATCACCTTTAGTCATGGACTAGTGGCCTAAATCGCTACCTCGCAGGAAAAAAGCCACTTGTTCAAAGCGCCCCAAGTTTGTGGAGAAAACGCGTTGTCGCTGCGGCCCGAAAAAATGAACTACCACTTTCTTGAATATTGTCTACTTTTCAACTGAGTTTGGTTGTGAATTCCGTCCTTGGAGTTCCCGTGAATTTCTTCGATTCTTTTCACCTTCCTTAGAGTTTCATATTTATCGACTCTCACTGCTTGACGTCTCTGAGTGAACGGTAACACTCCCTTATCAGTCCCGTAATCATTCAAAGCACTATGATTCTTCCGATCGTCATAAATGTTCCTCCGTATGTGCATATTACCTTAATTTGCAGGCGGTAGTGCCGGATAGCGACATGGCCCTTGCCATTAACCGCTACTTGTGCAACAGTGTTCTCACTTTACTCACACGACATGCTCACTTTTTGGGAGAAGGCGATGCCGGAGGCCTATTTGAAGCAACCTTACAAACTGCCTATCGATTGTCCAAGTGTCGTACCATCACAAACCACCAACGCGAAGTTGTGTGCGACTTTTTGGTAGCGCTGATGCAAGTGATTCGGCCTCCAATGATGACTGCACTGCTCAGAAAGATGGCTGTCGATCTGCGTACCCTGTCCAAAGAGGTAAGTGTGCCGGACCCATTATTAGTAATGTTGAGGCTGGTCAGCGGATTCTTCTTATATCTCCTACACATTCTGTTCACCGCCATTTTGGCCCCATCGTGATTGGTTAGCTATCGAGACATGAACTGCCAGATGTGATGAATTCCATGCCATCGGTGACATTGTTTGCCCAAAATAACAGATGACTTATGATGTTTGGGTTACAAAAACATTGTTTCCACTGGATACAGGTTCTTACTCACTGCAGTGGTAGATAGTTCGTGTTATACATTATTAAACATTAGTTTTGTTGGGGGCTCCGCGTTACACATTACTGGATGGAACCTCGAAACAAAACCAAGTCTTTCGCAGTACTGTTTACAACCGTACACACTCAGCTTATGTTGTGTCGCCAGAGAATGCCTTCGCCCCATGACCGCAAGTAGGAATCCAGACGTGCCCGGGACGAATTTTCTGCATTGAATCACGCCTGCTTAAATAGCTTTGATAATGGGTTGAATGGAAACTACTAAAAGACATTCAAGCCAACCATATTGCTGAAACCATGTAAGCTGAATAAAGTCAATGAAGTGTGATCAGTAAGGGAGCCAATAAGGGGAACATAACGCACGAAACGAGAAAGCGTTAGCAGTCAAGTGTGACTGCGGTCAGAGGGCAAAACAGTGACCACATTCAGCCAATGAAACTGGCGGAATAAGGTGTTTAAGCAAATGTCAATAACAGCGATAACGGAAGGAACCAAATCGGTAACTGAGAATGCTTTCCGAAAATGTATGTCCAATAAGTGTCCTCTTAATAGCTTGTCTCAATTTTCCGTTATTTTCATTACCTATTGTGTGTATGGACTTCGATGCACTATCTGAATCTGAACTGCGAGTTGCTTTAAATTGAGTCTCTGTCAGCCCGATCGCTTGAACTGAGGCGGATAAATGTCATATGTTGCTCGATCCCAACACTACGCTCCACGACCGGTCTGGTTCTCCTTTGGCTTCTACGAGATAGCTAAATGGAATCTGGAGTCTGAACGTAGATATTGTCGGCAGACGACCTCGCCACTACACCAAAGCGCACTGTGACAACACTTGTTATGGTAATTGGCCACCCAATAATAGTTGCCTCGGTTAATCGCCTAATCGGCTTCAGCGAACGGAATAATGGCTGCCCACGGAGTGACCACAGCCGGCTTAATAGGCAACAAAATGACTGCTTACTCATCCAACGAAGCGAGATAGTGGAATTTCCCTAACGTAGAAGCGTTAGTGAACGATGCTAAGGGACGTAAGGCTAGGAGCGTAAGGCAGGCGGACTTATATACTGGAAGGGGTCAGAGGACACGAAAAGTCAACGGCATCGCGCTAACAGGTCGGCAACGAAGGCTTAGTTTCGTCTCCTCCCTTCCCACACACACGCTCTTGCGAAGGAGGAGCAGCGCACCTGCTGCGGTCACCCGATATTAGGTGGCATCTGAGTACAGTTTTCACGTCGGTTCATTTCCAACGAAAGATGGAACGAAACGACTCCTCCCACTTGACCGCGACCGATCACTCTCGGTGTGCCAGGTGCCATCACAGATCCTTAACTGACAACGATTCCACCTTGGGTCATGTTAACTGTAATTCTCCCTCTTATCACAAGTAACAGGATGTTAGTTTAACTCAAAAATGGAAATCTCTGTGGGAGGTCATCAGGTGAAGGACCGTCCACAGACTGTGGGTCATGCTATGGACATTGCAATGTCCGCAGACGAAATTTCCTCTACACGTTATTTCACCATGAATGCCCAATACTATTCCAACCCAACTTTCCCACTCCCAGCAAATAGCTGTGTGCTTTGAACAATCAAATTCTCGAGGGTTAAATGATGTCATTCTTGCTCATTAGCGCGTGCTTTATGTTCCAAAGGTACACCATTTTACTTTCCTCATACTGCTGATAACCCTGCTTTTTGGCTAAGCTGTTTCGGCACGTTGCAACTTATTTTGCTTTCTGTTGTTCCACCGTTTTATTCTCAGACCGTGCGTGTGATATAGGTTTTTATTCTATATTACAGTCGCATATATTTACATTTCGTGTGTCGTGTTTAAATGAAGCTCAGTTCCGTTGATAGCAATCACTGGTGGAGGATAAGCGGCAAGCCGAAGGATATGTTTAGAGACGATAACAGCAGTATGTTAGTAAACAGTGCTGGTCCACCGGTACCAAACAACTAACACGCTCTTAGTAATAATGGATACTAAGAGGGGAATAGGAAACCTAGTGTAAAACATATCTTCGACAATCATTCAGGATCAAGATGACCGTACCTTGTAAACAACACATGGTCACAGACAGCCGGTTATCGTGATAAGGTAGTATCACCAAGTCAACTTCCTCGTACCATAATCACTCACCCCACACATAGCCCAACATCATACACACTTTCAACCGGTAGTCCGTTTAGTTGACAAGACGGACAAGTTCCTGGTAGCTGTCGCGATCCACATTCTGTGGTATGCCACGTGTACACCTCAACTTAGGAGATGGACAAATACCAACTAAGTTAGTGATTTATGACATTAATCTCAATACGATCGGGTGAAAACTTGGGCAATTAATTTACTACGGGGTTAGAACTTCGCCTGCTCTTCTCTCATCCGGAGCTCTTGTTCCACATTATAGCGGTGCACAAGGGCAGGGTCCAATGAGATAGGTACTACCGATATCAAACTGATACTTCTGTGGTAAGTACAGGCGCAGCTATTTTTCTTGAATGTTGCCACTATGACCGAGCTACTCCTATTTACTGAAACAATCAGGTTCTTCTATAAATGTTCGAAGAGGTGGGTCAGCCCTTTGAATGGGAGAGGCGACGAGAGTTCGGATCAAGAAACGCAGAAACCTCTGAGGGTTATGACATTTCATATCTTAGGTTCTGTTGGAGCCTTTAACTTAGTTGGTCATGATTCGAACTGCGCCACATGAGTACGGAGATGCTCGGTGACAGGAGATTAGCTGAACCCTCCTCGACTGGCTCCAATGAATGAGCTAGATGCCGTTCCTTAGTAGAACTTACGCACTGGTGCTGTCCCCAATTGCCTTACCGACGGATGACTTCCTGGAACCATTGACATGGACTAATTTGATAGTTTTACAGAAATTGCTCATCGCTGCTAACCCTTCTTTTTCCAAAGCTCTGCTCCCACCAGGCTTCCTTGCCTTTTCTAGGGTTTCATTTTGTTTAACTCCCGATGGTTCCAACAGGGATTCATCTTTTTGATTCCAGCAATTCATTCGCCCCTTCCGATATCCAGCGTCCAGTGAAGTGATGAGTGATGGGGTCTGAACCAGAAGCCCTTGCGCCATGCACGGCTCAGCTATTCCACCCCACAAAAACAACGTTCACAGCTCAATCAGGGGGAAGCTTAGTGGATCATAATCGATCCACAATCTACCAGTATTTTCTAGATATACGCGATTTCCGTGTGGGAGCTGCTCGCATTGCAGCTGTTCGCAACCAACTTCGAGGCGCATTGAATTCACCATTGAGGCTGGCTACAAATTAGATGCATTCTCATTTATCACTTTATAACCATGCGCAACTTAAACAACGTTTCTCTTATGAAGGCCGGTGACAGAATGCAGTCGAGTCTAGACCCTACGGTAATAATTAATCGGCACTGTCACCCGAAGGTAGATTTTTGTTGCCTGGGCGCAGTTGGATATGTTCGGGAGAGCCACGCAGCATGTCAACTAGTGTATTTCTGTGTTATATGCGTCGACGACGTTGATTAGTTAGCTCGGCCACACCACGTTCTTATTGGTTTGCCTCGCATTGACCAATCAATAACTCTTCGCGTCATGCCTTGAATCGTGTGTCATGGGATTCATGTGCGTGAGCTTTGGTCCGATACACTCCCTCTTACTGTTATCCTGTCCTGCCTGACTACTGTCCGGGAGCGTGCTTTGCTCAACTTCGTGACTACGCAATATTGGCGACTCAGGTGGGATGCGAACCCACGCGGGGAAATCCCAATGGATTCCGATTTGCACACGCGGGCTAGGTGGCCTATTTTACTACATTTTCGGCAGATGCTTTCTCTGTGGCGACACTCAGAAGCACGAGCATGTTGCATTCCGCAACGGTAGCACATGAAATGTCGCCGAGGTTCGCCTGGAGTCTGTGGTTTAGCAACTGCGTGAACAGCATCAACAGCTGGATGGCAGTGAATTCAGGTAGCTGGTGCGAGATATTCTCCCTTTGGCTAACGATTAGGCAAGCGCTCTCCCACCTGGTGTCTGACTCGTTCAAAGATAACACTTCCCGTGCACTTTCGTCCAGATTCCCCGCAATTAAGGACTGTACTTTCATTTCTTCCTCAAACCTGTCGGGCGGAATTTCATTGTATTTACACTCGGGAATGGACTGGTGGATGTGTGCAATGAAGTCGTTGACGCTCTCGTTCGGTTTCTGTACAAGCTTTGAAAAGCAGTATCTCGCAGTATAAACATACTGTTTCAATCCCCACTATGGTATAGTTATCCAACGTAGATGTAATAGTGTCACAATTTTCCAAATGTATTTCATCATAATGTCACGGACCTTCATCCCCCAGCACTTGTCTGGATAGTCTTGTTTTGTGGGATGAAAAACTAGCAGTAGTTTCAAGTAGTTACTAAACGATTTCTTCCGCCTCTTCCAGTTTCATAAGGTCGCTTTGTCCTCTGCGGAAGACCATAAGATAGCAGGATCCATTATAAGGTTCATTTTGACCCATCGCAAGTAGTACGTAGTCACGAAGTTAAGCATTGCACGCCCCCAAACCGTAGGGAGGCAGGACAAGAAAACGGCACTAGTGTGTATCGGGCCAAAGCTCACGCACATGAATCGCATGACACACGATTTAAAGTATGACGCGGAGTTATTGATTGGTCGGTGCGAGGCAAACCAATAAGAACGCGGTGTGGCCGAGCTAACTGTCATCGACAGACGTAACTTTCCGTTTATGCAACTATGGATCCGTCGCATTCGGGCAGAGACACTCTGTCAACGCATACGTGCAACAATGCTCGCTTGGTCCACCATGACTCACTATGTGAATACAAGTCTAGCCCCACATTCCTTTTCACATCTACATTGCTCGGGAAGACGAACTGTTGACCGGGAATTGAGCACCGTGCGCTGTCAATATATGTAACAAAACTAGTCTATGTAGGGTGCAATTTCGGCTTCAAATCCACATGGTGAACCCTGACACGGCAAGCGTAACATCGTCCGTAGTTGTGCGAAGCCTAAGTGATCAGAAACAAATTTCAGACCCACCTAACACTAGGCTATCTTCCCACTCGGGTACGTTGGTAGCACATTTGCTCTTAAGTCGGTTGTATCTCGCGCGAGTGAATTGGGTGGAGAATTAGTGCAGACGTTCATACATTGTCATAGAACTTTAGTCACTAATGGTTAGTAACATTATCATACTATAAGCGACTGGTACTCGAGCAAGCGTAGGCTAGCACATACACATTCAGCATAACTGCTGCGGCTCCCACCCATCCTTCCACCACTGAGAACTGAACGAATGCAGCATCATTCTTAACGATCTTCCGAGTTGGCGACCGAGGAAAGTGTTGGCAATCGCTGATCTTTTTCTAGCATAGATTTTCTAGCATTCCGTGTCCAGCCACGAAACATGTCCAACCTCAGCGACCCAATTGTCTGCATATGACAGATATGAGAGGTATGCCTTGGATTCTAGTCAAATCATACTGTTTACTACTCCCCACAGTCGGTTGTTTCGCTCCGTGTGCTGACCGAGTTCTACCAGCGTTGTGGGTCGTACTACACCTCAGAGGGCTGGAGCAACGAAGGTAAATCGGCAAGAACGGTCGGAGGAAGTGAACATGATGCTGGAAAACCAGTTACCGGAGAGGCAACCGACGGAAGCGCCATCCGTGGAGCCGGTTCTGGGACAGAATCCATTGCTACGGAAGAGGAGCGCAATCTGACAGCGCAGTTGTTCATCTTGATATTTGACAATCTCTCTCGGCAGCCATACGAACCAGAGCTATTCTCTTACGCGCTGCCGTGTTTGTGCTCGATTGGATGTGCGCTTCCACCAGATTACTCTATCTCTCGTCTAAATGCTGGAGGTCCACAATCCCGGTTGGAACAGAACAGGGAAGACGGCGAATTGGAAGGATTTCCATCTGCTTTCGGTATGTGCGAATTTTGATATTTTCACTACTGATTCTGGAGCGAACCAAACGCATACATCATGCTTCTTCACCGCAATTGAGTCACACCAACTTACACTTAAACTAGATCTTAATCTGGATTAAATGTCTTCTATTTCATTGCATTTGCTCAGTTTTGTTATTCCGTTGCATATCCCATCTCAATCTTTCGGGTTCATTTTCCTTCAAATCCTATGTTAGTTGTTTGAAATCTCCGGTGTGGTTGCGCTTGATGTGAGTCTTGATAAGGTGCCTACCTGTCTAACACTCTCCAGCTTGATTACTGGCTCCAGGAAACTGCGAAATGTTGTTGGTGGGGGTGCACGGTCTTCATGTCCGTGCTGGGCTCAATGAGTGGTTCCACGCATCCAGTGTGGAGTGGACAACGGCCCAGCCACCGCCATGTGTACGTCTGGCACGCGTGATTCCCATAGTATATAGGCAGGAATACTGCTGTTGTACATGCTGAAGGAGTGTTGGCCAGCTCCGTTGATAAAATCTGACTTCCATCCACATGCCTCACGGTCTTATTCCTTCGGGTTTACACTGGATATGGGGTGTGTGGGTAGAGCTGTGCATTTTGCAGTGCAAGCCATCCATGAGCCCTCTGTAGGCGCAGGCGTCCTGTGACGGGCTATGGAGACCACAGGGACAGGCAAATCCGGAACTGGAGGACGGCAACCATGTACGTACACAACACTTGACCGATGTACGATTGGCTGAATGCCGATGGAGACGAGTAAATACGTTAGCCAAGTGAAATGAGGACCCTCGCCTCGAACTTGTCCTCGGCTGGTTCCTTTCTACTCCATGGTTTGGGACCTGAAGATGTGCACACTCGGTCTTAGACGCTTGTTAAGATGGCGAAGAGCCGACACCATTGGCTCTTATGTTGCGAGTTTCTTTGTCCCTTCATCTCCCGCCTGGCCTCGCCAGCTAACCGCGATCTCATCCTTGATGTACAATAAAAGCGAGGCATAATGTCTATGATGTGGCACTCTGTCTACCGTACTACTATCGGCCATGTGTTAAATAATTATTTACATATATCCTAGGTTTTATCTTCGACCAGACGGATAGTATTGCAGCACAGCTGCTGCGACGTTTCTCGCCTCTAGGTAACGTGTGAAATGACCATGATAGCGGTAATGCTGATGCTGATGTGCCGCTTACACTAGTTTCGAGAGCAACTGAATATCTTTTGAACAAAAGCTTATAAACAGGGAACCACTGCCAGTGGGACATATATCATCCGCAGTTCTTGCCCCATAACTGGGCATCCGACTCAACATAAAGGGGCTCATTATCATTGTCGTCCGACTGTGGATAACGGTCGACTTTTTAAGCTCCACTGTCAGGCGAGTTCACTTCGTTTATTACCTTGTGCAACGCACGTTTTTGTGTTACTTGTTATTGAATCCGGTCTCATTTTTTATTCTCAATTTATCTATCGTAAAGTCGTGTTCCATATACACTTTTGGTGTCGCTTTCATATAGTCAATTATAGTCCACAGTTAAAACCTTTAGTCTTCCTACTTATATGCCGTAGTAATGACGAAGTAAATACCCTGTGCTACTTGCTGCAACATCGTTCGACATCGAGCGAATGCAGTTATTTGCTTTTGTGTCGTGTGAGTGTCTGTATATTCCGTGTTTGAGCTTTTGCGTTAGATTACGAAGGAGTATGTTCAAGTATTTTGCAAGTAGTGCCAGAGTAAAACGCAATAGGAGGAATTCGATAAACGTCGCACAGAAGCAACGAAGCCAAAGCGTTCTAAGGCGAGGAGCTCTGCGTGTTCATCTCAGAAGACTTACACCTAGCCACACCCAAGTCCGGACGAGCCTACTTGCCCGCTGGCTGTGGACTCTCCAGTACTATGTCCATCCGCCACTGGAGGCCCTGCTGGTGTGCTTATGTTGCGTCCGACGGACACTGACAACCCAGTGTGCGATAACACAAGCAAAATAGGCGAATGGTGAACACAACGAATTAAGAAGGAGAGAGCAACTGCTAGCGACCAGCGGCGTTGCAACCTTATGATATTTCATGCGCCTGAGTCAACGGATACGAATCCTCAGGCTCGTTATGATCATGACGTCGAATTTCTACAGAGTCTGATAGGCTCCTCGACGTGAGTGAACAGGGGTTGATAGTGAAGCAAATCGCCCCTCTTGAAAAAAGTGTGGAGGGGAAGACTCCACCTCTATGAGTCAGCTTGCAGACGACGCGCGTCCGAGGATGGTACTATTCCGCCTCGGTTGGCGAAAGGGGCTGACGATTCATATTCGTCCAAATGGATCCGTTTGACAGAGAGAAACTGAATTCCACTATCATTGAGTTGAAGCGGCGTAGCGATAGGGGGGAAAGTGATCTCCGCATCGCAAATTTTTGGGTAGTTCCCCAGGTCTGTCTAACCCGGATCAACTGGTCGATGTGGCTTCATACGCGCCCGGCGTTTCCTGCCGCGGCCTACTCATAGCTTTCATAAGTGTTTGTAGTTTAATGAACAAATGTGACGATTTATATCACTTCGTTGCCTCTCGTCGTCTGGACCTATTGGACTGGCCGAAACATGGTTAAATCCTGAGGTCAATACCCAGGAATTCCACATCAGAGGTTACCCGTGCTTGCGGTGCGAGAGTATCAAACGAACGCGGTGACTTGCTGTTATACATTCGTCTTCGCTGTGCGCGAGACTGGTAAACACATACCGAAGCCTAGGTGGCGATCTAAATGCGATGAAGCGACACAGATTTATATCTTCTCGCTCTCTAACTTCAGTATTCTGTATCCATCCTCATCATCAGCAACAACAGTACACCAACCTTTTGAGGCGACGTTTTGCTGCCATACGACCACAATGATCTACGGAAAGTAGAGTAGTAAGAAGGAGAGAAGAGTGCCTTACCAAAATACCTGAATGCCATAAACAATCATTCTTCGCCAAGTCGTCTACAACTTGTCAAGAACATACCGTCACAAATAGCTGGCAATCGTAATAACCTAACGCGGCACCAGCGAGACAGCTTGTTTGTGGCTATCACCGTCCGCGTCATAATCAACCATTACCCAGCAGCTAACTGCACCAAACATAATTGTAACAGATTGTCCGATTAGGGGACGGCGGCAGAGGCGCCACTGGTGTCGACTGCGAGCCATGTCCTGTAATGTCTCGTACTGAGGACAAGGCGAGTCACGTGGACTCCAGTCTGGAAGGCGAGACGGACCGACAACATCAAGTTTTGTAGTCAGTGACTTCCTTTCCCGCTGTCAAGTCAATTTTGGTCCACCTCGAGTCTTGCACCACCCTACATCTGGCAGACAAAGCATGACCCTCTTCTGTAAGCGGTGACCGGGCATACGTAGAACGTGCCCAAGCCAACGCAACCTATTCAGTGCTGTCTTGTTCCAAGGAACTAGCTTAGTTATCACTGCCTAGTACTCACCCACGCATATCATTGTTGCGGACACGCTTGTGCCATCCGAAATCAGTAATGCTCCGCAGACAGTGGTGATCAAAGACTTGAAGGCGCCTCAAATCCTCAGATCTAAGGGGTCAACTTTCACTTTCATAGAGTAGAACGGCCATCACTGTGGACTTATAAACACGGCCTTTCAGACGGAAGAAGACTTCCTTCTGATTCCAACGTTGTCGCGGATTCAAGAATGCAGTTCTGACTTTTGTTATACATGAACTGACTTCGATTTTTACGCGCCCATCGTTGCTGATGCAGCTGCCAAGGTAAGTGAACTGATCAATTACCTAGAGTTCCTCCGTATCAAGAGTTAAGGGGTCATTAAATGGCTGATGGTCCTGCAACAACCTTTTGCACTTTGAATGTGCGAAGCACATGCCAAATGATGGGAATACTCCAGATAATTTATTCAGGGTTAATTGCACCGTCCCAACATCGTTAAACAGCAAAACACTATCGTCTGCATAATCGAGATCAACTAGACTTTCACCTGGCAGCACCTCAACGCCTGCATCCTAATGTGATTACATTTGTTCATCTTCATTTCGGTTAGCTGATTGTGGGTCACCCGCTGATTGCATCTGCAAGTTGCGGCACAATAGCGGAGGTGTTTTCCCACCTCTAGCTGATGTGTATAATGAATGAATGAATGATGCATCTGCAAGTGCTTATCTCACTTTGGTGTACGCTGCCTAAGGTGCCTCCATAAATGCACAATTTCGAGTAACTGCAATTTACTGTTCACGAAAGTATTCCATTCTATCAAGTTCAGTCCACGGTTTACAGTCTTGCAATGCAATTAAACATCGCTGTGTTCTTGCGAATCAGGTATAACCTAAGCAGTACGCTTTCTTTCCGCAACCTACGGAATGTCACCAGTAGCTACCCATCATCATTCCCTAAGCACGGTTTGTGCCATCGTCCTTGTAACTGCTTTCATTCAAATCTCAGTGAACTGTAATGGCATATCATAAAGTGTATCGTCATTTGACCACAGTTAAGGAGACCAACTTCCCCTTTATGTGAGAACTTGCTTGTGAGCAAAAAGGGCTAACGTATGGCGCATTCTAACTCCTTATCGTTTGTTCTTTGTGATTTTCGAACTAGATGGTCTCGTGGCTCCAGATGGGTCCCGCGCAGTTGGGCCAGATCAACCGGAGGAGGGCATGCACCACGATGTCTTCATTCCGCAACCCATTGACGCAACACAAGTGAGTTGCTGCCATTTACAAACCTGCCCATCACAGCTATTGTTGAATGACACCAAACGGACTAGCGTTTTGCACAATTTCAGCTCGATACCGGTCAATCACAGAACACTATTCACAATATTAATATGTTTTCTTCGACGACATTGGTTGTCAGAGTAACGTGCAACGGAGTCTCAGGCTTGGAATCCACGGGTTGCCCCCGTTAGCCTTTGGAGTTCCCCAGTATCAATTCACGGAGCGTAAACCAGCAAATTCACACACCACCATCGGCAGAGTCGTCCAGCTTGAAAAATTTCAAACAGGTGCTAAATGTCTACGGCCTATTTGTTTAGTACTATACCGCACTCCGGAGTGGAGGTTCCTAATCCCTCTTGCCGGATAACTGAGGTTCGGTTAATCCAGTAGCTTTTGACTCATATTGTTACGGTGCCAAAAATTAATGACAATGAAGCAGAGACAAATGCGCTTAAGTTATCCAGAGGTGGATTAAAAAGCGCAGTGTTCGTGCTGAAAGTCAGACCATTACAAGTGTGTGTTGGCCGCTGGTCGAAAATGTTCCACGCCTGGCTTGCATTTCGTAGGTTACCGATTCGTATCCGCTTAGGGGCAAGCGTCCTCACGGTATAATCAGCCTACGCGCGACCAGTGGTGATCGCATGGCAGCGAAGCGTCGGTACCGTGTGCCGGCGTATTGCTGTTGACTTCCAGAGTACGTGTCGAGACACCGCGGTCCCCTTACGCCATTCTTGCCTGTGTGCCTAACTGCTGCTCTATTCTACCTGCAATACCAGTGTGGAAAGAGTAGAAGCACAGACGTGACCTAACCCATTCGAAAGTACCCTCATGCTTCCTCCTCTTGTGACCACCCAGTCATCTCGCGGTCTCGTTCGGTCAGAATTTCTGCACGAAATCCTTTCATCGCTCACTTCAGTAAGAAGAGAGAGAAAGTGAAGGTACCCACCATACCAAAGCTTAAAATTACACTGAAGCTACCGTTTAAGGATGATGTAAGCCAAGTATTTCGACGACGTTGAAAATCCGCGGTTGCACTAGGGTATCCCGCGGCGCAACCCCTACTGGTATACACAACGATGCGCATTCCCACAACTTCGGTTAAACCGCAGCTACCTCTGTCCAGCTATTCACACATGGTTTACAAATTTACATGTACTTGCACGGTCAATTATATAGGCATAACAGAGTGCCCGTTGCAGATGAGAATCGCGGGGCACATCCCGGTGTTGGGGAACCATGTCTCGAACCTACCCCCTCCACCACCCAAGGTGCGCAACCAAGGAACGCACGTAGTCAACCCTTCAAGACGCCTGCGTCATCCATCGCTCGCCATCTCCTGACAGACAAACAGTGTGTTGAACCCCCACGTATGTTCAGTGTGATCTACGCATCCAACGACACTCATGTGCTGCGATACGCTGAGGCGGCCGCGATCAAACAGCTTGATCCTAATCTGCGGGTGCAGAGGGACGCATTCGTCACACTGGCTCTACCCTGTTAGTAAGCCAATAGTCAGATGAGGAATGGACAAAAACGTGTGTGTGTATGTATGTTGGTGAATTTGCTATCTCAACTTTCCTAACTCTTCATGATGCTATTAATTTTCACGTGTTCTGTGGTACGCGCTTTTGTGTTAACATTTTTACTGACATGGATTGGCGGCATCCGTGTCCGGATTTGCCTGTCACTGTGGCGTCCACGGGGACAGCCACAGGACGCCTGCGCCTACAAAGGGACCATGGGTGGCTTACACTGCACCACCTACAGTTCCACCTACACACCATATATCCGGTGTAAACCCGAAGGACTAAGGCCGGGAAGCATGTGGATGGGAGTCACGTTTCATCAACGGAGCCGGCCCACACTCCTTCAACAAACAGCACAGAAGCATTCCTGCCTAATTGAGAAATCATACGCACCAGAAGTACCCAAAGCGGTGGCTAGCGCGTAGCCCGTTCCACACAGGATGGAACCACTATTTGAACCTAGCACCGTCACGAGGACGGTGCACCCCGTCGCCTCGAGCAATCGAAGTGGAGAGTTTTAGACAGGTAGGCACCTTGTCAACATACACATCAAGCGCAGCCACACTGGTGAGTTCAATAAACATCCAACTCATGAAATGCAACAATACTCATCACACAGGCAGACGTACCACATCCGCCACCTTATTGGTCTGGATTAGTAAATGGAATGGGAACGGACGCATTGCGCTTCTCCTCCGTGTGCAATAATGCCTTCTGCACCAGGGCAACCGCCCTCTTGATTAGCCCACGGAATTCGCACCGAGAAATTCTGCCTTTGATTCCCAACACGTGAAATCAACATTAGTTCGTGATAAACTCACCTTGTTCATGCCCCGCTAATGTTATCTTCGGTTTGCCGCGTGCCCCTTCCTGCACTAAGTTGGCCGTACAAAAGCTGCATGAGTATCCTCATCGAATTCATTCGGTATACATATATACATAGATTGGCGTCATCCATGGCCAATGGCGATTCGAATACAACATATGCACTTGTGATTGTCCAAACTTAAGTATGAACTACCACAAACTGGATAGAGACACAATAAACCTCTGGACAATAGTCTTAAAAACGTGCATGGGTTTGGTTTGTAGGTAAAGCTACCAGCCATTTTCGCCAAATGATGGAAAAACGCACATACGTGGATAAGTACCCAATACGAACTGCCGTGGTTTTCGTTAACATTTAAACGTGAACATCAATGACAGCCTTAAATCTTGGACATCAATATAGGAAAAGAAAAGCAACTGTCATCAGTACGGTACAGTAAGTGTGTATTGAGATGCTGCCTAATATATGTGAAGTCGGACTTGCGGAGCTGATGGGGGAGATTGTACAGCGTGTGAATGCGCTGGGGTGTTCACTTGAGACTCTCCGTGTCGCCGACCGCCGAGGTGTGTGCGAATTCTCAGAGAACGATTTTGGTGCAATCTTAAGATTTGATAGGTGGTGATATTCGCCGCTTACGTCCTTGTTGGCGCGACAACAACTGCAACACTACATCAACTAAGTCCAGCTGCCCGCTTTTAAACGTTCGGCTTTCAAAACAGAATTCTCACTGTTTTGCAAATGTCTGAAACAGCATGGCTGTCATTCAAGTATTCAACCGCTTGTACATACCACTGTGTACATTGCTGTGGTCATAAGCTATTTGTTAACGATCTGCATCGTACGCCGTGGGTGTAGCCATACGGTGCTCCTAAAACGATTGTCGCTATGTGCTGATTCCTTTCAGATGTAACATACTAAGACACTGACGTAGCATTAACTTTTCTTAGTCTACCCAGAAGATTGGTCATGTCCCATTCCACTTCTAGTAGGCAGCTCTGCGCTTTCGCCTTCAACCCGCACAGTACCTGCGTTTTCATAAGCGCAGGTAGATTCATTATGGCTGCTGAACAACAGGAAATATAGCCATGCTCACTCGCAACACTAACATATGGAGCGGAACATGAACTGTCGACATCATGATAATCGCTAGTCGGTTACTTGTCGGGATTGGTCACTTGACACGGATATTCCATGGCGATTTTTCTCCGGATGCATGGTCCAACATGGTCACATGAGGGAAAATCGTTGAGCATCGTGTTCCAAACTTCGCTTTTACACTTTTTGGATACTGTAAGCGGCTAAGCGCTAGTAACCTTTCATTCACGCGTATCAATCAAACTGGAAACGTACTCAGTGATTTTCCACCCTAGCAAAAATACATAACAACAATTCAATTCTCCCGGACATTCCGCGCGCACGTCAGATACGAATGAGTTCATGAATGGACTGAACCTTTTTCTTGCAATGCACCGGCTCTCTATGCCTCCTGCTAGCTACTATTGGGCAGCTGATCAAGCTAGAGTCATGTAATTTACAAATCGATTTCATGGAGCAGAATGTAGATAGAAAAAGGGACAGTGGCAACCTCGCATAGTCTGGTGAGCAATACCATGGAGAGGAAGACGCCGCAGCTCACCGTCTCGGTATGTCACCGTATTAGACTCTATTTGCGAAGGTAGCAAAGGTATCATAATTCTTGATGAGTACAACAGTGTAGTGGGCAACACGTGAAGTAATCGCGAAATACAATCGAGTTAAGTAAGGTCAATAATAGGTAGGTTAGATGTGGCTCTTCCGTCTTAGGCAGGTGCAATAAAGATACTACATTGCACCAAGTAAGTAGTTACTCTTTCTAGTGTGCAACTGTACCCTAGCGGGACTTACATGAGCGATAGAAGAAGGATGACGCAAAGAAGATGACGAAGGTGGAGTAGTCAAAGTTACAAGTTAGCAGGGAAACGGTGCGATTAGATTTACGATTGTTATAAGCTTAGCTAAGTTAAAGTCCGCGGTGAAGGAACGGGAATTCCATCTATGCTCACTGTAACGAAGAACTAGGAGCACAGTGGAGCAGTGATGACTTGTCCTTGGTGTGTGCTGTGAATGCCGTCTCCTATATTACCTGCAGACCATCAGTGTCGAAAGATAACCCAAAGCCGGTCCAATCGTCTCTGGTCCTAGGTAAGCGAGAATTAACAGGTATGTGGAACCACCAGGCAGTCAGTCATGTGTTAGTATTTATTGTCCCCTTGGTCGCCCGTTCGATCCGCCAGCACATCATCAGTGCCGAGAATGCCACCTGTGTCCAAGCGTTTCGATTTGGATGTCACTTCGTGTTGCCGCTGTCCCGGAATCAAAATTGATGACTTGTTTGAATCTCAGTGCGTTGGCCTGAAGGCGACAGCAGTACAATGGGGCGTATACTGGTACTTGAGCTGGGATACATTAACATGATTGCAAAACCCGAGATAAATCCCGGTATCACACGAGATGAAATGTAATAAGATCTGTTATAACGCTGCCCCTTGCCTCTCTGTCTCTCTGCGCTACCAACCAGCTGGAGAAAACAAAACTCTGAGCCTGCTAGACCGAAGTATATTAGGCACAAAACATGGCTACTTTTATAGGTCACATGCGCTTACCTCGCCTCTAGCACTGAGGTGAGTCACACCGCTTGTCTGAACATATTCGACTGGTAGCGGCCATCTGACTGTAGGTAGGATCACGTCCGCAACATAGCAACTAGTGCGGCGACGACGGTCTGATTTCGTCAGCTTCCGGTTTGACCATGACAACGAGCCTGTCAGCCGCTCACGTGATCTGGCCGATCTCGCCTCGCTAGTGTGCACCATGGTAGTCAGCTGTTTCGCCTCCGTAACAAGATCCATCTGTCAAGTGGGATCATAACGAGACACGAACAGATATTAGCGCGACCTGTAGTTTGGGTGAGACCCAATGAGACATCGAGCCAGCAGATAATGGTGTCACGCGTGTGAAAATGCGATCAGTCTGTCAGGCTAAAGTGTGGTGCTTACAAGTGCTTCTACATGGCTTCCACTTAGTCATTCAACATGATGACGAGCACCGCTCACTGTGAGTAGAGATATCAGTTGACATACCAAGGATCCCGGTTTTGAGTTGCAGTACTACACTTTTGCTAACGGGCATGTGTTCACACTTGTGTATGGACTATCACAAACGGAATGGAGAAACAGTAACCCACATGGACAATAACACTACCAAGGTGCATGAGTTTTGATTGTATGTAACACTAACGGCCATATCCCTATGGTTTTGAAAAATCGCACGTGGAATTTTAAGCAACCAAGACGACTGTCGGGGTCTAGTTAACGTTTGGACTTGAACCTAAGTGGCAGCCTTAAATTTACTCAGAAATGTGGGCATTAACAATAGATAGGAACAGATATAGGAATAGGGATGCAAATGCCACCAATTCGATTACGAGGTGGAATGATGCACAAATAAGAGGTACAGTAAAACAATGATGTCTTATCGTTAGTGTGTGCTGTAGATGTCTGGAGCTAACGCGGCCCCAATGCACATGACTGGCTTCATCCGCATTCTATTACGACGACCGCGGCAAACCGAGGAAGCGAAAATTGAAGTGACGAAACATAACTTTGAAAGCTAAGCCGAGTTCTATCCGGTGACCCAAAACCAGTAGGTGTTTGCCTATCGAATTTCATGCCGAACTCATCTCGGCGCATATATCTTTCTTCGGGAATTCAGAATCCTATCGGTTATGCCTATGTGACTGCAAACCCAGTCACACACAATTTGGTACACACCGATAGACTGCGCTTTCTTCTCCGGAGGTACCGGCAAATTTCGGGTTCGCTTACTGACCAATCTTCCTTCCATCATCCATATGAAGAAATTAGCATGTGTGCACAATAGATTTCTCAGTACTGTGTACCTCGGAGATAAAAACCGCAATTTTCGTGCACAATAACAGGAACACCTTCAACAATCCGAACAGAATTTGTAACGAGCAGTCAGAGTGCTCAGCCGCCTGATGTATCGGTGCACTGATCGATAAGAATAATACATCCAAGAAACATATAATCTTGCTTCACAGGTTAATTTCATATAAGTCCTCACTAAGCTGAAACGAATCCGTAAGGCTGTACGGATTGACCGATTGTCTCCGCGGAGAAAGCACGTTCCCTAACCAACGAGCCAGTTTGCCCTGGGTGCGTTTACTATTCATAGGATCGGCCCGAGTGGCACTCTCCACTAAAATATCTACGGACACCCATACATCTGCGAAATAGTGATACCACTAGGATTCAAATCATTACAAGTACCACTGTCTATCACACGATGGAACAAGTTAACTGAAGTCTCCCGCCAAGGTTAAAACGGTGCCAATTAGTGAGAAATGCACTCTCACAGATCGACATTTCCAAGTCTTAAGTGAACTACGAGTTAAGGAGGTAGCCGCAATGAAATCAGGTAAGGGCTCCGGAGTGTTGCTTACGAACAAGGCAGCATATGGCTTTTTAAAAATGCGCGTCATACTCAACGATGCGAGTGAATTTGTACAACTCAAGAAAGTGGGGGACCTGGCCGATGTCATAACCCGCATGGTTCTTCTGGGAAGCAATGTGAACCGCTCATTCTTTTAACGGTACGCGTTCGTCGCCTTCTGTAGACCTCACTCGGCTTATGAATTGCATTGTTCTGTAACACTACCCACGCAGGCTGACGGTTTACGTTCCCTATTTAAACATGCCTTTTGTTTGCTCTACGATGGACCGAAAACAAACTTCTTACTGCTGACCCCTTTAAGGTACGTCTACCAAATTCGTTGCACACGCTGGTCGACCGTTTCGCGCAACATTGCCACGATTCTTGGGCTTTGGACTTAATCGAACAAGGCTACTCTTACGGCCCGGTTGTGGATGAGGTCAAACGAACGCATCCTAACTTGTGCAGTTTCTCCAACTTACCGCAACACGTGAGTTCATTTATGCACGCAGTAACTTGTTGCATCCCCGGTTTCGATTCTCTACTGCGTCTGATTGCGACGCGCCTTTTGAGTCTCCCTTTTAAACACAGGAATCTACGAAAGGAATGCTGTCTTCATATGATTTCCCCTGCCGTGTTTTTAATGATCATATTTCCCTGGAACCCCCTACGTTCTTGGTGAGGCAACATCGGGGACATCCGCTGTAAACCCACCCCTGGCAAACAGCTGCATTATGCCCCGTGTATAGTAAATGTATTTTAGGTAAGGTGCACCCTCTCGGTTTGGCATAAAGACCACTGAACCATATCAGCTCCCGATTCTGTAAACTGCAGTACTGGTACAGTTCTACAGGTTAGAGCGCTTCTAGTATCCCGTCTTCTGTTCATCATAAGACGGCCAGTCCACTTCATCGTCCGGTACACTAGGGCTGTCCTATCATGAGGCCCATTGGCACGCTAGGTTCAGTCTTCCGATCCCCGCACTTACCATACTTTAACGCACGCATCGGTGTACCTGTTCTAATATTTTGGAGACAAGCTAGTACCAACCGGAATGGGACTGGTGATACATCCCCACTGCAATTGCTCTATACCAGGACGAGTGAACGTGCGTCTTCGCATCCTCGAAATTTATTCGCAGTGATGTATTGTTCGACTACACATTAGAAATCCTGCTTGGGTCTATCTATCTATCTAACTTTATCCAAAATCACTTCACCTGCTGGGTCTAAGATACCGCTAAGGTTCAATGAGAGAGCGAGTGTGCAATTTCGTCACATTGCTAGAATTAAGCACAAGCCCCATTACGAAATTGACTGAGGCGTACGTTCTGTCTTGCGTAAGTACATACTATACATTTTCCGCTATTTTACATGAATGCGTGACTAGCAAAAGCCGCATCAGAGCGAATCATGCTCACAAGAGTGGACACGCCGTCTCCGAACATCACCGAACTCCTGGAGCGCTTGCGCTTAGATTTGTCTGCTTATGGGTCGAATGCGTTGTAAGGCGAATTCGACCGGCTCGGAACAGCCATAACTTCTCCGCATTCTAATCAATCTTATTTCTTCAGATTTATATCGGGCATATAAAGACGGTGTGGATACCACCACTAGTTGTACAGTGCATGCCCTCCTATCCGTATAGGCGCGAGCATGCTGTGTTTGTTCGCACTCTCAGTGGCAGGTAATTCTGAATTCAGATGCCACCAACTAGTTATTCAGCTGTCACATGATTAATGGACATCATACCACTAAAGGAGGACATTGGCAGCCCCCTCTCTATTCTCTACTTCTCCACTCTTCACAGATCAAAGTTGCAATGACCCGTTCTTTAAGTTGGCAGTGTGACTACCGAGGCGCTATTCTCTTAACGGCTCCGGCGTTCTGTCCACTCCATTACTGAACCACACTTATCAAATTGTTTAGTAAATTGATTAGGTCAAAAACTGTATACTAATTCTAGCTAGACTATGGTGCCTGTCTTCCAGAAGCTCAAAATAAACCACTTATCCTTGTTAGACTCCCGGCATTCAACTTGATGGGCATTGCCTTTTACTTCCACCGACATTGGGTGATCACAAGGTCGTCACCGTTTTCGTACCAAAGGATGCCATACTGTTGACATTGCTTATTTGTTTGTTTCCTCGATTATTATGCATGTCGCGGAAGCTTTGCTGTGCATTGCTTTTTTCTTCTGACGGGAATCGATCCAGCGTAGGCGACAAACGCGTGTGGTCTTGAAAGGAACCGTCTCACACGTTTGGTATTGTGTGCGCTATGGGTACCGCAGCAATATCGGATGGTTGATACCGCCTGATCTGATCTGGACCGAGGAACCTTCAAAGCCCAACACTGGAGCCCTAGTTTCGGGATGAATCCGGCAGGGATCTACTGAGTTCAACTTACAGCAAATAGAACATCTAATCCTTCCAACACTTAAACTACAAGAGTGGAGTGTCTGCTCCCCTAACTCCTGCACGTCGGCTAGTATGTTGTGCGTGTTCCATTTGATGAACAGAAGTAACTCCACTACTAATGAGTAGTATGTGTGGGAACGAGGAGCCACATGGAAATTAGAGAAATAGTGGATCGCCGCGGACGAAGGACGACTAGTGTAAAAAAGTACGCGCGGTGCACAAATCTGTCTCCACCGATGCGTTGTGAATGAAGGGTCGCTACGGAATGGATAAGCAGAAAGGTACCACGAAGGAAATGCGCCAATAGGCCCCAGTTTCTATGTTGAACTGTTAAAATCTCTAGACTTTGGTTCTCTAGTATGTAACACGTCTGCAGCGCTTTGCATTCTCAACAATTGAAGTATGAAGTCGTCTAGGTCACTGCAGCGGTACAGCACTTACTTTTTTTTCCTTTTATGTGTCTTTGATGCTTTTGGTGTGGCCCCCTCGGTTCAACATTCTTAATTATTTTCCTCAGTTCCCTTTTGCAACTGCTTTACGGTCACTTAGATTATAACCATCTTTGGTAAGCTTTCAACAATGTAACACACTTATGCGTCGCAGTCTCCTAACAGCATAATGTATATTCGATTCGGTTGTACTTACAGGAGCAGATACGGTACGTGCAACCAGTCACCGACACGCTGAAGGCCATGCTCGCACTCGGTTGGGTCATCGACGCTGACGACGCGCAACATCACGACTCTGTCACCGATCGACATCAGTTGCGCAGACCCACCATCACGGTCAGTCGCAGCAGTCTATCTTGATATCCAATAACATGCATGTCTTATCCCAACAGGTACAGCGGTTGTCCACGTTGCTTTCTGGGCGCTTTTTGTCTCCCAGTAACATTCTGTCATCCATTCATACTGAGCACATAACACTTATTTGATCGCAAGACATGAAACGGATTTTTGTCTAGACCTCTGAACACCTCTCCACTGACCCATTTGATCAGTTACACTGCTGTCATCCGCCTTGCTGTTCATCGGTCACCTCACACTTTAAACGTCTGCTCGTCGACCTTGTGGGGTTGCTCGGAGGACACCCATCTCAAGAGAAGCATGGCAATTTGTTGGGTCGCGTTCACTTTCATCCTCAGCCTAATAACAATAGTTTCAGGCTCATCACATGGTACCACAACTTCTTGCTTCCAGTTCCAGATCGATGAGCGACAGCCGACACTTAACTTTCACTAGGCTGTGTTAATCGAACGCACTTCGCTAAAAGCAAGCAGTCAGCAAAGGAACGTTGTGTGAGTAGAATAGGAAGATAACACCAATCCTATGCTCTCCGAGGGCAAACAACTAAAGGCCGACGAAATACCATACTGTGCGTTGTTTTCTAATCTACTACTCTACTCAGTGACTCAGCATTTCTGAGTAGACGGTATGAATTTAAAGTTTCAAGTGAGTTCATTGCAGTCTAATAGGTACCACATATGTTGAAGAAGGCTGGACGTGCGTTTCGCCCAGTTGATATCCATCGGAGGCGCACACCTTCCTTAGTGCACGTTCACAGCTCGAACACATGGCTATGTAAATTACAATCAATCATTTATGTCACTGCGTCGTGAACGATGGTGACGGCTTCGCTAACCAAACTACTAACTGTGCATCTTATCCATTTTTCGATAAACATTTTGTTTTCATCTACTCCCCATTACTTACTCCAATGTTCTCAACTTTTTTTCTAACGAGATGGCAGGTTAAAATCACTGGTTTTCCTTAATAGCTAAATGAGAAACTACTAACCCGTATACGCAGGTTTTTTCCAATCAAGCGACTGCCTTTCGAAGATAAACACTTAACTTATACCTACCAGTAACACGGTGGACTGCACATTGTCCCCTCTATAGAATCAACACAGCTTAAATTTACACAGATCTATCGCTTAACATCTAGCCTATCCCAGCTTAGCAAGATTTTCACTCGTGTTTGCTTTTCCTCATTCCCACACCATCCCCAAATTTGAAGTCGCCCTCCACTCCAAACTATGGATTGTCAAATTTACTTACTCCTTAAAGGAGGGGAATCCCCTCCCATCAGCGATAGTAATTCTTTTTTGACGTCCAAATCCCTTTTTCCGTCAGCCGGATGGATTTTCCCCCTACAACCCAACGCCTCGGGACCTACGCGGTGTGAATGTATCGAAAGAAATGCTCAATTTGGCAGAACGACTTGCCGACAACGCGCACAATATTTGGGCAAGGCAGAAGCTAAGTGATCTGGAGGCCATTGGTAAGTATAAAGTAACTCTTAAATTTGTGCTGAAGCCGCGCTATTCCCATACCTCGTCCTATATCTCTGGACACCACTTCAAATGGACCAATGAACTTTGACGAAAGATTTTTGGATTGTTTGGCCTACAGAATTTCAACCGATGCGCACATAGTTCCTCTCTTTCAGTGCGGAAGCCTAAACGGTGTTTACCATACCCAGTTCTCATGCCTTGGTCATCTACATCGGTTATGTCAAACTGAGGACCTCTCGAGGGCTACATGGGTCATATATATATATATATATATATATATATATATATATATATATATATATATATATATCGCGGCATCCTTTTTGCGTAATAGCACTCTTACTTAATTATGAGCAGACGTCGTGATGCAAAGCTGGGCCATTAACGGAAAAGGTGGATCGTCTCAATTCGACCATGTGTCGTTTTCTCACAATGTCAGCACTGGTCGACCACTCTTTTAACTTTATCATTCACTGTCCTCTCTTTCCGGACTACTGTGATTCTTTCATGCACGAAACACAGGACATAAATTTCCTTCACAATCAACAAACGGGAACGATCAGCATCTGTAGAGCAATCTTCACCGTTGCCTACTCTTAATTTCTGAAATTCTCATCACTTGATGTCGATAAGACACGCTGTCGTAGCATGCGACAGTATTTCAGTCGGTTTGGCCTCCCTTTGATCACTCAGAAGTAAACCTCTGTGTACTCTGTAACGGAATAACTTGGTACTTTTGGAGGGCAAACTGGCTGTTCAACTCGCTGGCTATCCATCAATCGGGTTTTTGCTGTCATTCGCTGTTGGACTGTCGGTCGCACAAAGAACACCACATCAGATACTTCCCAGGACATGTTAGCGAGGCTGTCACACTTGAAACTTTTCGTTGATTGAGGATAAAATCGCTGATGCCATCCCCCAAGTTGGTTTACTTAGCGGCAATGGCACTCCAGACGCGACCCATTCAGGGTTTTCGTCATTCCGTGCTATCGAACCATTCAAGTGGCTGCTGGGCCTTCACAGTCTCGTCACATATATACCAGGAAGTTCACTAATGACTGTGCGCCAAGTGGAAGTTAGATAGTTTAACTAACTTTTAATCGGATGTCACTTATCAGCCTGAATTTTCAACATCAAATCAACCCTTGCCTACAATGATCAGTTGTGCATTGAATCATAATTAAGACCTAGTAAGTTCGTAACGCGGTGGTCTCGGAAGTAACATGTCAAGCTATCTAGTGAAGGATGAAGCAACCCCTACGTGGAGATGACACCTCGAAACCGCCCTCTGTTGCAAATGAGTAACCCATTACCTGCACCTCAACCAACGCGTTCATTACGTGACTACAGATGTTTGGCACTCTGGGTCGAACGCTGACGCTAGCCTGCCACCATCTATGCGTGCTACCCGCTTAATCATGTTCATCAATGTGTCATCAGTTTACATCACTAGCAATAACGTTACACAACAGAACCCCACTTATATTCATTTTTTAAAGGTGTGCAAGAGGCGTAAAAGACAGTGTTTTATGCAATCGGCCGGTGATCATTCGGTGACTCATGCCCCCCTCCATTCTTTATTACAGGAGGTGGTGTACATCAACTACTAGTACCGTATGAGATCCTGACGGACAATGAGCGGAAGCGGTATCGTCGTTTGACACACGAGCTGATCAAATACCTTCAGTATCATGGGTACCGCTTAGCAAAGCGAGCCACGGGGTCGCAGGTGCTATCAACCTCCGGAATGGAAGCTGGCGCTGGGACGGACCCTAGCAGAAGAGTCGACGGACGCGGTAAGTTCACCTAGGCTTCCACTTTCCCGATACATAGGTCTTTTGTTCAAAGGAGGGTCACTTCACTCGGTTTCCTCCCGTGCAACTTCAACCGTGAACTTCTGCAGTTCAGATCATTGCCATTTCCACTGACCCATGTTTCGTGGTTAGCACTGAGGTTTTGGAAGGAAAAATGCATTTGAAGGTGCTTGGAAACCCTTCGAGTAAATCCTCGATTGCATTCTCCGCTAGTATAGAAATTCAGACAACTGAGTTCTCAGTCTACTCTGGTATCTTGCCTGCGCTTGTAAGCTATCGCAACTTATCATTTTTGGTATCTCCTTGTTGTACAGATACGCAACCTTCGTCTCGCTTTGCTTTCGGGTTGCTGAACAAACTGCTGAATTATGTGGAAACGGCCATGGCGTCTGTGCATGAAACAATGCCTAGCCATCGATTCAGCTCTTCGAGAACCTGTATCATGTCCAACCACGACATGAAGTTCTTCGTCAAAGTTGTTCTGCCTTTAGTGGAGCGGTATTTTGAAACACAGTACTGCTACTTTTTGGACCCATTGGCTGGTGCGTCAATTCAAGAGAAAAAGATGGCTGCCACGTGAGTTATGGATGCGACTGGTCCACTACCATTTTGAATTGGTATACTACGTTGCGATGAAGTCACTCATGCTGGTTGAGCCGTAGACCGCCATCTTTGGTCATCTCCAACTAACCGTAGTCTGACTTCGCGCCTCATGTTAGTGCTTTAAACACCATGTCTGCTTTAGAATGCATTCAACTGAGCATGTTCTTTCCTCCGTTGTGCTTTTAATTGGGTTTACTGGGTGAGTGGAAGCTCCATCATTGGACGATACGAGTAGCACATCAGGTGTTAACAAGATGTGGGTGTGGCCGAATTACCCGTTAACCACGGTTGAATGTAAGCCATCATCGGTCTGAATGATGAGAAGGCCATCGGCATATGCACAGCACGCTGTGCCGATTACACGTAGATACCGAGTGAGTTTATTGGACATGCTTCTAGCTTGCGTTTAACTAGCTTCAGCGTAGCCAATCTTTTCTGAGTTCCAGTGTCGAATGCGGCTGAACCCCTCCCCCCCCAATGTGCGATCAATCTGAGCCGCATCCCACCATGCCGCAAGTAGGCCTGAGTTCAAGAGCCATCTAACATCTCATTCTATGTACTCGTCTGATATGCTATTGCCTGATTTGGGATTGGTCAGTCAACGAACAGTGCGCATTTTGGAGCCTTCGTGCCCGTTAAATTCAATCTGATTGTGCTAAGAAGCATCTCTAGAGATCTAAGTAGGAACACGATTTCCTTAAGGCGGTATTTGACTTCTTTATGGATACAGTTTGACGGAAAATGTATAGTCTGTTGTTCTTACGGCAGCCTACTGCAATAAATTTTACATTTTGCTAGGGCATTGGATCGCGATGTTAACTTCACTTACCATCATCATCATCATACACGTTAGCTAGAGGTGGGGAACACCTCAGCTACTGTGCCGCAATACAAAGAAAAAAGGAGAAAAATGCAACTAATGCAAGCCGGCTGAGCTACCGGTAACGGATGGGCATCGTTCCGGCAAGCCACCAGCCGGCTACTGTGCATCAAAAAAATACTATGCGAAATTATACAAGCTAAATAATGAGATTGTGGTTGGAGGGGGAGGCTAAGAGGGATGGGGTGGGACAAAGAAACTCACAGCACGAACGCCACTGAGGTCGGCTCCTAGCCATATCAGCAAGTGTATCCAACCAAACGTGTTCATCGTTTTTCGGACCCCAACCAGGGAGACGAGACTCTCCAACCGAGGCCAGCTTAGAAGTGAGGGCCTTCATGCCTCTCGACCAAGTCATCGCTTGGCCACCCCTCCTCTTCTTCCATCCACACCCCCGGCGCACAAACAACGCACGTCGCGGGAGTCAGTGGGCTGGCATGCGTAACATGTGGCCGAGCCATCGGAGCCTGGTGCGTGAAATGACGGTGCTGGGCGGTTCATTTCCTTTTCCTGTGCCATAAACAAGGCGTCGAACACGCTCATTGCTCACGCGGTGTTCCCCCCAGATGTGAGCTAAATTACGGAAGCACCAGTGGTCGAACGTAACTAGCCTCTTCAGGTCCGCTGCTTTAAGCGGCCGGGTTTCACAACCGTACAGTAGGGTCGAACCTACTGCTGCACTGTACACTCTACCCTTCAGGGTGAGAGTGATGTCGCGCCGGCGCCGTAAGTGGTGAAGGTTAGCAAAAGCGCCTCGAGCTTTTGCTATACGGTTCGTGATCTCATCCTCAATCCCACGTGCGCTGATACAACTTCCCAGGTAGTTGAATTTTTGAACGACTTCTAGCTGATTCCCACCAAGGGTCAGCATAGGAGGCGGTCCAGACCAATCTTGGAGGAAATCTTTGCATTTCGAGGGTGCGAAGCAAAGCCCGAAGTGACGGACAGCTAGTGCTAATCTGTCTAGGGCCGCCTGACACGTTTGTGAGCTGTCACAGATTATGGCAATATCGTCAGCATACTCTAAGTCAAGAAGTCGTTCTCCTGGGAGCAGATCCACACCTTCTAAGTCGTGTCCTGTGAACGCGATGTCCATGACTTCGTCAATAGCGAAGTTGAAAAGGTGACAGCGGGCATCCTTGTCTCACACCGCTGGAGATATTAAAGGGCGACGACAACTTGCCGTAAGCCCTCACTCTGCCCGAGCTACGCGCATATAATGCCCGGATAATATTTACATATTTCTCAGGTACACCTTTCCTGAGTAGACAGTCCCAAAGTGCATGTCTATCCACAGAATCGAATGCACCTTTGATATCGAGGAACACGACAACGGTGCGCCGCCAATATATGTGACGGTGCTCCAACAACTGACGCAAGGTGAAGATGTGGTCAATGCAGCCACGACTTCACTTACCAGCGACTTCTGATCGAACATCTCTTTATATTTTCAGTGTGACATACTAGTTGAGGTATACAGTTTCTCAGCTCCATACCGTAGACCACCACATGTTCGCACAATGGCTTAGTGACATTCTTAAGCTAATTCCATGACCCCATGAACATGGATTATTCGTCTACCGGCTTTGGAACCGCCTCCACTTCATATTACGTGAGACTGCTCTAATCTTTCATTTTCACGTAATCCGTTGATTTTCCTCTCTCTCATTACTCTGTTGCACTGTAGTGGTCTAGGTATTTGGTTTATAACATCTACGCCTCGGGTTCGACCTCACCGCTCTAGCTACATCCTCCTCACGCATAGTCACTTGCGGTTGCATACCAGTGAGTTATCGGTACATGTCATTGGTGTAATGCTGGCATTAATCTGCCTACAGAAGTCTTAGAACAAGCATGTTTAATAGGAGGTATCAGCCAGATTTTCTTGGTATCGTCGGCTACTAGTTAAAACAAGCTAGGAACGCGACAATGATACGCCAAGGTGAATAAAATACTTCAACTTACCACAATGGAACCTGTACATATGATGAGTTGACGAGGGCATAGGACTGGATGGCAACGTAAAATGTCTCAAAGCGGTCGAGAACACCAATCAGACGGATACAAAGCTGTATTTTAGCTCGGAATCGAACTAAAACAGGGGATAAACACTATCAACAGTCGATCCTTATCCTATGCCATTTGTCAGCATGAATCGTATCAATAAACCGAGTTTCTGGGCCATTTACAGGTTTGTGTCAGAAACATTGCAACATCACCCTACTTTCATCTACGTACGCCATTCCAATCGAGTGGCGTGCTCCATAAAAATTGATCACTGAGAAGAGATTTTCACAGCAGGGCGGTTTCGTAACAGCCCTCAACGTTACTGATTTTTATAACGTATATGGCTACTATGATTGGTGATATTCATCAACACAACAATCCCATATTTAATCTGATACAGTTCTGCTAGTTGCAGATATCCACCAGCGTATCGTTCTCACATCCCAATCTAACCTCAGAGTCGTCATCGAACCTAATGCAAAATGCTCCATAATCATCATGATAAGTAATGGTGCTCCGGTAGCCGGTGATTGGGGTATTACAGAATCCTTTACAATGCCGAAGTGGAGCATCAAGGTGCCTACTTTGCTCGTACCGGAGTTTGTATGCTCCGTCGATTCTATTCGGAGGAACGCCATTTCCTCATATTCCTTTTCTTCAAGCGTTGCATCTTCAATCGACGTGCATAAACGATTCGCATCCCGCTATGCATTCCTCAGCTTGCATCCACGGCCGTCTATAATGGACGTGCTTCCCTTCTTGGCTTTGGCCTGCTACTCTCTTGTGGCGCAACAAATTGCGAGGGCTCTGTTAGTAGATTTGACAGTTTTTTGGATCACTCTTGTGTTGTACTTGCGGTATGCACAGGACAATTCGTCGTTTCTTCCGATCCTCATAATACGCATCGCAACTGGTTATAGCCTACCGCCCGTAATCTGATTGACATGGGATGGGCTACATGCTTCAACCAGGGATTGAACGAGGCCAAACAGCCAACACACAGGTTACAAGCACTAGTAACCTGTTGCTTCGTCACTTTTGATTTTAAACCCAGTACCAATTGTATTTGTAAGATCGAAAAGCTCGGACCCCCAACAAGAATCCTAAACCCTCCCATCATTCTGTAAAACCATGAAGAATGGGAACGGCTCAGGATTTCCGGATAGTGCACAGATATGGTTTGATCATAAGGCTGGGTTAAGAGGTCAGCTATGGTAGGATCACACGCATGGCCTCAGTAAAAACTTGGTCAAAGAAGAAAGAAGGCACAGATTGCGATATGTTAACATTTCGATTGTTCTCGTCAGTCGCATACACGATACAAGCAGAAACACATACACAATTATATACATGGCAAAAAATTGGCAAACCAATCAAAACGTCAAAATCAAGTCCAAGACAATCGGATTGGTTGCCTCAACACGTTCTGTACACATAGCACTGGTTGACAAGCCCTGATTAGCAACGCTTCACTGATTGCCAACATTATCGGATTCCTGTTAGGTAATAGCACTTTGAACGCAGTCTTGGGGTCCACATTGTGACCTATTGTCACGTGGTGCTTAGTGATAGATGATGAGAGATTCCTGTTCATTCTGGGAGGCGCTCCATTTTGTTGTGTCATCATTTGCTCCACCCACTTTGGCAAATGTTCAGCCACCCTCTGAGCCAACCGACGGTTAGTCCTGCCTATGTAAACGTCACTGCAACTGCAGGTGAACTGATAGACCACATGCGAGGGCGAACTAGCCGAAGGGTGGCTCTAACGGTCATGAAGAACAAGTTTTCGAGTCGTGTGCATGAGACGCAACTGTGCAGTCGTGTACGCGCGCGTTAGAGCGGACCTGAGCTTGTGTCCGATGTCGTTTGCCACCTGGTCTCCCTTGAAGGGCAGGAACAGATAAACAGCTTTTTTCTCTGCCGTTAGCACCGGCAGTTTATTTTGGGGAGTCTGCTAAGCACTTGAATGAACTTTTCAGGATAACCATTTGCCACCAAGGTCCTATGCAGAAACTTCTCTTCGGCTTCCAGTGTATCCGGACTACAAATACGTCTGGCCCTGTAGAACAACGTTTTCACTAGGGCTGTTTATCTGTTCCTGCCCTTCAAGGGAGACCAGGTGGCAAACGACATCGGACACAAGCTCAGGTCCGCTCTAACGCGCGCGTACACGACTGCACAGTTGCGTCTCATGCACACGACTCGAAAACTTGTTCTTCATGACCGTCAGAGCTACCCTTCGGCTAGTTCGCCTTCGCATGTGGTCTATCAGTTCACCTGCAGTTGCAGTGACGTTTACATAGGCAGGACTAACCGTCGGTTGGCTCAGAGGGTGGCTGAACATTTGCCAAAGTGGGTAGAGCAAATGATGACGCAACAAAATGGAGCGCCTCCCAGAATGAACCGGATTCTGTCATCATCTATCACTAAGCACCTCGTGACAACTGGTCACAATGTGGACCCCAAGATTGCGTTCAAAGTGCTATTACGTAACCGGAGCCCGACAATGTTGGCAATCAGTGAAGCGTTGCTAATCAGGGCTTGTCAACCAGTCCTATGTGCACAGAAACTGTTGAGGCAATCAATCCGATTGCCTTGGACTTGATTTTGACGTTTTGATTGGTTTGCCAATTTTTTGCCATGTATATAATTGTGTATGTGTTTCTGCTTGTATCGTGTATGCGACTGACGAGAACAATCGAAATGTTAACATATCGCAATCTGTGTCTTCTTTCTGCTTTGACCAATTGGCTGAAGGGGACCAAATGTTTTACGTTTCAGTAAAAGCTTCCGAGGTTCTTGAGACGAGTGGTTTTACTTTTTCCACATGGACTTTTTAAGAAACAGCTTACTAATTATGGCCCTCTAGTCCAAATATGCATGCATATGTAAGAAACAAGCCGGTAGTCCCATTGTACCACCATATTACCTGGATAGCTGCTTTGATTGGTTCACCTACAGCACCTGTTTCAGCGCCTTATAACCCCGGTCGCTTCATTTTGTCTATCAAACTTCAAAATTGTGTCCATCATCTGCACTCCTTTTGTTTCTCGTGAAAGGCTTTTCTGCAAACTCTTCTCGCTGCTTCGTGCCAAGTTGAGCGCTTTTGGTCACGACGTCCAAATCGCTGTATCGTGTCTGCAAGGCTTAGTGCAAACGATCGATGTGAAGTGAGTGACTCATCGCTGTTTGTCTTTTAGTTTTTGTGAAACTTCAAGAAATCTTACCTTGAAATATAGTAACCGATTTATTCGCTTCCCAATTTTGCTGTTCTATTCCACCGTGCTCCATTTGTGAGCTTGTGTTAAGCGCAACAAATGCCAATATTCTTGTTAAGTGCAGAACAGTCACAACCATCCTCAATATGAGGACTGCACTGAGATAACGAATTGGCTTTAGAGCCATAGGATCACCCACATCAAGCTGGGAGTGCGTGGTTGCCGTCACCATCATCATTGTCATCCTAGTTTTGGCCCTCCGCATTTCACCGGCAACAACTGTTGCAATACTAGATCTCGAAGATGCCTTTCTGCTATATCTCAATAAATAATGTACAAGGCTATCCAGAGGAGCGCATCGAAGCTTAGGTTGTCTAATGCTGGCTTAGTACCATGGCGTTATTATCTTGACAGCAACGGATCGTCACAGATAGCCTACCTTAATCTAATGATTGGGCTGCGCCTATCATGTGGTTTGTTGGAGGTCCCTCTCCTCTCCTATTTCCTCCAATCCTAACACATCAGCTAAGTCGTTTTGCGAATGTGTAGGCCAAGTAAGTGGATTGATTGGGAGCAGGTCAGCTGCAGACCCGACACCGCTGATGGCTATGTGTGTATTCGCACATCTTCTAGAAATTTCTGTTTGGTTGGTTCGGTTATTAGTTTTTGGTAAGCAAGTTGCTCTGGCCAACACAAACAACATTATACAAAAGGATGTTCTCCGCCATCCGAGGGTCTCAGGTTGCCCGTTCGCTGACTTATCATTTTCCTGTGCGTTTTCTCAACAGATACCAGTACTCAAAGACTATCCTCTTCCGAGTGTCCCTTCAGCGAGCAACAGCCGCACTTCTGATGGTCCAGCGATTAGACCACATTGTAGCTTTGCGCGCCTTACTCTTTGTTGATAGGCAGCGTCGTCATTACCTCTGAAATTGACCAATGTTTTGGAGGGCCTAACGAGCCGTTTGTAAATGCAGTTACTTATTCTGCAATTTGACCACCAAAAGCGACACAGTTACAAACCCAAGCGAATCGATGGACAACTAAGTGATTGTTTTGTAATAGTTGAAGACGGCTGGATATCAGCTTGTCAGTGAAAGATAGGGTGTATAACGCTGCGATAAGGCTAGGGTAACTGCATGGATCTGAGACGGCCAGTTCGCTGAAACTGCTCCCACACGAGTGTATAAAGCTTAACTTGAGTTGAAGACATTAAACGCTTGGTCGTGTATGACCAGCGGTGCTTGCAAAGTATTGCTCGCGTTTGGTGGAAACACCGGGTGAGCAATGCTGAGATCCACCACTTGATTTCTGGAAAGAAACCTTCTGGTGACTCTCTTGATTGTTTGATGAATCTTAATCGCTTGCATTTGCTAGACCATATCCTCCGTATGCCCAGTGATCGGCTTCCTCGGCGTGCATTATACGCCATGTCTGCACCAAGTTGGGTGAAACCTCGAGGTGACCAGACCATGACTTGGAATAGAAGCTTGTCGAAGTTGTCTGAGAGACTTGGTCAGGCTGGTGCGTGCCGTGTTCCTGGACGGGGGCCTCGGGACGGTCCACACCAATGGTTGGAGACTCTGTCAGACATGGCCCAGTCACGAAGGCGGTGGCGTTCCTGCATTCGGCTACTTTCATCTGATTGTTAATTTTTGTTCCGTTCTGATTAGTCCAACTCATTTCCTTCTTGCTTCGATTTTCTCAACATTCTGTTTGCACCCGACCCCACTATCCTATTAGTGTTATTTATTGTTACTTTTACTGTGTGATTCATGGAGACTGGATCCACCGAACTTCGGTGTTCGGATCATTGTTGATCAACTGACTGAACTGAACTGAACTGTTTGCTTACAGTGAGAACTTGTATCGTATCAAACTAATCGTGCGGCATTGCTTGCATCTGTAAAGCAACCAATCTCCTGTCGTGTCTGCACGTTATGCCAGTCTAGTCGCAACGACTTTCCTAATCCGAATGATGACACAGTCTTGTCGGACTTCATTCCGCATCCGCGAGACGAACGCCAACCACACGACGTACCTGAACCCAAGAGAAGGGAAACGGACGTTCAGCAAGAGTACTTCTACAGAAAGCGAATTCAAAGCCACTCAACATCGATTACCTGCCGTGTCTGATGGCATGTCACTTTCTTATAGGACGGTATGCGCAGGAATCCGGGACGTGTGAAGGTGTGAGTCTACATGAGCCCGGGTTTGCGTCAAACCTGAATAAAGCCGTTTGTAGCTTGCGGGCAAGTGTAGCTTGAGTGTACTCGGTTTGCGCGATCTTGCGAGGAATTGCATTCCCTTTACACAGCACCATCCTAATTAATAGAGCCTGGAAAAGGGCTAGTGCCAATGCACAGGTGAAACGATTCCGTCAACCAACCGATTGAAAAAGCTTCGCTCTTGTTAGAGCAGCCAAGCCAACTGTTCACAATCCCTTCGGTCACCAAGTTGAAGAGAGAACTAAGACAGTATCTCCAGTGAGCCCGTCACCTAAGCCTGATTCTGCAGCAGCATTTGAAAACCAGTGCTTACGCTTCTCTCACATTGTGCTATCATGGTGTATCAAAGAACCTGCGCTAGCAGTTGCGTCTTCACTAAGCTTCATATAATGCGCATTCACATCCTTTATCTGTGTACGCGCTGTAGGTTCGAGGGTAATATTCATCTGTTTCTGGCCTCTTCTCTTAGCAACATGAGAACCTACAGTTTCAGTTCGATGGCTTTAACCCAATGATCTCAACTCAGAGAGACAGAAGATGGATTGGTTGACCGGTTGGATCCTTGTTTAATACACTTTCGACCATACATCCTCATATTTGGATGGGGTGGTTACGACTCCGTTGTTCGTATTTGACTAGTTGTCCGATTAGTTATGGTCGGCTTGGATTGCTTCGTCAAAATCGATACTTCGGCCGCTTGACACGCCGGTCATGTTAATCCCAGCACTTGCATGTGGTTTCCCGATCAATGTAAATGTCTCTTGGGCTCAGTGATCATTCACCGGTTTCAAAAACTACTACACCGTATCGTATTTGAGGTGTGCTCAGGCCTAACCGAGAAGCAACAATCATTATTGTTAGCTAGCACTTCATTCGGGGTTACGTTTACTGAATACATGACATGAAGATACCTGTACAGAATGCGGATTCATCCATCCATTTGCATTGGACTCATTAGTCCCTTCAACACGCCGATACTGCCGAGCATATATGATGACTGGTAAACGACTGGGAATATCTGAAGTCAGGCTTGTATAATATCCCCCTGAAACCACAGTCGATAAGCTTGTCAACTTTGCTTCCTAACGAACCCTAAGTTTTACCCAAAATTGTCCGCAGCAGCAGAGCTACCACAATTGTATACTTTTGCACATTTTTACTCAATGAGGCTGGTTGAACTTTGGCCACACACATCAACTGCCGTCATATCTCTGTTAGGCCGAACGAGTTACTACTGGAAATCCTGTGGACTAGGTGCGTCCTTGTCAAGTACGTTTGTCCGTGATATCGTGTCTTTCGGTATTACCCTGGCAAACCCCGAATCAGCGCTTTTACCATTTTCCATATGATACTTTTAGTGGACGTAACATAATTCCATTACTATATTTATCCTGCATTTAACCTCCTGTCGTACCTACCATTCATCAGAGACGTAATATTTCTGCTTCTGCTCAGGGCCATTCTGAAGATGGGCACAGCCGAGGACTACATCCGCAGTCGCTTGCTTCCATTCTTCGTCAACTGTGCTGATGATCTCTGCGTGTTAATGCGCAACTTGGAATCTGGACGTTACTCACACGTAAAAGTGGGTCCACTGGCAATATCTGTGACTTCACTGTGTACATTTGACTCCGGCTAGTGTCTAAATGGATTTCACGACTGTTGGCACGCTTTGAACGGACGCGAACTTTCCCAAATAAAGCTAATTTGACGGCAATACTCGACAATAAGTGCCCCTTGCTTTAAGCGAGAAAACGTTTACTTACCTTTCTTAGCATTCTTGCCCGGACGCTGGCGAGTTATTTATGCAGTGGCACACGACTGAGATCTTATGTAGCGGTAAAGTGAATTGCATTATCTATATTCCTGTCACCGTTTAACTGAACGACGGATATTTTTATCGCTTTCTCAGACTACCTTGACCCAGGTGGTTTGATTCTTAATTCATCTCTAGATAATTGCCATCCGGCAAAGATCCGAAGCGGAGACCCCTGGATGACTTGCTATATATGTTGGCTACATGGTTAATTCACTTTGCTAGATGCAGCTTTAACAAAGGCAGAAACCACTTGGGCGACTGTTACGACATACCATCACAAATACCATCTCGGCTGCTAACAGCTCCGCTTTGCTTAGGTGCTGGCCATCCTACTCAGACCGGTTTGGTTTGAATCATTCTTACTTACCCCACCATGGCGTGCTTGAGTGAGTGACACCACTGTATTTACTTACACTACTCGACATATTTGTCGAGACAGTTTCACCTGCCAAATTCTGAAATTGGCATCATTTTAACTCCGCTGTCTCGTCTCATTAGCATCAAGGTTACCAACTAAATGCCGGTGTTATGACTTCGAAGGACCGGAAAGGTGGTTATTGTTGCGTCACTGTCACATTCATCCTCAGCAGCTCCATACCAATGTCCCCTATCGCGAATTGCATGCATAGTTGAGTACCTGATTGGTGAATATTGGTCACATCGCAAATCAGTGTGTACATAGCCACCAGACGTCAACTGTTTCGGCTGCTTAAAACGTGATGATCTGATCAAATGGGTATCCGTTACGACTCCAATAGCGTAACTCCCCATGTTACCCTAGTAGTTTTTAGTAGGACACTGATAGTCTGGGCTCAGTAACACGATTTGCGCAACGCACGGCTCTCTGCAAAGGTTCAATATGTGTGCGGTTCGTTACTATTAACTGCTCTCTGTTGAGCGCCTTTGGTGATAGTCTGGTCTTAGAAAACTCTGGTATTATCTTATCTCGGGTATAAATTGATCATCTATCCCGACTTTACGCGTTACTTTGGGTATTTTGCGCAGGCTCTGTACTGATGACCGCGTTCGCACCAACTCTTCTGTTTAACAGGGAACAATCAGACGTGGTGCTTGCTCTATCGATTACGTGCACATGGTACTCATACCAGTGCTGAAATCAATGTTCGAACACTTGGCCAAGAACGATTGTGGAGAAGACTTACTTGGTGAGTAGTACGTCCTCCACCATTTTCACCACATGGGGAACTGCACTGGTTGGTAGAACTCAGTTTATCCAACGCAACCTACCCATAATATTCTGGTCTGGGACGCTCGTCCAAATCTTATGGGCCTTTGGTATTATCGGTCATCAGGCATAGATACATCAGCTAGTTATATCCCTAAAACCATGCAAATCACAATTGCCGTTGTGTGTCATGATGCATTGCCACTGATTTTCGCTGCTTTTGCTACACTCGGCTAACTGTGGGATTTGCTTCAGTGGCTTAGTTTATGAAAGTTGTTTCGACTACACCTTTGAACTGCTACCAACGGTTTTTCCACTTATCCCTCCCCATACCATTTTACTCTTTTCTCATTCATCCCATCTGTCTCCCTCCTCTCATTCCCATCTTCTACTTCGAAGTTGGCAACGTACAAGTGACATGCTATCGCATCCTGAATGCTCTATACAAACTTGGGACAACCAGCTCAAAACATGCGAAGCGGTAAGTCAGATCGCCTGTCTAACCATCAGTGCTCGACACTGATTATTCTTCGGTCTAAACAACAATCATCCTCTGGAAAACAACCAGTCGCTAGCGGAAACGCTGCCAAGCAGCTGCGTTCGTCTGTATTTCAACCAAGGGACATGCTCCAAAGGACTATTCGCATATACAGTATGCCACATGTAGCAGAAGGACTAGCTGTTAATTTATTAATCTTCGAGGTATTTGTACAGCAATATTTTCCCCTTTTACCTGAGTGTATTCCAACTTGTTTTGTGTCCCTTGCTTATCCATGTTTTCGGGGTGAGTTGGAGCGAAATATAGGGCTGTATATCTCATGAACATGACTGTGTGCAAACAAGACATAGGATTGGAAAACTAAACGTCGCAAATATTTCTTCGAAGTTACAGGTGTTTGTCTTACGACCTGGTCACAACGATGTTCATACTCAATTTTCAGTTCACGCGAAATCTGCACCACTCCATTCTTCGTTCTATTAGCGCCGCGGTCGGGTTGATTGTAATCTTGCTTGCGTTTCCGCGTCTTCACCACTAGTCCAGCTGAGAAAACGCTCAAACGGTCACCGGGGTCTGAGTGTCGCTCAACACTATGGTACCAGTGCACATGAAAAACCTAGTTTCCCTGATGGCACTGTTTGGTTAGCAATGAGTCGTGGGAGTGAGCATCAGCACCGAGATTCCGGTGCATCTTCTGATGAGCCGCTAGGTGCATTTCATCGCACGGCATTGCGCTTTTCGCGACAAGGCCTCATTTCCGACATACATCGTTTTACCATACCTACCTGGGAATTGTTGTACTGATTCGCACGACCAATTGGATACGCGTGTTGATGCTGTGTGGGTTGGTTCCAAAACGAGCACATTCCCCCTCCTCCATTTCTTACTTTTGTTCCTTTCGAGTTACGGCGTACATGAGGCATGCCTGTGAAGGTTACGTGGTCCCTGTGAGAGCAAGAAATCCATAAGTGTTCACAGTTACTTTGCAGGCAAATCCACACGCGGCTGCAGCTCTCACTCTCTTATAGGATAGCAGGAGATATAAGTCGTTAATCTGTTTACGAGAATAATTTGAACCCTTCTTTTGGGAGCTTAAACCCTGGTTGCATATAATCTGATGTGGTTTTAAGGCTTGGGGCAACCGGAACTGCTCCTATATGCGGTGCGAACTCGTGTTATCCGGTCAATGATGTGACCAGAAAAGAATGTGCAACAGCTTACTTAGACTTGATTCTGAAACAACACCGGAGGTACCACGTATTTCAGTAGCACAACAATTTTAGTCCTTTCGGATAAGTTGATGACCAAGGTATTCGGGTAAGAAGTCACCAGAAAAAGGTAGAAAAACCATCGTGCGTACATGCGTATTTGTGAAGGACACCACTCTCCATTACCCTTAATGAGCCCAACTGTAAGCATTTTTTGACAGCACCACATTTGACTGTTCATGCATCAATAGCTGTTCTTGCCAGGCTGTTGTATCCGATACATGTAACTACATTTGTTATTTCTATTTTAGCACAAGCTTCGTGGATGAACTAAACAGGTAAGTGATCATAGGTGACGTTAGGAAATTGGGCGGTTACCCCTTCAGTAGCCATTTCCCGTATAGTTTTCTTAATGAGGTGCACCGTGAGGCTACTATGGACGTTTATGTTGCACGAATGCTATCCAGCTACATCAATATATTGATTCCCTTGCAAGACTTGCATATTTGTGCCATCACCGTTTCTGCATGCTTCCACTGTTGCCTACTTTTTCCCAAGTCCTGTGAGCAACTTTGGCCTGTTTTTCCCTCCCTCTCCCATTGTAGACACCGCGCTCAAATTGGTGAATGCCTGGCCGCATTGGCTGGCGCGTTCCCTGTGGCATTTTTGGAACCTGAACTGAATCAAAACAATCCGGTTTCCATCACGTATGACCATCAAGGCGGCGATTATAGCTTGGAAGCAAGAGGTATCTAGTTACGCACACCTTTTATTTCTCCGATTTCACTTTCTCGCTGATAAAAATTCAAGACAGTTCATAACCTCCATTTTATTCTCCAGATGTACTCAACGAACTATCCAAGACATTGACTGGTCTACATGATATCATACACGAAGTGGAGCGTTTGGCTGAATCGGGTGTTGCTGGCGCGGCGGAGACACCACACTTGATCGAGGTCACTTTACCCATGCTTTGCTCTTATTTGCCAAACTGGTGGCGCAAGGGGCCGGAGTGTATTCACAAATCACACACCAAGGGGAGCCTGTCTTCGTCATCTGACGGTCAGCGGCCGAAGAACAGCGTTAATGGTGACGTTCAGTTGACCATCAGATCCACTCCTACCGGGCGTCTGACTAATGCCTCCGCTCCGCTCACCACTGTGACGGCAGATTTAATGAATCGTGTTCTAGGAAGTGTGCTGCAGCTGATCCAATGTAACATCGACTCTCCACATGCTCCGTGGATGACTCGCATTGCCAGTAAGTTACACCGAGGAATTTTTCGTATAGGTGTACTGTAACTGGCGTTTCCGCTTTGCACTTGGTTTCACTTGGGCAGGTTGAAGAGCATTGGGCGACCATTCGTTTTTGGTGCCTTTCCAAACTGCTCATTTCCCATACCTGTCCAAGCCTTTAACCATGGCCCATACATTCAAACTAATGTGTGCCACTGGCCGACATGAATAAGCACCATACTGCATTTGTGCAACCTATCTTTGTCACTCTTTTCAATTTAGCCAGAACACAACCGATCGTGGCCAATGCCACGGCAGACATGCTTGGAGTATACTTCTTGCCCGTATCCGAACGCCTTTTGGAACATGCCCTCATCGTGGAAAAGGTCGAGGAACTTTACAAAGCAGAAAAACGATCAGGCGAGTTTGAGACAGTTCTGCACGTCCTTCTAGCCCACCTACCATCGCTGGTTGTCATCCGCCTTACTTCCAAGTATGCGTATGTATATGTTCTTAGCTGGTGATTTCGTATGATTAGACATATAACACTGAATCATGCCACTTTTTTGTGGACTATCTAAATTTCGATCATTACATTTACTGGATTGTGTTTGACAATTCTGTGCGATCTGTGAAGAAACTGACAAATATTTGCCGTCACCTGAGCTGACCACCTAGTAGTAGGGCCCTCGTTATCCGATGAGACATACTATATCCACTGACAAAATAACATCGGTCTTGCAAATGGACCATTAACATAGAGATGAACATATGTTTGACCTACTCCTTCTCACCGGCTGCAAAAGCCCACGATGTGCAAGTGTTGCGCTCACTGAGACAGTGAACGTCCACTGAGCGCATTAGGCCTGACCACTTACGAGGCCACTGGTCAGCGTGATACCGTTTTTCGCGTCGCATAGTGTGATCCTCGTCTCCAGCTGACTCCGTGTTTCTTCTTATCATACCTCTATCCGCAGCATTCGAGCTTTCATCTTGCGTCGGATCGTTGGTATGGTCCATAGTGTTTCCGCCTCCTTTCAAATCTCACGTGTTTAACCTTACTACTTGTTCCTGTCGCAGTGGTACTTCCTTCCGCTGCATCACTAAATGACGCTGAACTTTCTCAACGCACAGCTTATGTTTGTTATTGTGTATGCTGACTGGAATACGGTTGGCCTGAACCATCCGACTGCTATGGGAAATATAGCAACCTAACTCTCTTCTATGCGAGACTAAAAATCTCCACTGTCTACTACTTTCAGCAACCAATAGCCTCCTTCTATTCAATTTGAACTCATACATTTTATCCATTGCTCTCAAGTAAATGTTTTTCACTGCGCCTCATAGCTTCCTCTAATAATAGAAGAGGATGGACCATTGCCAATAGCTCTATGAACCATCGGAAGCTCTTTTCCAGGTAGTCAACCCACACAGTTCGGTATTGCCCACGGGAGGATATCATATCATATGTACTACGCTCTACAGGCTTTCTTGATAGAAGGACACTAATCAACTTGTGTCTTAGGTTATCCCAAGTTTTGTTGCTGCTCCGCGTCACACCAAAGCACTAGCGCTCTGGTCCTCGATCATCTTTCCTGGGGGGAAATTAAAACGAATCCTGGAATTCATCAGATAATCCATCAAATTCAAATTGCACAATACATTGCTAATGTATTAGACCACTTCATAACCGTAAGTTATTTCCAACTATTTGCTCTTGTTCTTCTTATCTACTGCTTACTGTGTTTGGTAATAATTTTTCTGCTTATCTATACGTGGTTCACCGTACTGTTTTTACTGACCCATGCTAACCTTTCCTTTGATCTGCGCTCAAGTGCTTGTTCCAATTTTTCTAACATGTTATCGGGGTACCGGCACTGCAGGCTTTGTTGATCTCATGCTGGTTTTATTTGTTATCTTTTACTATACTTATACCACCAACAACAACCGGAACAAACATTGTGACAATAGTTCGACACCTAAAGGTAATTTAGTGCAACAGTTAGTAAGGTATGCATATATGAATTTACCAGACTTCTCATCATGGCCTTAAACTATTTCCCAGTCAAAGTGATTCAGCGTCAAACTCAACAAAAGCAATCTACTATTTTGGATACTTCCTCAACAATGCGACGGTTCGATGATTGACCAGGTAATCCGACCCGACTTGTAGCCAACTGGCGATGAGCGATTTCTACCTACTGATTGACAGGTTTAGTGATGTCATGCTCTAACTTCCTGTCTACAGGATCTGAAACGGTGGGAGAGCGCGAGGAAGAACTGACCAGTTTGGTTGAAGTGTTGGTTCGCAATTTGTACGCCTTTTACCCGCTGCTGATCAAATTTGTTGATCGACACCGAACAGCTTGGCTGAAACACCCAACGCAGGAGACCCAGCGGCTCTTCACAGCAGTGGCTCGTATGTTTCTGGTGTGGGCCAAAGCTACGGTGAGTGACTTGCTATCGCTCATCTGATTTATTTCTTCCACTCGCTTACCACAGTCTATCCTGCTGCTGTGTTGCTAAGCGCAGCAGCTTCATCGTTCATACAGCTCGACTATGATTTCCGCATACTTCGGCACTAAGCACATCAAAAAAACCTTCTCTTAAGGTCACATACCGGTTAGAGATTATAACGCTATATATGTAATGAAAGGACTACTTTGGTCTCTACAGGCGGCTCTGACTTTTAGTCGCTCGTCCATCCATCTTACTCACAACGCGACAGTCAATAGCTGCTGGATTAAATGGTTTGGTAAACACAGGCAACTTCGTTTCGGAAAAAAGAACTTACTTCCAGAGTGAACTGTACTACTATATGATTTGATGCAGTCTGTTATCTCGCTTAATATTATGGGTATGTTCAGAGTGCTATCCTCAATAGTCCGGTATGAACGATTTTACTTTGCACCGACTCTGACTGGACACACTGTGCTCCTTTCGATAGTAGAACTTTGGTTTCACAATTCCAGGAGAACTCCTTCAATAGCTCCTCCTCTGCCTTTATTTGTGTAATGAAGCGTCGCTTCTATTCTTGAGCATCAGAAGAATCTTTAATCCGATGTGCACCCACCGGCTCACCTGCTATATTGGTAACTTCAGACCCGGTGCTGTATTGCCAAAATCCTTCTTTGTTGATTTTTATCTACTCGATCAGGAATCCAATATCTCATCCTTATTCTTCACCTTTTACCTCTGTTTCAGAAATTTAAACGAGAGGAAGATAATTTCGTGAGTCAACATGAAATAGATCACTTATCTCTGATCGTCCCTTCTGGAGGAGGCACCACCACTACTTCTCGTGGACGGACAACAATGAACAATGGTCGTTCAGAGACTACTTCAACTAAGCCTGGTATGTGCACTATCATTTTTACAGTGAGATTTCCGGATGAGTTACAATCGACTGACTTTTCCTACTTCATGCAAAGTAATTCGGCTTTGGAATCCACTTAATGCTGCCGATGCGCTTTTAATAAGGATGCTTCATGCCTACTCTATCACACATCGCCAATCATTATGGTCCATAACAGGTTAGTACGGATATGGAGCGACACACACTTTTCTTGCCGTTTAACTAACCTGACAGCTTTCAGTTTGAAATTATCCTTCGACTAAGAGACATCATCCTCGTGGTCCACCTCAAGCCTGGAGCCGTGAAGCATAATCACCGAGTTCTTGGGGATTAGGATACGAGTCACTAACCACCGATGTCTGCAACGTCTTGCTGATCTCTGGTGGGACGAGTACTACTGAGACCCGTTAGCATGCCCTGTAGTGTCGCATTAAAGTGTCTGTCAAACTCGTACTACCTTCGCTGCTACGTCCTGATTTCCGCTTGGCGGCTGCTGCCTCGGTTTCATTGCTCCCCACACTGCACTTATCGCGATAGTACTCCAGGATGGCCAATCCATAACGCTGCACCAAAAATGGTTCAATGTCTTCTCGGAGCTGGTGCAAACATTATGCCAGTGGCACTCTTGGCCTTATTCCCTGCTAACTTTCAAATCTTACCTATTTTAAATTTTTGTTCACTTTTCTTACTTTTGTCCTTTACCTTTCTCTCACTATTCCCATTTTCTGTTTAGCTAAATTGGTCAAGGCACCCGGATCCACTGCATTTCGATGCACATATCATAGATTAACCGCTCAAAACTGAGCTAGCGCGGCACAATGGTACACAAACCATAACAAACTATACGCTATGGCTCATCATTGTTGGTGGATGAGAATACCATCCAGAAGAATAATGTGGCTGAACTTCGACTTACTTATCCACTTTCCATAACAACAAACAGCCTATACAACCTACAATATCACCAGCCCTCAGCTTCGATTCCTTCACAAGTACACGTCTGAAATGAACTGGTACGCCGGGAGTCCCGATAGTGAGAGCCGGAAAGTGATGTCAGGAAATAATGAGGGCTCAACTTGATCACTTTAATGCCGGAGCCAATGCAATATCCGCTTCTCCCGCGGTTCATTATATTTATGCTTCTGCATCTAGAAATGGTTGTTTATAAATGAATGATAAAAAGAATGACAGGAATATGTAGTGACATGGTGAAAAATGAATTGAAGTCACAAACAGCTCCACCAGCTGTCCAACTCACCCGTAATCCGCTCAGGCCATGGACACTGAAAGCCGCTGACTGTTTAATGCACATGGGAGTGAATATGAGGTCCATGAATCCGAATACGCACGAACTGGGGTCCATTCCTAGGCGCGTGCGTACATCGCTCGAAGTTTCAAGGACCCGCACTCGACACACCGAACATGTCACGGCAATCCTCAGTGTGCCGTTGGCGGGCGTGTTAGAGTCCAATGAGTTGAGACCTTTGCGCTTGCTTCACTTGTTAGGCTCATTTCCGATCTTAACAGCGGTCCATCCACAACTTAAGCACATGAGGCTAACTCGCTAACCGGCTGTTTCTTTGCTAACGGTAAGTACCATGTGACTGCAACCGAGATAACGGAAAGTAAGCGCGCAGACCACGGACCTTTGGTATGATCCGTCGTTCACGTTTTACTTGTTGAGATTCAAAAATCCACAATGTGCCTCCCGTGAAACGGAGTTATGAATAAATAACGGTACAGCGGGATGCTTGTGCTCTAGCGCTACATCTTGTCGTTTGGATAGATATCCGTCTACCGCCGGTTGCTTCACAGCCGTGGAACCCAGAGACATCTCTGGTTCGATAAGACAAATGACATGTTCCACGAAATTGCTAACGCTGTACTACGCGTTTGTAGACAGAGTGAATGGCAAGAGACCTCCTACGTGTTACAGTCCATACGATCCCCTATACTTATCCGGTGTTGCACTTGAGTGCTATTCATACCACTGAAACCCACACGCACGCGTTGGAACGGGGCCCGACTCATTCACATATGAACTTTTTATGTGGTCCCTCCCCACGAACCTTAAACAGTGAGAGGACTGCATACGCAGTTTCCAAAACACAACTAAATGTCATGGCCGCTGAGGAACCAGTCTGGATGCTGAGCCCTCCTATGAGAGTCCCCAGTAGCTGTGCACGCGCTGCATGATACTCGAAACCGAATCGAATGACTTTGAGGTGATTAATGGGGTGTTGTGAGCTAGAGCTGGCTGGGAAGACAGTGGGAATGGGCAAAATCAGCAGCTGTGTGAAGAGAACGGAGACTCTTAGCTGGGAATTCTTTGATGAGCAGTTTTAGTCCGACGAGTCAGACTAACATCGGCGCGTACGCTATTATTGGATATCGAGGATCTGCACACACGTCAAAATGAGTTATCGAGATGATTAGAATACTTCATTATTCGATATCTGATGTCCTGAGATTCTCAGAAAGTCAACGACAAATATTAATTATCGTTCTTTTCTTAGATATTCACGAAATGCGACAAGACTGTTATTTGCACATTAGGTCACTGTGCTCCACCGAAATAAAAACATATCGTCAGGTCAAGTCGAGTTGAGTCAACATAGACTTTATGTACCCGGCTGTGTGCATTTTCAGCATTTTATAATATCAAATGCGGATATTCTAAAACAACGTCATTATAATGCCATATTGTACAACTGGAAATATAATATTAGGTGCACAAGTGTCGCTTAAATAAACGGTCCCGAATCTGCATCCTGGTAATGATATAGTGTCAAAGTCCAGTTTGTCGATCCTGGCAAAAATTCCTTAAGTTACAAAACGCCATCTGTAACTTCGCGTAGTACACGCAGTATCTCAAAGTGGCCGGACGACAGCATTAGTGATCTTGTAACTCTAATTGAAAAAATTTCAAAACAGTGAAAACTGACAAATCCACAGCAGAGAAGGTAAGAGCGATGTTCCAGTGAAAAGGCAACGGCCGATTTAAAGGCCCCACCACATCGAGTGGAGATCACACCGGGGAACCTCTAAGCAAACCACATTGGTTAGCTAGGAGAATAGATCAAACCATACCCCTTGTACGAATAAATCGAAACATTCATGATCAGCATTCTCACGTCGTAAGTGGACGCAGAAGACCCCTAGTTTAGCACGAATCAAGCAACTCGCGGAGTCAAACGAACCTCTTAGTATGTCCTATAATGATGAGTGGAATTTGTACCTCAGACTAGAAAGCATTCCGCAAAGAAGTATTGTCTGTGCGGCACTGATCAGCCGTTTCGTTTAGTTGACACTGGGGAACAGATGATAGGTCAACCCATGCAACTGCGTAAGACGGACACGGGATACAAATGCTGGGTAACGCACGGTCACATCATTTTGTCCTCATAACGGCACTCGGACTGACATTGAGACTCACCGATCTACTGGCCAGTTGGACAAATCGGCATCAATATCAATATCCTCAGTGTGGAGCCGTTTCATAATAACGTAGCACACAGATGTTACCTTTCGTTTCACTCATCCTCCAAGAACTTACCCTTATCAAACACCTAGCCTTTGACAGCCCCTCAGCTACCCTTATCTCACTTCCCCCGACGATCATGAATCTGTCAAAACGTTTGACAGCTTTGGCCATTGTTTCCTGGTAGAAATGGGTCGTTCTTTCCCGCAGTTGCGCAGTCCACTTTCACGTGAGAGCAGTAGGCAGAACTTTATGCTTTCGTGTCGCTCTAAACTCCCTGAACCTATACTAGCCTATTCATCTGTCACATGTTTTTTAACTTTTTAAGTGCCCTGAACTGTGTTCCTGCACTCCAAACTGCTATGTAAACACTGAGTTATTGTTTCATATAGTGTGATGAGTAATGCCATACTTTAGTTACTCATGATGTAGACGATGTTTTTGTTTGGAATTTTCGGTATATACATTTCACTCCCCCCACAACTACTACATATTCACCATTTTATCCGACTAACCACTCTTAGCGATCTTCCCACCCTTTCACAGGCAAACGAAATAGGGGCGGTGCCCACACCAGCCTTACGGTGGCATGCATCAAACGGTTACTGCCAATCGGTTAGTAACTTGCAGTCCACCTCAGTATTGTGGTGCTTTTTGTTGTGTTCATGTATCAGACCTTTGTACAAAGCAACGTATAACTAGTTAATCAGGACAATCTTACAGGATGGCTTGCTTGCATTCTGTGTCCGCTCATGGTCAGTAAACCCCAGATGCAAGATGGGTTATGTTCATGTTGGTGCTGCGATTAGAAAGCATTTATCGCAGGAAGCTTTGGCTTGGCTAAGATTATGTACTTTTTGCCCTTTCGGCATTTCCTTAGGTAATGTTACATTCGAAGGTCTAGGATGAAGATACGATGTGCGAACAAGAGTGGTGCAAAAAGTTTCACAATTACAAATAGTGTCACATCATTAGTTCGCCTTCGAATACAATTCGTGGCTGTTTCTCCGTGATTTTTGAGCCCACAGCAAGGAGCCGCAGGCACCAACCTTGCGGTTACTACTGTAACTGTTCGATCTCAGATTATCCGCTAGCCACAGCTGCCAGTTGCGCCCTCACTATCGTGTCCAATCAGAACACATCGAAATGGAAACTGAGCCAATGTGCAAAAAATACTGAATACCGAAAGGTTAAAAAATACAAATCATTTCTGTGACTTACAAACTCATGTTTGCCGAATAGCCACCGAACACCAATGACTGCCAAAATAACCTTGGCCTACAACAGCAGCAGTAGCTGATAAACTGCAACGGCGCTTGAAAAAGTCTAACTTCATCCATCTTGCTTGCCAGCAAACCTCATGATCATACTACGGGACGTCTTGAACCATGGGATCGCAAGATTGGCCACCGAAAGACGCGTTGTGAGCGGCAACCATGAGGTATGCGTCCAATATATAACTGAAGCACCACAAGACGGACCATTGCGTGAACAGTTGACTGAGTTCATGTGCTAAGTTGTCCCAGTTTTAACACACAGTTCGCATGCGTCCATGCCCCATTTCTGCCTATACCTACTGATAAATGTACAGTGCAAGTAATCCACAAGGTTGAAGTGCGCGTACTTTACGCGGCCTGGAATGCTCTAGTTAACAACCCTTGTTTCGGATTTTACCAACAGCGCAAGTCACCAGTCACATTACGTATCATTTCCATATCTTCTGATTAGCCCTACTCGTTGTTGTAGCGTGTACACCTTTCCTGGGTGTCATCCTCATATGTCCTACTCCCGCATCCCCCATGCCCCTCTCATTGGGTTGATCTTAAGTGCAAATTGCAATCGGATGTTTTGCTTTTAGTAGCACTTACATCCGCTTTCTTGACGTGGGCTGTGCGTTTAAGCTGTACAGCATCAGTGGGGAAATTGCTCGGAATCGGACTACAAGTCCCACTGTTGTCGACACGCAACAGGCAAGTGTATCCTTGCTCTGTCCTACGACTTCTACAACTTAAGCAGTTTGCATAATTAATTGTTTATTGTGACATGGTGTTACCATAATAATAATAATAATAGCAATAATAATAATAGCAATAATAATAGCAATAATAATAATAAAGCCAAGAAATTCAGGATCCTGAAACGGTTAGTTGGTTCACAATCATCCGGCTGTGAAAAAGCTTCGATGCCGGCCTTTGAACTATGTAGGCTCAAGGATCAAAAGCGTGCCTTGTAATCCGGGGGCGCGGGTTCGAGCCTGCGTATGGGCCGGGCGACCCTCGTAGTGTCCTCAACCCACATGCAGATGTTGACGGTTGCGAGACAACGAAGCGTCGGTACGACGTACCGGCGTCCTGCTGATACCTTTACCTTTTTCAGTCCCAAATAGGGATGAAAATGCATTACGCATACCACTAAAAAGGCGACAATTTTGAACTCTCATCACTTCGGCGCTCGGTGCACGGAGCGTGGATGCACCAGACCAGCCCCTAATCATTAGGGAGTAATAGGGAGAGTTATTCTGTTTTGTGAGAAAATCCGTCACAACTAGAACCAGTCATCACCGATCCCTAACTGAGTTATAGTCAACCAGTCATGGTGCTCCACCGCCGTCACACATGGCTCAGTAGCTTAATTCACTGGCTGGTAAGAGTAAGCTTATGGGTTCGAATTTCAGAAGGATCCGACGGATCCGCGCTACTGACTAGTCTCAATAGGACGAAGCAACCTTCTAGCGCTTTCATGGATGTGTTGAGGCTGTCTAGCTGCCACGAACCTACCTAAAAAAATACCACTCCCAGTTCATTTTATGGCCATTTGAAGTCCTCATTACTACTGTTACTTCAAAACAGAATACACCGAATACCCACATTTTGAGTGATTCCGTTCACTCTAGATGAGTTAAATATGCTAGTCACGAAATTGTCGTCAACATACGATGTCTACAACAACTTTTGTTCATACTTAATGTTTGTCACTTATCGCGCATACCCCATTCGATTGGCGTAACTTAGTTTTTAACGGGTCAACCTATCTCTACCCTTATCGTTATGCGGTTGCAGCGTTTTGCAAGCGCCTCCGCGTTCAGTGAAGCGTTTTTATCACTGCTGCGATTCGTTTTATCATTTGTTTTTATTTTTCTGCCAAGATGCGTGCATTACTAACTTGTCCTTCTATTCATCAGCTATACTCCGTTTTCTTCTCTCGCTTTCCTGTTGTCTAGGGTTGTGTCAGCTCGGAGGCCGTGAACAGGAGTTAGTTTTATGTGCAAAGCGCAAGTTGATCCGAGTAAGTTCACTTACACTGATACGCATCACCCTTCCCTCTAACTTCGTGTGGCATCCATCAACAATAGTTGTTGCTATTATCATGTGTTTTTGTTGTGTTGTAGGACACATCGGTAGGAAATAGTATGTCGCGTATTGTCACACATCCTACAGATTTCGTCTAAACATACAGTAAAACCTCCGTAAGTTGACCGTCCAGGGGACTGGACCAGTGGTCAACATACGCAGGTTCTATGCCCAAACTGCGTAACCTACTTTCTCGTTGTGAGTAGTATAACAGGAGATTTATTTTCACACAAACCCGTTTCGAAGGCATTCGACGCGCTCACGTAACGGCAAGCGTAGTTCAATCATACAGCCTCATAATAAATCAAAACAGCGTGCATTTCGAAGTTAAACCATTTTTTTAATTTATTTTTTCTTGACATAAAGGTAACTGACGAAAACACTCTCAACACAAGCTACACTACTCAACATGTTTGAACATATTTCCACAGCAAATGATTTCAGTTGTATTATCTGTTCATCTTCCTTTGGAGTTTCTGTGCTTTCCAGATCATGGTCACACAGTGCTTCTTCGTCAGTAAGATCAGGTGTTTGCTTTTTGTTCCCGTAGGGGTTGTAGAGAACATTCGGACATCGCGATCCCAATTCCCCTCCATATTCCTTTCCCCTACCAAACATTACGACTATACTTCCCCATTTCGTCGTGAAACCCCGTCTCTCCGTCGTTCCGCCCTACGTTCCCTAAAATTGTTATCACCTCGCATTCCCACGAGCCTAAATTGTCTACACACATTTGTCTAACTTTGTTTACGGTCGTCAACACTTTGCACCGATTAGGGTCGTTTGGTGACCTTCACCCTTCACCGATTATACCTGTCCACTGAACCTTTGTTCCCACCGGACGAGCCTATCTGACCATTTCCTCCTTTGTCTAAGTGCATCTAGGACTCTGTGGTGAACCTGCCGCACAGGCCAACTTCACACCCCCTTGAGGCTTACCCAATCCGCATCCCTTTTTGGACCGCTCTACCCGTTTTATAAACACGACGTATACCTTAGTAGTGTGATTTCGTACGGCGCGCATTGAAGCTGAACTTATCGACTCGGACCAAACGATGGTCATTGTAAATGTCCTGAGTTTGGAAGCATAATCGTTAAGATATTTATTGTACATGCTCATTTATGCATTTGTACATAGTACCGTTATCCAGTTCCGCATTTGATGTTTCTTTGATCCTGGTGGAAACGCGTCACTCGAACCTTCCAAGCAAATTTTGTTGCTTACAAGGGTGTACTGCAGTATGTCTTGGAAAACAGAATCTGGGTCTGGTTCAGTGCAATTTACTAAGTCAACATCCATTCCAACTAACTTACTAAAATCCACCCCGTCGAATTCTGCCAATGGAGATGGAGTTTAGTAAGGCGACCGCATCCCACTGGACAGATTGAACAAATCCGGTTTTTCTGAAACACATGTGTATAATTTTTGGTTGAGCTTTGAACCAAGCGGAACTTATCCAAAGCGCATCATCCATGGCATTAACTGAAGCATTTGAAACAATAGCATGCAATTTTACCTTAGCCCATTGCATGAACTGGGCTCGGCAGTGCATTTTGAATATTTTGTTGATCCCTTGGTTTAGAGGTTGAATTTGTGATGTCATGTTTGGAGGCAGAAACTTGTGTAATATTTGCGGGATTTTTCATGGGTGTGACTAGGACAGTTGTCTACTGTTAGGATAATGAAGCATTTCTTCGTCATCATGTCCTTGTCGATGCTTCGGATCCACTCCACAATATGTCAGCAGTCATCCATGCAGATCGGTTTGATCTTCAGGTGACTGGAAGGTTTTCAGCATTTGGGTTTTGGAACGCACGTGGTCTGTCTGATTTACAAGTGACTAAGGGCTTTAGCTTCCCCCCACTTGAGGTAGCGCATAACAGAACTGTGAAACGTTCTTTGGAATGTTTTCCACTTTTACATTGCTCACCCTTTATAACAAGGCTTTTGTTAGGCATCGCCTTGAGAAAGAGATCGCACTTGTCAGGGTGATAAAAATGTCGTCATTGTTGAAGCCCTTGCTGAAGTTAGAAAATTTTTCAATGAAGTCTTGTACAAACTCTTCAGACACTTCATCGGATTCACCACACACTCTTTGGAAAATTTCATGTCGGAGTTTAAATTTCTCTAGCCAACCATTGGATGCCTGGAAATCTGCTACCTCAAATTCTTTTGAGAACCTTTTAACAATTTCTTGAATTCTCGGCCCAAAATTCGTGCGTTAGCTTCCCTCTTTCGCTTGAACCAACGCAACGTAGCCTCATTGACTTCGTCGTGTGAACTTTTCCGTCTCTTCCGCTGTTGATCACCTCTTTCATTATCGTACTCTCCAAGTACTCGTGTTTATGTCTTTGGATATTGCTAACTGTTGTCTTGCTAACACCAAAATGCTCTGCCGTTTTTCGTTGGCTACTGCTCTCCAGAAAATGTAGCAGACTAACCTGTTCCTTCAAGGTCATCCCTCTGAGATCTTTTCTTTGGGCCATAATGTTGAATTACTCGTAATGACCGATCCTAATTTGTTCAAAGCATGGTTCTGTTTACGTAACGTTAATTACATATAATAGCCTCAGTTGTTTTCAACCTCCGGCCGACACCAATTAGAGCCGGATAAAGGCTCGACGATTAATTTAGGCGTAAACATCAATCTCGACACAATCCAAGGTGCTAATGGACTGGTGCTTAAAACTGATGGTTAACGGAGGGTCTGACAGTCACTTAAACTCCTGGTTGCGGCCTGTGCGAGGAGTGGGCACATGTTCTTAGGGGTAGACGTAGGCTTGCCTGTGAATGTGGACAGGTAAGGGAGGTTTTACTGTATGTACGATGCACTCACTGGGAAACACGAATGACTGTCTATTGATGTCCCCACATATTTGGTTCGTAACTCTGAACCCCCTAATCACACTAGCCCCTCCGCTTTGCTTCACAAATGCACAGTAACTTCTCAGTTCCAGGATCGGGGTAAGTCCTAAATCAAGGCAGCTATAAAATCTTAGTTTTGAGAAAGCTACCGATTCGCTTAGTTCCATTTGAAATCAAACTTCCATATTACTGTTCAAGTGCGTCCATCCTTGGCGAAAAATGACCGGCTGTTCCCGAAGTCGAATTTTTCCACGTTTGCAGTTCCTTACCGCGCATACAGCAGCAATGAATACTTTGAATTTTCTTCATTCTGTCGGCACAGATTCGTGTACCAACAGCCGGTTGTGTACACTGGTTCGCCTAACCGTAGACTTTTCTGTTTAATTTCACCCCTCTCGTTGAGCCAACTGGGTTTTTGCTTCCTACCGATTCACTACCTTACATTCAGCTTGATTGATCCACTCTCTCCGCTTGGCCAGCTTCCACAACGTTGTTCTATAAAGGTACATGTTTGTTTCATTCGGCTTTTCGCATCTTGCGATTGTTGAACGAAGTTCGTCCACTTTCAATCGGCATGGTTTTAAGTTGGCAATCTGGTATTGTTTCCTTGTCTTTTACCACTTCGGCTGTTCGCAGTTCGGTAAACTCAGATATATGACTGTGTAGTTATGTGAACATTGGTTTTTGTGTGTGATGTATCTCCGGTCTGTCCTCAATTCACCCTTCATTCTCGATCAGCTCAGCTGGAAGTCAGGTCTCTCTACGAGCTAAAGCTTGCACCTGGTTGTGGTGTCAGGACGATTCCACGTCTACCAGTTTAAAGAATGCCACCTAAAATGCAAGCACTCCTGGACTCTGTTAATAGTCCCAGAGATAATTCTGTTTGTTGATTAGGACAATGGACGTTCTGTGAAATCTTTTCATGAATGTTATCATGATGCAATCTAACAGGCAATAATTTAGTACTGTTCTGGCTCTAAGGCGTAGGAACCTTGACTGTGATCAACTGCACAATCCTTTTACCTCCTTTTTACACGCGTATATTTGTTGACTTCTATGTGACCAAATGGAACATTTGGCATGCTACTATTATATGCTAAGCCCGTGATATCTGCTATTAGATCGTCCCGATCCTTTTCCAATGCAGAACTATTTTACGCAGTGTAAATCCACGCCCCCTACCAGAAGGATTGGACTGTCTATTTGTTCGCTTAATTCCACCCTAGCGTTATCCAATTTTGTTCATTCATCTTGAATGCCTGCTGTTCTCCTTAGCCCCCATATACGTAATACGACAGCGTACGTGAAGATACCGTATCATGTATTTGACATCTACCCAAAAGTACTCGATGTTACCTGCTTTTTAGTACTCACAAGAGACCCTCTTCAAGTCGACCGACTTGAAACACGCTCACGCCAAATAACAACTTCCGTTAAAGTTACCGCCTTGATGTGGTCTTGTTGGTGTGCATCACCGGGCATTGGGTGTTAGCGTAACATTACTTCACCTGAAGCTGCCTCCAACCCATTTGTCGTACTGCTTGTACTAGATATCATGCATGATTTTCTGCCTGAGTGCTTTTGATCTCTGATTCTCTGATCATTTCGTCATATTCTATGGGGTGATGCTTGCAGACGGTGGGGTAACATTGGTGGAGGTAACATTGGTTCGTTTCTCATCTTTACCTATGGGCGATCTTTCGGTTGCTATCACACTCTTCCCTCCTCAACTCCAAAGGACACGTTGACGATGGGTACTGACAAAGGACTGGAAAATTCCATTCAGGTAGTTGCTTACCATGTGGGAACCCTGCCCCATTCTGCTTCACACGTGCCCATCGTCCTGTCCCTGACTGCAACCCATCATTTGTTTCCTCCCCACTCTATTTTGTGTATGACCTATTGTCAGCCTCACAGCTACGTACACGCGGCATACATACTTCTATGGCTAACCAACGTTACCCTATACTTCCGATTCACCTAGGATGCTCTTTTTTCTCATACCAAATATGCGGCAATCCAGATGCATCCGTGGGTACCCGGAACCTCCGGAAACCCTGCTGCTTCCAAATTTCTTGAACTTCCATCCAATGTCACTTGTTTGCGCCCGCTTCCTATGTTGTGAACACACGTTCAGCATGAGTTCTCAACTCCCCTTTGAACATATTTGAGTAATGTGGTTTGAATTGCGCCACCACTCCCCTTTATTTATTTCCCTCTGCGCACACGTGACTGTGTGTTTCACTGTGGATGCGTTCCGCTATGTGTCCGCAACCCTGCTCCCCCTACTCATCAGTCGTGGCCGCATACAACAAACCCATCTGAAGATGGTAGATTTATTCATTTTCTTCACTTTACCTCCTAGAATGAAACCGACGCGGACATTGAGGCTTTCCTGCATTCCGCATTGGATCAGAATGAGGAGGTAAGTAGCGTGATCTAACATTCCATCATTTGCTCCACGTTACGCTGAGACAGTCACGCTGATGTTTGCGTCAACGCAGTTCAGCTTTCATGCAAACCGGTCTGAGTCGGGTCCAGTGCATCCACAGTTCTATTGTAGTGCACACTATTATGATTGACTACTCCATCAGAAATGTACCGGTGTTCCAATCGCAATGTCAAGCATCCCATTGCCCTTAGCTATTAAGAGAAAATTCCCATATTTGACGGCTTTCAGACCCAATTTACAATCAAAGGATCTTAACACTGTGCATTTTCGAATAGCGTGTTGCTTTCGATCGCTTAGTTCATCGGTGCTCTCGTGCATACACACACATACACACACACACACACACACACACAATCCTTAGGTCACCGGTTTGAATCCGCGGTATACTCAGCCCACACGCGACCGGTGGTGGTCGCGTGACAGCAAAGCGTTGGTCCAATGTGTCGGCGCACTGCTATTGACTACTTTTTTGACCATAACTATTATTACTACTGCTACTGCCGCTACTACACATATTGCTTACCCATCTAGGTGGATCCACGAACCCAACGGTGGCAGAAATTAGTATACCAGAAAATTGACAAAACTGTTGCTCAAACTGGCCGTCATGCTGCCCTCGGTGTCTCTACGAAGGAGGAGGTGGTGGATCGAATTTTGACCCTATCGAAAGTTATGCATGGCCTGTATCTGGTGAGTCAGTGTCCGCCATTTTGCATGCGCCACTTTCGATATCTTCGTTGCATGCCAAGGGCCATAAAGGTCGAATCTTCAAGTTCTAGTAGTACTGGAACGTTAGGAGAATCCTGTGAGTGTTCCTTCTTGAGTGGATCGTTGAGCCATGGGTGGATAAGGTGTTCCGAGGTCTTGATGGATCTAAAACGAAACACCCCAATCGCACTCTAGGCAAACCATTATTGCTCACTTTTCCTGCAATAGCAGTCTCTGCTGTGCCTGTTACGTGAAGTAAACAAGGGATATGAAGAGAAGGGTCATTTGAAAGAAAAGGATAATACAAATGGTGAGACTAGACACAGCAAATAGAACCGAAGTCTGAAGATGGGAGCCGGTCAGGTGAAATAAAGGGTTTCGTGTTGCCACCCAAAAACGTTTAGTTGACGCTCAAACCCCTTAACCGTAGATTCCCTGACAACACTTCTGGAAACGAGTTCCAGCGTTCGATGACTCGGCGCGATAACCGAGTTTCCGCCCTAATGCGGTCAGACCACGATGTGCCAAGCTTCATGGAATACCCGCAAATACCAGACATTCTAATAAGACTGAACGACCAATACAAATCCCGATTAAAAAGCGGTAGATTAGGATTAGGTCTCCCCTAATCCTCCGCAGTGCATTGAATGCATACCCAGAGTAAGTAGGCGCTCGGGGTACCTCTGTCTCCGTAACCCTTCAATCAACTTAGTACCCGACTTAAAACCCCCTAGCTCCATTTTGTTGGACGAATCAGGGTGAACAAGACTTGACGCAATATTCCAGATGTGGCCGAACGAAACCTGAGAACAGGTTCACAAAGAGATCGCCCAACAAAATTCTGAAATAACAGAGGATTAACCACAACATACGAAACTCTCTACTTGCGGCCTTCTTCCAGTTGTCGCCCAAGTGTAAAGTCGAGGAGTGTACGATGGCTGGATCAGCCTGGCTGGATAAGCCGAGCATGTAACTCAAGGGCGGACAACCACCTCCAATAAGAAGTCCTGAACACTTTGGCTGATTTATTGGCAGTAGCCATAAAGTTGACCAGTTTCAGAGCCTATCCAAGGCACACTGAATAGCCTCAGGACCCCCAGGAACATCTGAAATATTCCACAGCTTTAGGTCATCAGAGAATAATAGCGATGATACCCCAAGCTCGTCAGGTAGATCGTTTACATAGATGGAGAACAGCAGCGATGCAAGGATCGATCCTTACGGTACACCACTGAGGACAAACTGCCTAAACCAGGTGTGTCCAAACTTTTTGCAAGGAGGACCACATCTAGTGAGGTAAAAAGATATCAGGCCATACTTAGTCTGAGATTAGGATAATAACAAAAAGTAAACATGTACGAATAATGTCCAAACTTGAATTTATTGTTTCGTGATGAGGTCACGGGCCAGTTGAAATGTTAACGCGAGCCGCACTTTGGACATCCCCTGGCCTAAACGATGGGCTGCAGCCCACGTATACACACTGCTTTCTTCCCTCCAGGAATCCAGACACCCAGTGAAGGGCGCGATCGCACACCGTAACAGTCTAGCTTTTGCGACAGCCTCAGGTGGGGCGCCGTGTCAAGTGCTTTCGAAAAAGACCACGAACAGTACGTCCGACGCATGACCATCGTCCACGGCATCAGGCCAGCTCTCATGAGCTACCAATAAGTTCGTCAGACAAGCAAATCCCTTCCGGAATCCGTGTTATGCACTGCTGAGTAGATTGCATCTATTCAGATGACCCTTCTACGGATCTCCCACTAGTGTCTCGAGGAGTTTGACTACTACACTCGTCAGACTAGCTGGCCTGTAATTAACAGGCAGACTCTTATCACCATTTTTGAAGATGGGACAGTTGGTAGCTTCCCTCGACTAAGAAGTTAGTGTACAGCTATCGAGCGATTTATGAAACACAATAACGGCCAGTCCATTTAGTTCGCCAGCCAAATCATGTAACAGCTTCGGGTGAATTACATCAGGTCCAGATATCTCCTAGGGGTTCAGCCTTCGTAGCAGCCTACAAACTTCCATCTCCGCTACACTAAACTCAGCTAGACAAGAACCCTCTGGGATTCTGAAAACCAGTTCAACGCTGTTCAAGTGGGGTTCCGTACAAACGCTCCTGCATGCTGTCCATCAAATACAGTGGCCTTGTCATAGTTCATTTGAGCATGAGCACCGTCGGCTCGCACCAACACTGGATTTGATGATTTCGTACCGTAGCGCCTTTTGACATAAGCAAGGAACCTTTTTGGATTCTCCTACGCTCTATTTGCTAAACCCTTTCCATACATGAGCCGAGCATTCCTCAGGTGTTGGTTGCATCTATTTCTAGCCTCTCGGTGCTTGTCATAGGTACCGGTTGATGGGATATCTCCGTAGGTCCGTCAGCATCTAGACCGCTAGTTGAGCAGGTACCTACCAGTGGAATCTATTCAGGGGTCTGTGTTCGTACCTTCTTCCTTCTCGTAACCGGGATGTATGGAGCAGAAACCTCTGTGAGATAGGATATCTGGATATTATCGTCCTCAGATGTCTCACAACGCATATCTAAATCATTGTTTCACATTGCTTGATAGTTCGCACACCATATGTTTGGATGTGATTCAAAGGTAGTCTAGAGACGTTTAGACAGAGCACGCCTGAAGAGAAAACAAACATCATTGACACATAGAAGAGAGCCATAAGTAATGGAACTGTGTATTTATCACGGGTACACAAGCAACACGCTTAAGTTTCCGTAGATAAAGAGTGGGATCAGAAATTACTGTGTCGAGAAAAAAATAACACGTAGTTTGTTACTTCATCCCGTGTCCAAGATAATTGGGTTAAATCATGTAATGTATCATTAACTCGGATTTGGGATTCAGCTATCGTAGGAGGGGAGATGAACGAATGCGGAATACACGAAAGGAGGAAACGTTCAGTTGGCGTTCCAGCCGGCTGTTCTGTGTGGCTAAGTTCAAACGGTGGCTTCTCAGTGAGGTGTTGTGGCTGAGATTCAATATGGTTCGGCACAGGTGGTTAGGATTCTTGTGGATCTAGTACCCTAATATGATATCCCCTCACAAAAGACGATATTGTTCGCTGAAAGCACTTAAAGTCTTTAGACTCAACTGATAGGGTTAATTAAGTAACTTAGCAAACAATGTCCTAGATAGACGGTACTTGGGTGTTCATCTATCTGGTGGGGGGTGCACGAACCGTACTTGTAGTGGAGGCTCAAGAAGATCCGCACCGAAAGTACCTGATGCTGAGTTGCAAGAAAGATTTTCCCAGTAAACTTCCGGCAGATTGACGTCATCCGGTATCAGACATCTGTTTGCTGACTGAGAACGAGTGAAGTCAATCACCTCTTTGGATGCACTCTCAGTACTTCTATACACAAATACAACTGTAAATTGGGCCGAGGAAGTGCTAATCACAACCGGCAGAGCTTCAACAGTTTTGTCTATCGATAGAAACATGTAAGTCCTCTAAAAGTCAAGTTTACAACCAACATAGAGCGTGACGCCCCTAAATGGTGCGTGGTCAGATAGGTGTTTTCCCGTCCGTGACGAACAGACCTAACTTGTACCTCCCTGTTCCTTAAGCCGCGCACATTGCTGAGCACTATCTAATGGTATTCGCAATGACCAGACCTGGTTCGTGCGCTACCAGAACGGGCACAGATAGGGCAGAAATGGATCTCTGGCTGACTACCTGAAAACGTAATGACCAGAGACCCTGTTAACCGGCCGCTCGCCTGCTTTTGTCGTCCTTGATAGCCCCTTTTAGCTTCAGCCTATCCGCTGTCGGGTTTGGCTGAATGCTAACATATGTATCCTTCAGTGTAAGAGCAAATCTCAACAATGCTTAGCGTTTCTTCAGGGTACAGAGGACCACACGAAGTACGTGCGGTCGAAGGTTTGGCAGGCCAACTGTAACGCTACCCAATCTAGTGAGCCTTCTGTCAGTAACCCCGGGAAATCCAGGCGGAAGAAGCTTTGCCACGCACATTTTAAACCACTTAAGGTCGTTCAACATGCCTTCAGCGGGAAGGACGGTAGTGGTTTCAAGTGCGTTGCGGATTATAACGCTGCTATCTATGTAAGAATCACCTCGATGGAGTACATTTACCCCACGGGTTTTTGAATTCACATTAATGACAGTCGGCTTAGCCGCAGGCGATGGGACTGGGTGCACCTTATCATACGACGCTAAAGCAAATGCAGCGTACGCTCCCTGCTTCTTTGCCTCATCATACTTTAACCTTTCAGGCCTTACGATGAGAGTACGGTTAGCTCTGTTCCGCTTTCTCCTTTATCCAACGGGTGTAGGGTCCGTGGCTCAACGTCGGTGTCAGCTTAAATGACCTGTAACTCCGCATGAGGGCATTGTACTTGAAGTTGTCACCTCCGCACAAACGGCGGTCGGTTTAGCATGTGATAACAGCAACTGTCACTTTTCACTTGGTGTTGACTCCAAGTTTGCACCACGATTGGATTTCCGGGTGATTTTAATTCGTTGTACAGTCGATTTTACTGCAAATTTATTACTTGTTTCCCTAGCACAGGTTGATTGAATTTCTGCAGAACTATGAGCTCTTGGCAAACGACCTTAGCCTGTGTCGTATTCCGAAAAACCAGTCCCCTAGTCAGTGTTCAGACTGGGAGTTCTTCAAGTACCCACACATCACACGTTGCGGAAAAATTGAATTCAAATACAGTTTTGTCTTTTATTGGAACATAGCCGGAAGTGAACTGACTACTGGTTGGTTTAGCGGAGCTGTATGCTACCGGGTGCGTCTCCAGGTTGCGGATCGGGGAACGCCTTCCTTGTGAAGGTAACTGTGAATAAGTCTCGACTGTTCGCAGACGAGATGAATAAGCAGTTGCGGACATTCAGCAGCAGCGTCCGAAAACATGGGAGGTTCTTGGCTGGTCACCTGGTTCCTCATTAAATACCACAAGAGCTCGCAAGACGCTGTCTCTAAGCCAATGTGACCGGCTATAGGGTCACTGACCCCTCACTTCTGGTCATAGAAGTGAGCACTTAACGGAGAGCGGATGAACAACCTCGATGGCCACCGGCTTCTATGAAGGCGTATGAGCCACCCGGCTGTCAACGACCTTCGTGCTTCGCGGCGAGCTCGGTAGTCTTTGCTGCTTCACTGGGGCTCTGCACGCCCTGAAGTTTGCCTCTACTCGAAAGCCGTTCACCTAGAGAGCCGGCTCCCAACGGTCGTGGTATACGTCAATCGCCCCGCTGCCTTGCCGGTTAGGTCTTTACGACCCAAGGCTCCAGATGAGGTCCCCTAAGTCAACCCTCTGCTTCGGCCTGGACAACCGGGAAGTACTATGCCCACACAACCTATGGATCCATGTCTCAACAATTCTTCGCTCGCTCTCTCCACTCTCACTCTATCTGCTCTCACTCTCCCAAGCTGCTTTCATCGACCGAGATGCTGGTGGCTGAATTGCCAAACCACCTTTTGCCGCACCACCGTTTAGTCACTTTATTCCACGTTTGTTCAACCCCCATTCTTAGTCTTCCCCCTCCGTTTTCCATTTCACAACATCCTGCCGCCTTGGGCGAACGTTCTCGCCATGGGGATCAGGAGCCCAGGTCCGAAGATGCACCAAGTCGTGTTGACAAGCCATTTCTAGCGCCCCGTTCCCAATTCAAGCTGGCAACCTTCAATGTTCGGACGCTGATGCAGATTGGATCACAGGCAGCCCTTGCTCGCACTCTAGGAACTACGGCCATCGATGTCTGCTGTCTCAGCTAAGCCCGTTTACAGGACTTTAGCACGGCGCTGCGATTAGTTTCACCGTCTGCAAATTCCACTAGCATTTTCACTGTGCGATTATCTGGAGACTTAACCGCCGAAGCCGCTGATTGTGTTGGCGTGGGGATTGCGTTGAGCACAAGTGCTGAGGCCGTGCTACTGGACTGGGTCCCTGACAACAATCAACTATGCGCGATCCGACTGGAAACTTCAGTGCGACTGTCCAGATGCCAACCGAGCAGACGCTGTCTATTCATTGTCGCAGCGTACGTTCTCACAGATTGCAGCCCGGAGTCAGTTAAAGATTAGTTCTATGGTCAAATGGCCGACCTCCGTAAAAAGCGCCGTACTGACATCGCGATGCTCGCCGGGGACTTGAAGTCGACGAACGTGAACTCGGTGGTCAACACGGTCATGGCACTCACAAAACAGACAACCGTGATCAATTACTTCAGCTTTGCGCCGATCATGGCCTCTTTCTGTCGAGCACTAGCTTTGGGGAACCCTGGCGCTAACGCGCCACCTGCAGACCCCTATGACCTGGCCAGCCGTGGACACGGATTGACCACATCGCCATTAGCTATCGCTGGCGGGGTAGGATATCGGGTTGCAAATCAATCTGGAGTACCTATCTCACTTCGGATCACGCGCTGGTGTGTGCCAAGGTTGCGCTACGTTTTGGTGGCTCCCAGCAACGTCGCCAGAGACGGTTTGACGTAGCTAAGGTTTCTGCCCCAAACGTTCTCCACGCATTTCAAGATGCCTTGGCCTTACGGCTGTAGACTGCCCCATGCACGGACATTGAAACACACTGGACACACATCCGCGGCGCTTTGTACAACTCTGCAACCCTGGTCTGTGGCTTCACCAGTAGTCCTATCAACCACTGGATCTCCGCACGATCCCCCCAACTTCTCGAAGCCCGTCGAGAAATTCCTGCTAGTGTTAGATATCATTCACTACGCAAGACTACTAACTGTGAGCTCAAACAGCTTCTCCGGGAAGATCGCGAGGCCTGGTGGACACAGCGGGTCATTGAGATGGATCAAGCGGCCACCTCGAGGAATTCCCGTAAGCTTTTCCTCCTGATCCGGTATACTGGAGGCAAAAGGCTGACTGTAAGCGAAGTTTTATGCGAAACCAATGGCGAGCCAATCCACTGTCAAAAACGCCGGCTCGAGCGTTGGGCCGAGCACTTTGAGCAGCAGTTTGATTGGCCAGCAGCACCAATGAGTTCCCATTCTGGAGCCCAGAGCGCTCCCTGGTGTGTAGACGCTTCACTACCATCCGAGACTGAGGTTGCCCACGAGTTTCGACTCTTAAAGCGCTACGAAAGCCCTTGGCCCAGATGAACTCCCTTCGGCTCTTTTCAAATATGGCGACCCATCACTTGTTCAGGAGTTAACTTCTCTCCTCCAAGAGACCTGGGTCACTGAAGTTATCCCATCTGATTGGAGCCTAGCGGATATCGTGCTCGTCTTCAAAAAGGGTACGCACAGAGGGATCCGTCTCATCTGTGTTGCTTCCAAGATGCTCACAGCTCTGCTTCTAAGGAGGCTCAGCCTAGTACGCGAACAGAGCATAAGTGAAGAGCAAGCTGGGTTCCGCTCAGGTCGGAGTTGCATCGATCACATCTTTACAGTCCGCCAAATACTCGAGCGTCGTCAAACATTTGGCCAGCCAACAATCGTTGTCTTAGTCATACGAGCCGCATTTGACTCAGTCGACAGAGCTGCTCTCTGGAGTTGTCTACTGAGAAGGGGAGTGCCGGAGAAGTAGTATGTCACCTTACTTCAAACCATTTACTCTCGAACCTCGGGCCGAGTGGGGGTGTACGGCGGATTTTTGCCCCACTTTGATATCACCAGCGGCATGAAACAGGGTTGTCCAGCATCCCTTTCTTGTTCAATTTCGCTACAGACGAAATCTTGGAGTGTGCTTTGGAGAACTGCGAACCCAGCGACGTCCTGCTGCTTCCGGGGACCAACTTCTGGATTTGGGGTACACAGACGACGTCGCTGTAATCTGCGATTCCTCACAGGCCGCCTAAAATGTTCTGTGTAGATTGGAGATGTCTGTCTCAGTTTGGAATGATCTTCGCATCATCGAAATGCAAGGTTTTCCTGCAGGACTGGTTAGGTGCTGCTCCTGACCTTACGCTTCTAGGTCATTCGTCGGAAGTGGTGGACAAGTTCGTTTACCTCGGAAGCCTACTCAGTGCTAATGGTTTAACGGATGGGGTCTCTTTGCGTGTCTCCAAGGCTCGGGTTGCTTTTGCCAATCTTCGCCATCTCTGGCGTCGAGCTGATCTGAGTCTAGCTCTGAAGGGCCGAGTCTACAATGCCACAGTGAGAGCGGTTCTCCTCTATGGCTGCGAGACTTGGCCTGTTCGCGCAAAAGATATTGAGAGGCTGTCTGTTTTTTTTAATCACCGCTGCCTATGGAGCGTTGCTGCTGTACGATGGCAACATCACACTAGGAATGAAGATATTCGACGAAGGATTTTCATACCAGACCGACTTTGCCGGCCAGTGAACAGTATAATTTCGTTGAGCAGACTTCGGTTGCTTGGGCAGGTACTCCACATGCCTACTCATCGCCTACCTCGCCGTGCCCAATTCGTGCACGCAGAAGTCGGCTGGAAGCGAAAGCAATGTGGCCAATGTATGACTTGGGACAGGAGCATGAAGGAGCTAACGTCAAAGTTAGCCGTGGTCGGGCGCTCTCGGCTCCCTGGCTGGAGTGCGAACGATCAGGAACACAAATGGCTGGAAACACTCTCGAATATGACGAGCAATCGTGCACAGTAGCGGAGTTGTTGTGAATCACCATTCCCATAAACATCTGGTTTTTCCTCTATCTTCTTATGTTTATTGTTTTTTACACGTTGTGGCTCTATGCTAATTGTACTACTGGCCGTGTTGAATATATATATATATATATATATATATATATATATATATATATATATATATATATATATATATATATATATATATATATAGTCGCTGTTAGGCTGTAACACTGTGACTATTCGCAGCAGCGTCATCGACGCGCATCGTAATCCATCAGTCGAACCACGCTAATTGATTTTGCCGCTTCCAGCTGTAAACCTTGATCGATTGCTTCCTGATTTGCCGATGTTTCAACTCATTTTATCCGTGTCACGTTAATGAGCACTACCCATCTGGCTGTCTCGAAATTGAATTGTTTTTCTTCGGTGAAACCTCCGAAATTGACTACCTCACTATGTTGACCGCTTTTTCCTCCATATTTTAACGTTCGGCATCTAACCCTTATGGAGCCATACCTTTGTATGTTGATCACCTCTAGGTTGACCACTTTGCTCCAGTCCCTTGAGTGGTCCACTTACAGAGATTTTACTGTATTTTCTCTATAATGCACCTCATCGATGTCAGACAACAAGCCAAATCAAATCGTCCTGCAGCTATAATCTTTCTGTCCAGTTTGAGAGCCACCCAACTCTGGAAACCCGGCAGGTACTCAACCATCATAGGTATAGTCGTTTACCAACGGTAATCATCACAGTCCTCTAGTCAATGCGGTCATGGACCGCACCACACATCGAACGCATAGGCATCAATTTGTTACCATGTAATGATTCCTAGTCTCGGAACAGGCAGGCATTCATCACGTGGCTCTCGATTTTCTCCCCGTGCTTGTCATGTTTCAACAATTAGTCCTTTTTCTCAAAATTATGATTCCCAGAAAATCCCACGAACTACTTTGTTGCTCAACCTAGCCCAACTGTTCGCTAGCGCCGACGATCACGAGGAGAAGCTTGTGAAAGTAGCCTCACCCATGCTTTATTATTCGTTGTTTACCAGTGCGAGTAGTCCCCGTTAAGTCTCCTTGAGAAGATTGCTGTTGAGTAAAGTGATTCGCGAAAACCTACAGTTTACACCCGCGCACCGCTTGCGTTCCACTCATTTGGTACACATGACGGTGAATGCATCAGTTCGCTTATACATGCCAAGTTTTTTTTTGTCTGATTGTTGCACGGGTGAAATGCTCTCGATTTCAGGTTGATCATCCGCCGACGACAGCCAAGAGTGCATGGAAAAAGTTGGTTTCGTCCCAGCGCAAGCGGGCCGTCATGGCATGTTTCCGGATGGTACCGCTCTATGCTATGCCAGTACACCGTGCCATCAATCTCTTTATCAAAGCATACATTGATGAGTGGCTCAACTACGAGGAGGCACTCGGGGTGAAATTGATTGAAGACATCACTAACACAGAGAGCGGAACAGACTCAGACGTAGCGACCGGTACGGGGGCGCTGACACAGACGAGGGCACCGATGAGTCACGCGTCGGACGCTGCATTTAAAGCCATTGACGGTAGGCAAAGTTGTTCTCTGCTTTGTTTCTCCAGAAATTGTCCACTCTAATGTTAATATCGCAGTCACACTGTTAGGTCACTGAATCGCTCGATTTTGTCACTGGCTCTAAGCATCCGCAGCTGACGCGCAGGATTCCTTATTGCCGATAACGCTTGATCATCGAGCCTTCGTTGCACGTTTGGTTTCACGAGTTACTGGGTAGGCTGGCTTATACACGATGCACTTAATCACCAGCTATCTATCGGGATCGCTATTTTTACTGTTTCCGAGTTAAGTGACTGAGTGCTGACATGACAAGCGAGTACAAAGATAGCTGGTAGTTCGAATCGCTCTGTTGATTGATGTGATCGGTAGCACTTTTTCGCATGAGGCATCCTAGAAATCATGAGCACTGCTGCATTCGTTCTTTTACCCCCAACTGTTGGCTCTCTCATCTGCCGCTTCTAGGCTTTTCTGACCCTCTTACCATCTGTTATAACCACGTAGAGCCGTCAAAACAGTCTTCACCACACCAGGCAGTGTATTTACCAAATGTCAAGTCACACGGAATAGACAAGGCAGGCAACAATGTAGGGTAAGAGGGTATGTTAGACAGGCCGTCTCACCTGATCGGCGATCGGATACACGAAAAACAGTAGGGCGCTGGGTGAGAGTGAAGTTCATGCTTAAAGCCGCGGAACGACGTAGTTTTAAGGCATCGGATCGCCGGGCCTAAGACTATCCACTTTGATTTCGCTTTAAGTGTTGTCTGCATGCCGAGGGGAATTAATGCAGCTGAATTCATCGCATCTTCGAGCACGTATTGTAGCTGCGAAACTACACTAAGTCGGAGTAGACTGTCTAATTACCATCTGTTGTATCTCAGTTTTCATTAGCGCTTTCGTACTTTAAGGTGCCGTGCTATGACAAGTTGCTTGTAGTAGTGTTCGTTTGAGGGACAAGTGCCTAGGAGATAGTTTACAGACGCTGATTTGGTCTTCGGATCTGAACAACACATTCATCCAGTGTGTTTGTAAGAGTAATTGAAGTAGGCCAACCGGTAGACGGCGGTGGTTCTGCCGAGCTGGTTTTTTTCCTTTTCTAGTCCCCCCAACAAATATTGGCTTACTCCACTGTTTAATTCCTAAGAGTATTACTGCTGTTAATCTCATGTTCTCGCAAAGCAAAGGGGGCTAACTGGCACTCAACCACCAACACTTGCACACTTGCAGAGCACGCCCTAGTTGCTAAGGCCCGTCCAGAGTCCGCATTGCTGTTGCTGTCTAGATTTTTGGACATGCCCACAACAATACCATTCCGATGCATTAAGTTTGACGTTTTACTCGGAGAGACCATTCATCATCATCATCATCATCATACACGTTACCTAGAGGTGGGGAACACCTCAGCTACCGTGCCGCAATACCCAGAAAAAAGGAGAAAAAAAGAGTGCTACTGGTACAAGCCGGCTGAGTTGCCGGTAACGGATGGGCATCATTCCGGTAAGCTACCAGCCGGCTACTGTGCATCAAAAAAATACTATGCAAAATTATATAAAGCTAAATAATGAGATCGTGGTTGGAGGGGGAGGCTAAGAGGGATGGGGTGGGATAAAGAAACTCACATCACGAACGCCACTGAGCTCGGCTCCTAGCCATATCAGCAAGTGTGTCCAACCAAACGTGTTCATCGTCTTTCAGACCCCAACCAGGGAACCGAGACGCTCCAACCGAAGCCAGCTCAGAAGTGAGGGCCTTCATTCCTCTGGACCAAGTCATCGCTTGGCCACCCCTCCTCTTCTTCCATCCACACCCCCGGCGCACAAACAACGCACGTCGCGGGAGTCGGTGGGCTAGCATGCCTAACACGTGGCCGAGCCATCGGAGCCTGGTGCATGAAATAACGATGCTGAGCGGTTCATTTCCTTTTCCTGTGCCATAAACAAGGCGTCGAACACGCTCGTTGCTCACGCGGTGTTCCCACCAGATGTGAGGTAAATTACGAAGGCACCAGTGGTCGAACGTAACTAGCCTCTTTATGTCCACTAATCTAAGGGGCCAGGTTTCACAACCGTACGGTAGGGTCGAACGAACCGTTGCCTTGTACACTCTAACCTTCAGGGCGACAGTGAGGTCGCGCCGGCGCCATAAGTGGCGAACGTTAGCAAAAGTGCCTCGAGCTTTTGCTCTACGGTTAGTGATTTCATCTTCAATCCCACGAACGCTGATACAACTTCCCAGGTAGTTGAATTTTTGAACGACTTCTAGTTGATCCTCACCAAGGGTCAGCGAATGAGGCAGTCTAGGCCAATCTTGCAGGAACGCTTTGCACTTCGAGGGTGCAAAGTAAAGCCCGAAGTGACGGAGAGCTAGTGCTAATCTGTCCAGTGCCGCTTGGCACGTTTGTGAGCTGTCACAGATTAGGGCAATATCGTCAGCATATTCCAAGTCAAGAAGTCGATTTCCTGGGATCAAATCCACACCTTCTAAGCCGTGTCCTGTGAACGCGATTTCCATGACTTCGTCCACAGCGAAGTTGAATAGGAAAGGTGACAACGGGCATCCTTGTCTCACGCCGCTGGAGATATTAAAGGGTGACGACAACTTGCCATAAGCCCTCACTCTGCCCGAGCTACGCGCATATAATGCTCGGATAATATTCACATATTTCTCGGGCAGACCTTTCCTGAGTAGACAGTCCCAAAGTGCATGTCTCTCCACCGAATCGAATGCACCTTTGATATCGAGGAACAGGACAATGGTGGGCCGCCAATATATGTGACGATGCTCCAGCAACTGACGCAAGGTGAAGATGTGGTCAATGCAGCCACGACCTCGACGAAATCCAGCTTGTTCTTCACGAATATTGGCTTTCACGAGTGCCAGACAGTCTGTGAAGGATGACAGAAGCAAGCAATTTAGAGGCAATAGAAATCAGATTGATTCCCCTATGGCTGCCGCATTCCGATCGTGAGCCTCCCTTGAAAATTGGGACTATGACGGAGCGGCTGCAATCGGTTGCGACAGTTTCCTGCTCCCACAGTTTGACTAGTAACTCGTGTAAATCATCCACAAGCGCACGTCCCCCGAATTGAAGAGGGCTGGAGGAAGATCATCAGGTCCCGCGGTTTTATTTAACTTTAACAGTTCGATCTCACGTTCGACTTTTGAGCGAGAGGGTGGATCCAAAGGAACAGCCCAGGGAGCGGGGTGATCACTGGCCGGCGAGAAATCTAACCATTCCGACCGATTAAATTGCTTTTCAAAGTGCTCAGCCCAACGCTCTAAGCGTTTTGATAAGTTGTGGATAGGCTGTCCACTCTCGTCACATATAGTTTCACTAACACCAGGTCTCCTGCTGCCCGTTTCCCGTATCAGACGGAATAACTTACGATGGTTACCAAGGGCAGCAGCCATTTCCATCTCTGATGCACGATGAGACCACCAGGATTCGCGGTCTGTCTTCAGGCTAGCAAGGAATTTTGCCCAGGGCTCTTTGCGAGTTTCATTGTGTTCGCTTCCAGCCGGAATATGCCGGCGAGCATCGATAAGTTCCAGAGACTGTGAAGAGACCCAATGTCCACGTTGGTGATTAGACATACCAAATGAGGATTTGCCTGCTGCTAGTAAGGTCTGGTGAATATGAGACCAGTGACCTTCAATTGCATCCAGTGAGCGTTTATCCAATTCGCGTGACAGCGTACTTTGATAGGCATTCAGAACAGCTGGCTTCGTCAGTTGGCTGGTGTCAATGCGCTCACAACGTCGTCGTGGGCGTCCGCCAAAGCGCATCCGCAGGTCAGCACATACAGGTGCATGCTCGGTGTCCACACCTGTGCTCCAAATCGAGCGACAGTTTTGGACGCATCCTCTCCAGCGATAACTGATAGCAATGTGATCGATCTGCGTCCAAGGCTGGTTCGAGGCTGGTGGGCGCCAAGTCACCCTACGGCGGGTGCTGTGTCGGAAATTAGTGCTCGCAAGAAATAAACGAGCATTCTCACACAAATGAAGTAACCGCTCACCGTTATCATTACGGGAACCTATATCATGTTGGCCGCCCAGATGCAGCTCGTCAGTGGATAATTTTCCAACTTGACCGTTCAGATCCCCAGCCAGCACAACAGTGTCCGAGCTTCTTCTGTGGCGAAGCAGTTCGTTCAATTGGCGATAGAAGTCGTCTTTTACCGAGTCATCGCTACAGTTTGTCGGTGCATAGGCAGCGATAACGAATAGACTCCTGTTAGTCCCACGCAACTTCGAAGTTTTGAATGAGCCAGCTAATCGGACCGCACACATCCGGCTACTGATTGGAATCCAATCGACCAGAGTAGCTTCAGCCCGGGGACTCAGGGCAATACCAACACCGGCTTGGCCGGTGCTCGAAGCTGCATCGTCACCGGATAGGCGCAATGAGAAAGTGCTGCTAGTGTCACCTGAAGGGGATCGCAGAGTGAGTACAGAGCTCGAGTCATGCAGGCGGGTCTCCGATAATCAGCAGATATCGATCGAGAGGGTCTCCAATCTTCGGGCAAGTGCTTCCTGTTGACCGATCTGAAGCAATGTGCGTGTGTGTGTGAGGCATGCCAATCTGAAGGAGGATCGGGGGCTCCAAATGGAAGCCGATGATTTGGAATGGGCCGCTTGGTTGGACATGGGCCTGTTGACAGGGCAGGAATGACGCTCCGCGTTCGCATGTGAGTTGTAACTAAAAGACAAACGACTATTGAAGCAAGGTGGGGGAGGGCCGAGAATTGGGGGGTTGAAAACAGGGGGGATAAAAGTGAAGCTGGAACGGGACGATAAGGGTGAAAAAGCGCAAGAGGGGGAATAAGAAGACGGGAAGGCTTGAGCAGTAGCATCCAAACACCTATCTACCCTGCCTGATGCAGCAGATAGGGCACCATTGATTATCCTCTGCGGTGGACAGAGCATCAGAAATTTGTTTGGGGAAGGATTCATTGTATTGCGTGGGCAGAATACTGTCAGGTTGCCCAGGCCTAGACAGGAGAACGATTAGGATTCTCAACCAAAGCCTTTGGTTTAAAAACCTGACCACAAGGCAGCGGGTTTGGCACTGGGCTACAAGGAGTCCGTTTTAAGGAATAAGGAGCCACCCACATTCCAACCCCCAACCTGGATGACCAGGAGGCTGGTTTTGTCTGGCCTCTAACCATTGACCAATCTGGTATGAGTGACTCTGAAGGTGCAAAAATGCACCACCCAGTATAGCTCATTGGATCACTGAGGCACACAAACCATCGCACCACGGTAAGGTCCAGCCTCATTGCGATGGGGAGAGACCATTTAGGTCAGTAGATTCTTCAGATCGCGCAAATTCTCGCGGACACATTACACGGGGCGGCAAGCAAATCCGCTTATAGCCATCACAACATCCGTGTCCTTACATTTCAGAATGCGGTGTGCTGACAGGTTTTACCTCCAACCTTATCTCGAACTTGTGATGAGCAGTGCTTCTGGAACGTTCGTTTTTGAATCCCTTCTGCCTTAGCTCAAGGCATTGTAAACCTTTGAAACAGGACCTCGGAAGCAAAAATCCACATCTCAACACTGACTTCGGGTTTAAGTCGCGTATATCGTTATCATTTATAAACATTAGTTTTCGCATCTACAGTCCGTAGCCCGAATTAGGCTTATTGTAACCATGCCTCATGAACTGATCAATCCGTGTGCGATGCAACCGTACCAGATCTCTGGTCAACATAGCGCCGGGTTTGATGCTAAAGACCCACTCCCAATACTCCTACTATGTTGAACACAACTTACCACCAAACTGTATTCGGTATGCGGTATCTGGAATAAAAGCCATTTCCATTGTGGTATAAATGATAAACAGCTTTTGTCTGTTCGTCACAGCTGCACTCATATGTACGGATTCCGAGCAACTCATGTTTTTTTCTGCTATGTACAGAATAATGCGGGGTAGCGTCACAACCAATAGGTCTATAATCTGTCTAAACGTATCAGTGCATGCATGCAAATTCTCTTCGGATCGCGCGCATATCAGTCAGAGTAAGCTCTGTTGCTTGTTATTCAGTAACCCGAGTCTAAATGTGATCCTCTGGCCAATGCTAACCGCGATGTATTTAAGTTGACCAACTTGAGTAAAATTGAATTTCCCTAAAGTACATATTTAACAACTCCATCATCTATCTCGTGTAGATGCAGCTGCTTCTCATACACTAGAATTCATGGATTCTGTGCTGGACTTAAGTATGACGGCTGAGTTGCACGACACGCCGGAGGCTGCCAATAAACCAGCGCTTTCCACTGGGGCCGTGGACACTTGTGGTCCGGAGGGAAGCATTACAACCGAAACCTCCACTGCTCCAGATCCATTGACGCAGCTTTTAATGGCACTGAGTCGTTCAGCCATGGAACAAGCTCCAAATGACCCTCTTTACCTGGCTTATGCACGGATTATGGGTAAGGTGAGTACGCTCTGTTGCTTTTATTTTCAGTGGTTTCCACACCAATAAATCCGCATTGTACGCTTAGCTTGTTCAACTGTTATAACATGTTAGTTACACCGTCATTACTTCAGGGCATGTAATTCAGTGTGATTTGGATGTAATTCCTCGCAACCACCTCCCCAGTCAGGCAGGTTCACACAGTCCGGAAAAGCACCAGTCGGTCATTTCGACCTTCTGGGTCTCGACAATGGTGCGCGTCCCTCGGGCCCATGTCGGATTCTGACCCCATAACTTCCAGATACCAGTAGATTGTGTCACTAAGCCATGGGTGACGGCGGCGGATCTGCAGGAATGACAGTTGACCGCAACATAGCGTGCCTCATCCACTGCAGTGCTTGCGATGAACTGCATCAAAGTACACCCAAACTCCCTACTACTCATTAGAAATTCAGTGCGTCGGTGCACATTTAAAGCCGCCGCACAGGGCACGGGTGTTTTGACTCTCATTCGGCATCCACAACAGACTCAACCATACGCAAGCAGTACTCCGTAGTATTCGATGGGTAGGTATAGATCGTAAGTAGTTGGCCACTATGCTACGTTCAGAGGACAGTCGGGTTGCGGGCTAATTACAACTAGGTGGTCATCAAAAAAGCCCTTACCCTTTTAGTAGCTTGCGGGGTGGTTCAAGCTTGGTACCTTTATTCTTTCGGTCCACTTTTAGGAGTACCAATATTGTAGACAGGCACATCGATCGCATGTCAGCTCGCTCACTGCCCAATAGCATACCATTCTTTAAACAACCCTTCTAGTGAGCGCGGCGCTAAGCAGTGACTATGGAGCTGGAATGCATAAATTCTCTCACGCGTAAATCCGCTTTCTCTAACGGCATTCTCAGCAGTGTGAACGGATTAGCTACATCCCAGTATCGCATAAAGGTGAAAACTAAGTGCGCCCAATGCCTTGTTCACCTCTCGCGTTTGTAGCTTTTTTATGCTGATAGTAATGTGCGTGCCATACATGAACTTGTCCAAAAACGGTGAACATTTGAGTGCGGTGGCATTCTGCGGTCACCTTCAAAGCAGGTTCCCATGTTTGCATTAACACCTCACCTCGGATTCCACTTTAACACACGATCCACATCTTCGTACTTACTAAACCAGTACTGCGTTTTTCATGCTTCAGTAACTCGTCGTAACTGTTACAAGTGGTGCTACATTTCTCGACAGAATGGGACACAGTTTCCCTATGGAGCTCGAACATCGGGTACAAGAACACTGCAGTTATGGCGTGCGTGATGCGTTGCAAATAGTAAATTTGAATGCACTGACCAACAGAATACACATTACCAAAATTACGAACGGTGTGGTGTCTCTCATAGTAAACTATAAACATTAAAACAATGAATCCCCCATACTACTCATAACAGTGCGTTGCCACCTCACACAGTTGGTTGTCAGCACCACACGTAGCTAGCTTTAAACCCGCATGATGACAAGCCTCTGGTTACATACCTCGTTTTTTTCCCTGTCTGCTCACGCTACTAACAGTTGCAACTCCCGTTCTAAGGATATCCCTGGTGTTTGTAGAGTTTACATCCCACAGCCAATTCAGTTCCCGTTTAGACTCTTCGGATACTGTTATTTGATCCTCTAGGTCTGACGGCCGTCGGTTGACGCCCAGACCGCTAAACCACCAGACTTCGCCAAAATCGGCCACGGGCCCACTCAACGGGCTTTGGATTGCATCACGCACTTTAACTTGCAGAAGCCAATCTAAGTAGGTGTGTTGCTGACGTAATAACGCACCGTACCAAAACAAGTTTCCTTTACTTAAATAGTCCAAACACGGATAACATTGGTCATGAAGTGTAATCAGTGGAGCAAGTGGTACAAATACTCACATGCCTAGCTAGTTCTCTGGAGTGGGACAACGTAGCGATATTCTTTACGGGTAACAATCAACTGTTTGACAAATCACATGGGATGGTCTGGGCAGGGATCACAAGATGAGACCGATTGCACATTGGCGGGTTCACTACACATTTTGCATTAGCGCCAGTGTAAATACGCATGAATTTTATTGGGATCTGATGCGTACGCCGTCTGTTTATCGTTTATATCGACACTCGGTGGGCACAGAAAATCTCACAGTAACCTGTATCGCCAAGCCCTCTTTTTAATAGCCTTGAGGTTGGATAAAAATAATGTAAGTTGGATGAGGAGAGGGGGGAAATTTGGTTAGCATCCAATCCAACTGCAGTGCGGTCAACTTAAACCATTGACGCTTTAGGTGTATGTTTTGGCTGCGTTTCAAGTGATGGTGGTGAGCATGATTCTGGGTTTTTTTTGAAGATTTGATGAGTCATTGTGTAATCGCCTCACAGATGCTGATAATATCCGCTGTACATTCTTATGGCTTTCATCTTAAGCCTAGTATCCTTGTTGGATACATGAGGTCTCGATAGCGGTGAGTTCGTGATTTTACCATGGCATACAAGTTGCATGGCGTATTCCATATGCAGTCTCATGTACGGGTCAGGCAGCTGCGAAAATTTACGATAGTTTAACTGCCTGAAAGCCCTACGCAAGAAGTCGAAGTGCCTAATAACTTTCGCGATGCTTTTTAACCCGCTTCGATTAACTAAACTCTTCTTGCGCGAGCACTACGAGATCGGTCTCATGAGAAGCGTATTGTAGAGGTTGTTGCTGTAACTTGTGTTCTTTCTCGCAATCTTTGGATTAAAGAAAGGCATTCCAGTCTGCACAGCCAGTCGTCTCTAATGCTGGGCAACGGTTCTACTTGGATACGATTTCGTCGTCAAATATCAATCTACACACAACATTTGTCAAGCGGATGCGCTATCTCGTGTAATTGGTACACAGCATCGAGAACCAGAGGATTTGGCAGTTGCTCAAATCTCCGTAGAACCCCAAGTACATCAAGTTGTGTCTGACATTTTCGGTGCCTTACCAGTAACGTTCGAAATGGTGCAGGAAGCGACCCATCATGATTCTGCTCTACAACAAGTAATCGATTTCCACCTCAATGGCTGGCCTAAGAGAGTTACAACGCCGGAGCTTCAACAATTCCACCAATGAAAGGAAGCACTATCAGTCGTCAGCAATTGTCTGCTCTTCTTCAATCGCGTCGTCATTCCTCTCATCCTTCAAGAGAGAGTCCTCCTACAATTTCATACTGGCCACCCAGGAATGAATTGTATGAAATCGCTGGTACGAAGCTATGCGTATCGGCCCTATATGGATTCCCAGATCGAGAATTTAACGAAGAATTGTCCCCGATGTGCCAGTGTATCTAAACAGCCAAGGAAGACGGAATTGCAATTCTGGCCAATACCAACGGAACCATGGTCAAGAGTTCACGTCGACTTTGCAGGTCCAATTGACGGTCATCATTTTCTCATCCTTGTCGATGCCCACAGTAAATGGCCGGAGGTAATTCCAGTGGTGAGAACCACCGCAGCAGCCACTGTCTCTGCTCTCCGACAGGTATTTTCTCGTTTCGGTGTTCCCCACACGCTAGTTTCGGACAATGGTACCCAGTTCACCTCCTCTGAATTTGTTGTCTTCTGTCACAGAAATGCGATCGTCCATGTAAGGTCTCCACCTTTCCACCCACAATCGAACGGACAAGCGGAACACTTTGTGGATACACTCAAAAGAGCCTTGCTAAAATGGAAGGGTAAGGTACATTGGAGGAGATTCTTGACACATTTCTTCTGACGTATCGCACAACTCCAAATCCGCAGACACCGAACTCACTATCTCCGGCTGAAACTTTGTTTCAAAGGAAAATCCATGTGCCGCATGATGCCCTCAGACCCAGGAAGGATCAGTTACTGTCCCGCAATGATCAGATGCAGCGACAATTCAGACATCCGACTAGGTGCTCGGAAGCGAGCCTTTAGTGTTGGCCAACAAGTTCTGGCGAGAGATTATCGCATCCACTATCTTAAATAGGCTATGGGCCGTGTACTTACTATGCAAACGTGGTATCGTGCTCTACGGTATCCAGGTTGCGACGGCAATTTGGGTAAGACATGCCAATCAGCTGCTGGAAGCCGGGACTGGCGAACAACTGCAACAACAAGTACCCGCAGCGCAGTTACCTCCGGGCATACTGGTCGACGCGGGTGAAGAGAAGACTCCCCAACATGCCCCAACACAGCAACCACAACATTCGCCCCGAAACCTAGCAGCACAGAGGCCGAAGCGGCGACGCCAATTCGTGTCACCCATGTAAGTCAACCCTAAGCTGAAATCGTACAACACAACTCATAGGGGGGAAGCGTTAGGAAGGAATACGCGATGCAAACAAGCCAGGACCCCATCGCCGCGGCAGGCGATCCAAACCCACTCGCCCTGATTGGGGCGAACAGAGAGCCAACCGGGAGAAGCGGCCAATTAACGCGCGGGCGGCGTTCCTTTATTGGCTGTAAGTTGACCTTTCCAGAACTTTCCACGTTCGCTTTAAATACCATTCACGAACTTTCCATTTCACCTTCATAATGAACGGCGTGATTCGCTAATACATCCCCGTTGCTCTGCTCGTCCGATCCGGTCTTCTCTCTGTCCTGTGGGGTGCCAGCGACTTCGGATTTTGATTGGGAATCAAGCGTCCATTCAGGGGAGGGCCGAACACTTCAGACAGTGACCTCATTTCCCGCTGCCAAGTCAACTTTTGTCCACCTCGAGCCTTGCGCCACCTTACATCTGGCAAACAAAACAAAGCCCTCCTCGGTAAGCGGTGACCAGGCATACGTAGTACGTGCCCAGGCCAACGCAACTTATCCAGTGCTACCTGCTTTCACTCCACTGCAGGCAGAGTGTTAAATGTAGTGCGAGTTGGAGCCTATCGATTATCCTTCACTAGCTGAAGGAACAGCTAGTTTGTTTATCCGGCTAATAGGAACATCTTAACGGTATAATAATTCCTATGAACAGCGGGAATCGAATGATTTGCTGTCCTCCTGGTGGCAAAAGCACTTTTAAATGGAAGCCCAACGAAGACTTCTCTTTTCCGCCAATCTCATCCGTGTGTGTTACGCGATGACCTTCCGTTTTAAACAGTGTATTGACCAAAGGCTCCAACTGTTCTTTCATGTCGCCAGGCTGAGGCGTAGCAAGCGGGGGCGAGGGGCGGTCCGACCCGGGCGGCGTGTGACAGGGGACGGCATTTTTAGTACCGTTGGCTGTTCGACACCAAATATAAAAAACAAAATTTTCAACTAAACCGAGCGTTGGATATTTTAATGTTTCTGTATGACAAACATTACCTTTGCGCCATGTTTCACATCTGTACAAACGTTCTTCCCAGAGATCCCTTTACTTGTCCCATTATGGTCCCTTTCACCACATTTACCTCAGTGTCCCCAACGATCATGCATTTCATGGTAAACTAAACTGAAACGCTGTTCGCAATTTAGAGGGTTTACGGATTTAAAATTGCCAGGGGTGGGGGCGAAAATTTTACTGCCGCCCGGGGCGGCGAAAGTAGTTGCTACGCCACTGTCGCCAGGACCGTATAGTTTCTTGGCGCGGTTAAATGCTGTTTGGCTCAAGTTCACTTGTACCGCATTGGAGTATATCTGGTTAAGTTTAAGTACTGCAGACATTAACTCACTTTACCATAAACAGACCTCTCAATAAGGCCAGTTTCTTTGTGACTAATCAGTACCTCCAAATATCGGAGACAGTTGTTGTTGTGTCTGAAGCGATCGACAAGCTGTGTAGTACGTTTTTCCGATGAGCAACAGTAAACTCTTGTGAGGTTTATGTGCGCTCAACTTCGTCTTAACACCGATGTGATACTCCATACCACAAAACCAGCCCATTTTTATCGGTCTAAGCCCCGCTTTCCTGTCATTGCAAGCATAATAATCCCTGCGATATTTGTTATTTTACAGAGCTGCAGTGGCGAAGATGATGAAGACGAAGAAGAGGAAGAGGAAGAAGATGGTGCCACTTTCCAGGTGAGTTCCTCCTCAGTGTCTCAATCATGTGTCCATTGCGACGAAATAGGTAGCAGATGTGCGCGACGAGATGAACGCGTAGTGGAAAACCACTGCAACACCAAATGCGTGCTGGCAAATTATCTCTGGCTGGTAGCACTCCGTTATTTCCAAATACAAGAGGTCTAGCTTGGATTCTACAAGCTTCTAGTATGTTACTTGCACTGTGATAATGTATCTAGGCTTTATTCTCACTGATAAGGACTATATTTCATCTATCAATTCATCATCATCCACAGCAGTATATCAGCCATTTGAACTGATGCTTCGTTGCCATACAACCATGATGACCTATGAAATAAGGAATAATAAGAGGGAAAGAAAGGGGACTTACCTGAAAACCTTAATGCCCTAAGCAAACATTCAGGGTCAAGGCGCCTACACCTTGTGTAGACAACATACCGTCACAAACAGCTGGCTATCGTGCAAAGATAAGACGGCATCGGCGAGGCAGCTTCCTTGCGGCTTTCACTGCCACGCGTCATTATCAGCCATTACCCCGCAGATAACTCAGCATCAAACACACTTTAAACTGGCAATCCGATTAGGAGACGGCAGCAGACGCGCCACTGGTGTCGGTTGCGAGCCATGTCCTGTAAAGTCTCGAGCCAAGCACAAGGTGAGTCACGTGGACTCCAACCCGGAAGGCGAGACGGACCAACGGCACCCAGTTTGGTCGTCAGTGACTTCATTTCTCGCTGCCAAGTCAACTTCTGTCCACCTTGAGCCTTGCGCCAGTCTACACCTGGTAGACTAAACAAGGCCCTCCTAGGTAAGCGGTGACCAGGCATACGTAGCACGTGCCTGAGCCAACGCAACTTATTCAGTGCTATCTGTTGTTCTAGGGAGATAGCATGATTATCATTACCTAGTACTTGCCTACGCACATCATCGTTGCGGTCACGCTGGTGCCATCCGACACCAGCAATGCTTCGCAGACAACGATGATCAAAGACTTGAAGGCGCCTCAGATCTTCAGACCGAAGGGGCCAAGTCTCACTCCCATATAGCAGAACGGCCCTCACTGTGGCCTTGCATACACGGCGTTTCAGACGGAGGGAAATTCCTTTCTGCCGCCAAAGATGCCACAGATTCAAGAAAGCAGCTCTGGCCTTTTCAATGCATGAACTGACGTCAGTTTCTATGCGCCCATCGTTGCTGATGCAGCTGCCAAGATAAGTGAAATGATCAATCACTTGAGTTCCTCGTTAGCAGTGATCAAGGGGTCATAAAGTGGCTGGTTGTCCTGCAGCCACACTTTGCACTTTGAAGGTGTGAAGTGCATACCAAATATTGGGACCACTACAGACAGGCTATTCAGGGTTGATTGTGCCGCCGCAATGTCGTCGAAAAGCAAGACGATATCGTCCGCATAATCAAGGTCAACTAATCTTTCACCAGGCAGCACTTCAACGCCTACATCGTGAGATTCCGCAAGGTAATACTCCATGATAGAATCCATGACGAAATTGAACAAAAATTGGGAAATCGGACAACCCTGACGAACGTCACTTGTGGTCGGAAAGCTATTCGATAGGCCCCGTAGACCTTGACGCGGCCTGTAGTGTTCGAGTATAGAGCACGAAGGATGTTTACATATTTCGTGGGAACACCTTTCCGCGCAAGTATTTCGAACAGAATACATCGATCGACTGAATGGAACGCACTCTTGAAATCGAGGAACATAGCTACAAACTGAGAAACACACCTCCGTCGCCTAGCAACGAGACTTGGCGTACATGTGATGTGACGGTTTGCGTACCTCCTTGACCCATTGAGCTATACTGGGTGATGTCTACGGACACCTTGAGAGCTACTCCTACCAGGTTGGTCGATGGTGAGAGGTCAGACAAGCTCAGTCTCCTGGTCCTCCAGGTTGGGTTATTTTTTTAATCTGATGGCGTCCATTTCTGTAAAACTAAGTCATTGCCACTACCCCGCTGCCTTGCGGACAGGCTTTTGAGCCAAAGTCTTTGGATGAGGACCCTAATCGTCCTCCTGTCTAGGTCTGGGCGCCCTGGCAGTATCTCAGCCCGCATACAACCATGACCATTTCTTCAAACATGTATCAACTAGCGCCTCTGAAACGCGGGGTTAGGTATGCACTCGTCTGGAAATACCCGAACCAATTCCGATTAAAACTCCTCAGAAGAGCCAGTTTTTCATTATGCTTACTGATGTTTAGGCCAGATTACTATAACAGGATCATCCAATCAGTGCGCGGTCATCGCATTCGATACGTACCGGACAGACAAGACCCAGACGGTGCACCAACCCTGCACTTACACTCTGTTTGTCACCGAAACCTGTCCAATTATCGCCTAAACGCCTATTTGCTGTCCTGAAACCGTTTAATCGAGCCGACCCTAGGACCAGACACTGACATGGCAGTAGTTCGAATGAAACTTCGCTCACTTTGCATTTAAGTTCTTGAACTTGGACTACTTACAAGCCACTGAGTGGCACTTTATATATCACTACATTGCAAGCCCAGTAAAATGTTTTACATATTTCCATTGCTGCAGGACCAAGAAGAGCAAAAGCTGCAACTACTGAGTGAACAAAATCGACTAGCAGACCGTGGTGCAGCTGAGATGGTGTTGCTGCAGCTGGCGGCAGCTCGAGGTGAGTGTGGGCTTGAGGATCAACTTATACCTTCTAAATCCATTGGGTGCAACTTTACCAAGATGCTTTTGTTCAAGAGAGTACAACAGAGCATTATTCTTATCGCGCTTATGCGCTTCTTCCGCAGGTTACCGCGTGATCGCAGCGGCTATCTTTCCACATGCATTGCCGCTCATAAGACACTACAGCATTGGTCCGTTTGCTTCAACAAGGTGACCGATGCTGAAAGGCATACATGGGTGCCGAAATTTGTCTGAATGGACGGACTTGCTTTGACGTGCACTATTTCCTAAATGAAGTAGTGATCGAAATCACTGCCTATCAGTTTTGATCGGTTTCATCCCGGGGATAGATAGCCTCGTCTGTCATCACCGCGCCGCGATCAACATGTGTCTGAAAGAAGTATAGACTTGCTTCGATTCTTGTTCAATAAAGCGCCTACCTCTTCGAGTTAAAGACGCCCAATTCCAAATACCTTCTCTTTGATACCGGCTGCGTGTATCTTACACAAAGGTCGTCTCCGACACTTTCCACTACCTACATGGTTTAGAGTAGCCGACTGCAATCAAGCAGTTCAAATTTGTCACTTCCCCTACTTTTTCCTTCTCCTCAAATCAGGTGAAGCCACTCCAGTTGCTCAGTCAAGTATTGAACTGGGAATCGCTATTCTTCTGGGAGGCAACATTTCCGTGCAGAGCCGAATGCTGGAATACTTAAATCGCAAAAAGTTATCCGGATTCTTCACCACCTTAGCCGGTCTGATGCAAAACTGTTCTGTACTAGATTTAGATACTTTCGAACGGTGAGTTCCCAGATCACTCGAGTTAAACATTTCTCTGCAATGTGAATTGACTGATCTTGTATTACAAAGGACGGACCTTCTGGGGCTAGCGGCGTTCCTTTTCTCCTAGTCCAGTCACCATGACCGAAGCTTAACAGGGTCTTCATAACTGGGGCTTAGGTCCGTAACTAAATTGAACCCACTTACTTTGGCGTTCAAGTTCAAAGTAGCAAAAATACCAAACAAGTGAATGGAGACCGGATTCATTTAAATGTGTCCACGGCGCGCATTATCGGCAACCTGTAATTATGTCGCAAGCTCCCCAGAACATCATCGGCCACCCGTGGTGTCTATGCAGTAGTTTGATCGAGTACAGAAGCTGCGTTACTTACTTTTTAACACATACCATGAAGTGTGATTTAGTAGGCGCGCGGCAACCCATTTGCTAGTGTAGCTAGGGCAGCCCTTGGTGTGCCTACTGTGGTGTCATTTTCAGAGAGTGCGCACGTCCGTTTCTTCTACCTGATGGCTAGTACTTGATGCATCTAGCACCTTTCCCATGCTACAGTTTTGGATCTCTTCCTTTCTTTTTATAACCCATTACTTCCATAATAGCTTGCTTAGGGACGCTTGGCCTGGTCAATTTTCAGATGGTCGCCAAATTACGGGCAATTTTACTGCATAACTACAACCATACAAATCCCTATGCAATCATTTTCAAACTTTTCATTCTCGCCGTATGGTGGGGGAGAAATCCCATCGGTTTCTTGTCACTTGATCATTCCCTACAGGCATGTAAGTTGTTGACGAATCAGAAGATCTCCCACTTAACGGATTTTGTTGACCTAAGAAAATATAGCATGAAGTAAGGATGAGCTGGGGTACGTGGTCAAGCCACGTGGCTTACTCCCAGATGCCACATGTCAGATGACAATCCGACGGGATGAGTCTATCAGCCACGTAAATAACGGTTCGTTGAGGCAAACCTTTGATGCTGTTCTCTCTCGCTCTCTTTCTCTCCACACTGCGCCTCTCCACTGGTTTTACCATCCTTTAAGATTTCCATATTGAAACAGCTGAACCGAGAGGTTAGACCCCAAACTTCGTGATTGACTTCTGTTCACTTCACCAATGCGCTTCATGCTCCATGGGTAGCGGTTCGGAATGTATTTTGGGGATTGGCCTTTCTGCTGTCGGTTTCAGTTAAGACAGGCACTCTCATCGTCTGCTTTGGATATACCCTCATTAATTAAAATGGTCCAGATTCATTTCAGAGTAAATCACTGGCCGAATTGCGGCTGTGTATCATAGTCCACTTAGTTGGATTGTGTTTCCCACTGCCGATAAATATATTATTTGTTTGTCTGTTTATTTATTTATTTATATTTCCAGGACTTAGTACTCACAAGCGAAGATCCTGTTTACTTGAAATGCCCTCAACGGTAGCGGCCTGAATGCACGCGCAAACATTCACGGGAACAATGTTTGTCTAAGTTAATCTACTACATTCTATTTCCGTCCATCAGATCAAAGGAGTAGTCACATCAAGTTAACGCGACCATTACCACGCGGCATTCGCTACTTTTTACTAGTAGCCGATGTGATCGTTTCGATCACCCTTCCGACGTAACAAGCACCTACCTTTCAATATTTTTACCAAACAGCGAGGAAGCCTTCGCGAAGCTATGCTACGCTCGGTTGCCATCGTCACGTTGCGCTTACTGAGCTAGGGATACATGGTCGCCATACCTTTCTTACGAGTCGCGCACATCTGGAAGGATTGTGGCATGGACCTTCTCGTGACTTTACATGCTAATGACGCGTCACCAGCATAGTATAAATAACAATCGTGCGGTAGAACGCAATCAGAATACAAGGAAAAGTGAACTAAGAAATAAGTGAGTAAAGTTAATCAGAAGGAAACATTTACAGCAAAACACATGAAACCTAATACAGCAGCATCGCGAACTTCACAACTGCGCCATGTCCGATAGGGTCACTAGCCACTGATATGGATCACCCAGATAGCCTCCATCCACACTAGCGTAGCCGTCCAATTTCTTCATGCCCTTGTACCACGTCATCAATCGGTCATCTCGTGGTTTCGTCCTACTAGGCGCAGCGACAACATGTTATGCACACCGAGGAAGGCTGACGATAGGCCTATCCAGGATATGACCAGGCATGTAGTTTGGTGGACTTTGCAGTGCAACACCAGAGGGTTTCTTGCCAAACACCAACGGGAGGACTTCAGCATTACTCACCCGGTGTTCCCACCAGATGTGAACAATACTCCCCTAGCACCAGTGATCAAGCACGACCACGCATTGAATGTCTTCGCCACGAACTATTCAGGTCTCTGATCCATACAGTAGGACCGGTCTCATCGCAGTGTTATACACCCTAGCTTTTGCTGACTGGCTGCTATCCCGCCATCTCCATAGATGGTTGAGGCTTTGGAAAGCCACACGGGGCCTTGTTGATACGCGAAGTAACTACCTTAATGATATGAATACCAGAGGTAACACAGTGAACCGATACACTACTTCCTGTGGCTGTAAGGTTATAGCTGGAACCGAAAGTGTATCGATCTATTCCTGCAACAATGTTTCGCACTTTGGTGCAAAGCATACACTGAAAGGTGCAGGGCTGTTCCTCGGCCAATTCAGTGGTGCTTTCACAGCCACTGGGTTCAGTGCAAGCAGAGTTATATGATCCACGTTCTCAAGGTTTGTCAGTCGGTCATGTGGCAGAGCTTCTACTCTGGAAGAAACCAGGGAGGCGCAGTCATTTATCATCATTTCGACTACAAATTTGAGGATGAAAGAAGGTATAGGACAATCCTGGTCAGCCACAGTTATGGTGGGAAACTCAGGAGACAGCTTCCCGCAAACTCTCATCGGCCTCAGGAGTCACGGCAGAGATTTCAGAAGGAAAGGAATTTTCCCCTGACACCCTCCACGGATGGGCCGTACCACAATTTGACACGATCAACAGAGTCGAAGGCGGTATTTAGGTCAGGGAAATCACTATAGTCGGTCGTCTGTACGCGTACCTCTCCTCCAACACCTAAGGAAGGGTAAGTATGTGGTTAATGCAACCACGGCGAAGACGAAAGGGTCAGTAAGTCGTCGCACAATGATATCTGGAACAGGTTTGTAGGCAACAAAAATAGCGCTTATTCTTCGGTAACTTCTACCCAAAGTCCCCTGATCATTTTTGGAGGTTCAGACCAGTTAACAGTCGCCAGTCTGATGGTACCTCCTTAATGTCCCCAACAGTTTTGAACAGAATCGCAAGTTAAATCAACGAAGTGTCGCCTCCATCTTTCTTCAAAGATGGAAGTCCAGAACTTCTCTTGCCGAATCATGTGGGGCGAGGAACATCAGTTTCCCACGTCGATTCAGGTGATGCAGCAAGCAGCAATGTAGCAGTCGGTATGCTGAGCCGCTCTTCAAAATGTTCCGCCCAACAGGCTAGCTACTTATCTTTCCAATCTACTGTCTCAGTAGCTGCAGAATTTTTGGGCCCATGTTTCGGGTGGGCTGTGACCTACCGTAGTATTTTCCAGCTTCTGACTATCAGGTCGATATTACACGATTTGATTTGGATGGCGTCGTGGCACGCCGGGGTCCAGAGTGGGAGAAACAACCGGTTATGACTAAAGCAAGTGCAAGTTCTGTGTCTTCCTACCAGAGGCTCACAAGAGAGCTCAAAGTTCCTCCTCCTGCCACTGGTGCGCATGTTTTGCATCCTACAACTGATGTATGCGAGCTCGACGCGACAGATCCGCCTTCGCTTCGCCCTATGATTACACGCGGCGCTATCTAAGTTTGACACCAATTGTCTCAACATTCTGAATCCCCATCTCAAAGCAGTCAGGTGTTTGTACGAAAATGTTTGTGAACTTGTCTCCATGCTATGTTGTCGTCGACACTTGTCCGTTTTTTACTCTCATGCATTCTTATACTCCCGTTTCCCAGATGCAACAAAGCTGAAGGATTGGCCGTCGGGATATCAGACATAAAAGGCATCACTAATTTATATGATGCAGACTTCACTTGCAAGATATTTCGTTTTTTGCAACTGCTTTGTGAAGGTCACAATTTGGGTGAGTTAGTGACGTAGGCTGTAAGACTGCTGTTTTCCTTTCAATTTCCCCTTTTGCACTCTTACCACTGATCCGCCTAACTTCACTAGCTATGGCAGTGAACAAGACTTCGACAGTTTGAGTCCGGACATAAAGCCCGGCACGGAGGTGTTTCGGTGCTGCTCCTCCCAACTCGGACACGATGTCTACTTCAAATTGAACTGAGGTCTCAACAGAGATTGCGTGTCGCAATCCAACCACACGGTGGGTCCTCCAAATCCAACTTTGAAAGCCCGGTATGGTTAGCACTGGGATGCATCTCGTCAAACGCTGACCTTCCTCTAAATCACCAACGACCCAGAATTAGATTTAATGCCGCTATCTGTCGACTGCGGATAGCGACCACTGGTCGGTTATTTTTGGCTGCGTTGACAAAATCACTTTGTGTTCTTCATTTTTCTTCATTCATTGGAAGTATTTCGTGGAAATTTAGATACCACTCAGTTTCATTTCTGATCCTGAATTTGTCGACCATAAATACTTATGTTTTCACCGCTTGGTTTCGATCTTGCTATTGCCATTTTCTCCAGCAACTGATCGCCATCTTGTTGTCGGATTATTCACAATGCCGGATATTATGCAAATGCCCTCACGTGTGTTTTGTGCCAAGTTAAATACCACATTTCATGTGTTGGATTATCAGTTGAGCATTTTCATCGTCTTCGTGAAATCCAACACGATTTCGTTCAAACTTTATGTGAAAATTGCCGAAACAAGATACAGCCAGGAAGAGTAAAGCCGACATGTAGGCTTCATCATTCCGTTGCGAACAGCTCCGTGTGTTTGTGCCAACAACCTAGCCCGAAGAGCCTTCAAGTTTCAGCTCAGTCTTCCTCTTCTATCCGTGCAAACTCACCGATACGAAGTCCAACCGTTGTGAGAAGTCCAGTTTCACTTGGCATAAATTGTCTACCTTTGTTGTGTCCAACGAGCACTGATGTCCCAGCAGGTGAAAGCCTGAGTGCTGAAGACCAGTGGAACAAATAAAGAACGAAATTACGAAACGATGTTGGGCGTTTAACTTCTGTAAGTCAACAGTTAGCCAAAACACGTGAGGCTGGTACTATACCTCGCCCTGCAAGGTCAACCTCGTCCGACCAGAGGCGTTATAACCTCGTGATCTTCCACGCGCCGGAGTCCAGTGATTCATCACCCGAAGTGCGCTACGATCACGATGTCGAGTTTTTACATAGTCTAATTGACAGACTTCTTGATGCTGGTGAGGACTCGGTAAAAGTGAGGCAAATTACCCGTCTTGGAAAGCTAAGTGATCAACAAAATAGGCCTATGAGAATCGCTTTTGTAGACGAAGCCAGTCCAAGACTGATCTTGTCCCGCTTAAGTAGGCTGAAAGGTTTGAAAATCCATCTTCGTCCATAACTTAACCCAGTAGACCGGGAACGGCTCAAGTCTGCCATCATTGAGCTAAAAAGACGTACTGGTGAGAGGGAAACAAATCACCGTATCGTAAATTTTCGGGTGGTTTCCAAGAATCTGCAAATCAGGATAAACAGGTTGCTCACACTTCAAGCACGCCCGGCGGCTCCTGCTGCGGCCTGCGAGTAGCTTTCACAAACGTTTGTAGTGTTATTAACAAGCGCGATGACCTTTGTGGTTTCGCTGCGTCTGAGCGTCCAGACGTAGGGGGACTCGCAGAGGCATGGCTGCATTCAGAGTTATACACCCATGAACTTGAACTCAGCGGTCACGTGTGCTTCCGATGCAATAGACTAACGAATGCCCGCGGTGATGTCTTGCTCCACATCCGGTCTTCCCTGTGTGGGAGAGTTGTGAGCACCTACCGAAGTGACGATGGTTTGTGTGAGTTACTGTGGTGCTCCATCCATCTCAGGCGCGGAGAACTGCTTGTGGGCGCAGTCGTTCGTAGCCCCCCCCCCGAGTCGTGATTTGGATTGGCTGCCCCATCTTCGAACCCGGATGAGTCGTCCACACTTTCTACTTATGGGCGATTTTAACTGTCCTTGAATACGATGGCCTGATGTGCATTTGATGCCTGGACATAATGAAGTTGAAGTAAAGTTCGTGGATTTGGTACTTGCAACTAGTGCATCGCAGCACATTTGCCAGCGAACACGCATAACGCCACGCTCAACCCCTCCTGTCTCGACCTGATGTTAACGAGCCACGAACGAGTGCGTGAGGTTCGAATCCTGGAGCCCCTGGCTACAAACGACCGCTCAGTGCTCATAGCTGATATGGAATTATCTTTGCCGTATTCACGTCCACTGGAACCAGCTTACAACTACTGTAAAACGGACTTCGACGGTCTGGCTCGAGCCGCAAGCCAACTGGGTTGGTCTCTGTCACAGGTTGCATCTGTGGAAGACTGTTGGACATTTATAAAAGAGAGGTTGACATCATTGTGTTCTCAATTTGTGCCCTTGAAATGTCGGAAGGTTGGGCCGATTAAGCCTCATTGGTTTGACAAGGAGTATGGAAATCTGGCTCGGAGGCGGCGCAGACTGTGGGACAGATACCTCCTGTCTGGCTCTGCCAATGACTACGGAGAGTATAAAAGTCAGCGAAACCTCTGCAACAGTGCAAAAAGAAATAAGTGCCGTCATTTCGAAAAGCAGCTAGCAACCGCTACGAAGACCGCCCCAAAGAGAATCTTTGCTTACGTGAAGCGACGCCTGAAGCCCGCAGATGATGTGTCAGTGCTGGATGGCCTGGACAGACAATCACTAACCAGCACTGAGCGTGCGTCCGCGTTGGCTGCGCACTTCGCTTCTGTATTCGCAAACGACCAGGTGTCTGTTCCGAGTTCGACGTGTACCGTTTTTACCGAACTCGACAGTCTGGATTGCGACGTTGAAGTGGTATGTCAACTACTCGCCAGCCTTGATGGCACCAAACCTGCCGGACCTGATGGACTTCACCCACTGATTCTCAAGTCACTTTCGGCCATCATCTCTCCTGTTGTGACTGACCTTTTCAACAGGTCGCTATCCGAAGGTTCGTTGCCGATTGACTAGAAATGTTCGGTGGTGAAGCCTATTCCGAAAGGCGGCGACCCTAGCAAAGTAGACAACTACAGACCGAGTTGTCTGACACCTATTTTGGCAAAGGTTGCTGAGAAAATCGTAAAAAATGGGTTATTGCAGTTGCTACAGTCAAAAGAGGTCCTGACGCCCTCACAGCACGGTTTTATGCAAGACCGCTCATGCATTACAAACTTGCTTGTGACGAGGCATGAGTGGTTGAAGGCAATAAGCAAGGGGAAGTCTATCGACGTGATATTCATCGATTTCAGTAAAGCGTTCGACAAGGTCAGCCATGAGATTCTCCTTCACAAACTCAGGATGTGCGGTCCCGGTGGCTCACTACACCGGTGGATCCGCGACTTTCTTGTAGGACGAAAGTGGAGGGTACAGGTCGACGACCATCTAACTGACTGGTATCCCTCTACAGGTGGCGTGCCTCAAGGCACTGTGCTGGGACCTACTCTGTTCCTGATCCACATCAACGATCTACCTCAACTTCTCCGGTCACCGTGTGCTCTTTTTGCGGACGACATGCATATTTAGAGAGAAATTGACGCTCCCAACGACTGTGGCCTACTTCAGCAAGGCCTCAACCGCCTATCCACATGGTCTGCCGAGGTTAATCTCCCGGTCAACCCAGCCAAGTCTGTATTTATGAGCCTGGGAAAGGGTGCTGACGGCCGAACCTACACCCATGACGGCCAACCGCTATATCCCACACCCTCCGTGAATGACCTAGGTGTACTCTCGCGCTACGATTTGAAGCCCGTGGACAGCACGAACAGGCTATATCGTAACGGACTGCGTATGCTTTGGGCACTCAAACGTACCTTCGGCACGTGGTCTGAAGAGATTGCCACTCGCCTCTTCTCTTCCATCATTAGACCAATGCTAGAGTACTGTTCGCCCGCCTACTTACCGATTATCCGAGGCAAAGCACAAAAGATCGAGCGGGTCCAACACGTTGCTACCAGACTCATCCCGAATTTACGTGGCTTGGGTTATGAAGACCGGTGCGAGAAACTACGACTCTACACTTTGTCCTACCGTCGGGTGCAAGTCGACCTCATTATGACCTACCTTTACATCTCGGTGACCTCCCCACGCTGAGGCCAATGCTGCACTTACGAGGTCCATGCAGCACATGCGGACACATACAAACTTGTCGTGTCGGGTGTGAAGCAAGTTCCCCACCCACTGTGCTTCCAACCGAGAGTGGAGAGTGGGGACGAGCTGTCTTGAAAACTGACATACTCGAGCAAACGGAATACACAAAGATCAATAGGTCAATCAATCAATCACGTGAAAGGACATAGTCTAGTTGTGAACGACTATCATACATGAGTCCGTCTAACAGATGCCGATGTAGATATAACATATTAAAACATTGTGAGCATGCATTGCTGTCTTTTCGCACTCCATTTGCTCCTTTTCAGGTACCTGTGTTGTTGAACAGAATGTTTCATTTCAACAGGAACAAATCAATGAAGTCGCCAGTATGTACAGGGGAAATCACAGCCGAAGATGTATCGTCAAATTGATGCAGTTGCCATGGGCTCACCATTGGGACCCTTTCTAGCAGATGTCTTTATGGCAAAATTGGAGCATAACGTATTAAGAACGCACATAAACGAAGTCGAGATGTATATACGTTATGTAGACGACACATTTATACTCTGCAAATCGAAAGCGCAGACTGTGAAACTGTTGGAAGCTTTTAATGATGCGCATCAGAATCTACAATTCACATGTGAGCACGAATCCAGAAACCGACTACCGTTCCTGGACGTTGATATCATCAGAAACGCGGATGGATCGTGCAGCAGAGCGGTGTATAGAAAACCAACTTGGACTGGACAGTACATCAACTTCTACAGTGCGGTACCCATACAGTACAAACAAAATCTAGTCCGCACTCTTGCGTTCCGGGCACATAGAATTTGCACACCGGACACAATCACCAAAGAATTGCAGAGGATCGGCGACGCGCTAAGAGCGAATGGGTATCCAGATAAATTCATCCTCAGACATTTGAAAGAATGCAAGATAAAACCACCGAGGAGGAACGTACCCAAGAAAGAACTAATTATGCATATTCCTTTCAAAGGCGAAAGTGCGGCTGATGCCTTGTCCAAACGCCTGAAAGACGCTGTTGAAAAGACCTATTTCGCGGCTCGTCTAAGCATAGTATTTCACAACAAGCCTATATTCGCAAAACCTTTGAAAGACAGGCTACCTCCGGTGACTCGATCAATACTTGTTTATCTTTACTCGTGCTCCTGTGGTGCACGATACGTGGGTCGTACCACGAGGCGCCCATCTCATAGGATTCGCGAACACATCCCAAAGTGGTTTTACAAAGGCGAAGCGAGGTCCAGTAACAGTTCCATCTTGTCTCACCTTCTAGAGTGCAATCACTCAGGGACGGAAATGATTTTAGACTCATCTATACTGTTCCTGAACGTTTCTCGCGCGGATTCCGGAAGCATCTCCTGTCTATTGCGGAAGCTATCTACATCCGCCACCTCAAGCCAGAACTATGCGTACAAAAACAGTTTGTACGTCCTTTACTTCTACCGTGGCCTACAACTTCGGCTGTGATTTCCCCTGTGCATACTTGCCACTTTCAATGACCCCGTGATTTATTGACTTGTACCTATGTTGTTACTTGCACCAATAAAATCAACACAACGAGGTGCTACTTTGATACAGTGGATGGACATGGGGACTATATTCGAAGATTTTTTCATCTGGGGGGAAGAGTAATCACAATCAAACGCCCGAGCGGTGCTTTTCACACCTTCGAAGAGGAGAGCGGGATTGACGGATTGCACGCGTATTGCTTGTCCACTATTCGTCAATGAGCTGAGGCATCAGTGTATGGTTTAGGTCTGTCATAAGATCGCTATCTCCACAGAACATCTGCCAGCAAATTTGAGTTAGTCATATTGATTCAGGTGAGAGTTCACATACATTCATATAAGCTCTTAAAAGTATAATGTCTACCGTCAGCTCCCAGTACGATTAGTCATTTGATACAACTCATTGCTTCATGAAGTTAGGCGATCCGTCAAATCTCGTACGTCCATAAAAACTGCTCAGCTGATCGGGTGTGGTTTGGAGCCCAATTACTTGCTATGGCTGCACCAACAAGGGCAACATACTGGTCATCCGAATTGTTCCCCCTCATTCCACTTTGGCGCTACTACCATACCACTGTGTTTGCAGTAGACGCAGTAGCTTATGCACAAATTTTTAGCGTTCTCATGGATATAACCCTCCGGTCGCACTCGAGGTGTTCAAAACGTACATCCTCTGTGCTTCCGGATAGCACGATAAGCGAGAGCCACCTCTACTTATCGGGGCACACTACCAAGACTGACCGGTACACCACAGCGTCAGTTGGCTGAGAACATCTGAGGAGTTTGTGGGTGTTAGACCAGTATCCAAAACGCATTCGCACTTATAGCAGCTTAATCTCGGCGACACGCTCACTGAGCATGCCACAGTGACCACCGACCACTAAATGGTCACACCAGTGGTAGAACTCGAGAACATCCATCATCCAAGATGCCTTCCTGTGCTCCCACCCCACAGCTCTCTGTAATGGAGTACCTATCGTTGTCTGCTTCCTGATATCACTGATGGTGGCCTTGAGGACTTTTAGTTGAAGTCGTATCAATCGTGCTTTAAATGCGACAACTGAGTATACCTTGACACCCCTGTGGCTCCGGTGCTCTTCAATGTGCCTAGTTTCTGACATTTTCAAATAAGCCATGGGGATAGTTTAAACCACAATGATGACTGTCACGTGCCGCTAGTCATGTAAACAGCATTTTCTTTCTTGGACTCGAAATATATAGCAAATGACTGACTTTTTCTTTAGCGCATTTTCTACTCGTGAAACTCATTGAACTTCGGATTGCAGTATTTACCATCATGTTATTTTCGTTCCTTAGACGCGTCTAACCTGCGAGCGATCTGTTACACCGTCTGGTCATCCAGACTATACTTAGTTGTACCACCCGAAGCAAACAACGTCGGTCACCGGGTCCTTGTTCGGCTTAAAATCACTAGTCTCAGAGTTGGTCGTGATAGAAGCTTATGGTGCCTAGGATAAACATGACCAAGAGCCCATCTTAGTAACTTTTCGCCTTCAAAACACTGTCACCCTGAGTTCCGTGTGTCACTTGTTTTCCTCCTCACCACTGAGTGCAGTATCCAACACTCGAGTGATAGCATCCGACTCCGTAATTGCCCGTCCGATTAACTGCAAACAGCTGCATTGCTCCTGTGCCTGAAGAGAGAACGTGGATTGTTTGCGCTGCACAACATCACACACCCTTTCATGCCCGAAGTAATGAGCCCGAGGCATACAAGATGTAACAACAATTGCTTCGGAGTTGACCAGCACCTCGTCGTCACGCATAGCCTGCAACTGGGCGGGCGAATCCACCTAAGTGTCCCGCGTTAGGTAAACCTCAGATGTTGTCTGCTCGCAACATTGCACTGCACGACCACTTCCGTAGTTGTTTGCACTCGTCAGGCAGAGACAACAATGTTGCGACTCAAACCCAGGACCTTGGGGGATATCCGTCAAAATCTCTAACCCTAAACCACCGAGTCGCGGCGGTCAAGACTTATCACAATCGTAAATGATTTGTGGGAGAAGTCATTTTGCAGCATGCGCTGTGTGAATGGATTGCGACGCGCTATCTGGATCTGGACTACGTTTCGCTGCTTCAGATACAGTCCACTTGACGAATCGACCAACCGCGGTCCCGACTGAGATTGCGTGTCGTAATTCATTCACACAACGAACACTTCAAAATGACCCCTCTAATTTCTCGCCTCCATTTCACTGCCCGGTGGTTGTCGCTGCACTATAAGAGCATGCACACAATGAACAACTGACTCACTTACAGACAACTGCGAATGCGAACCATGCATACCTGATCTGAACAAGACGAGGTTGGGTAGTGGATTGTTCCATGCTGAGACAAGTCTTTGATCCTGTCCCTGCCACCAAGGCCGTGCGCCCCAATCACTGCCCCAAAACGATTAGCAGCATCCCGGAGGCAGTGGTTAAGCTGACGGTATCGCACGAGCAGGAACCTCGGTAGCAGCTTCCCTACCAGCAACAACCTGACACACACACACACACACACACAGTATTCAGCTTCCACATGTTCATTCATCGCCTGCGCATGACCCAGCTGTGTCGACGAGACAGTCTGTGGGCCTCAGGTCCAATGCGAACACCCATTCGTCCGGCCTGGCCATTGTGCTTACACATTCTCAATTGAAAATGCGAAGAGTATGCGATTCGGCCATACGGATCTGAAACCAGGTCAGACGTCATTGTATGTCTAGGCTATTTTTAAAAACAACACCCTAATTTCCCCTTAAAAGGGTGTCAGTCATTTCGCTATGGTCTTCCCTTTGACTGTGGGCAGCCATGGTCGCTCTTTATGCGTCAGCAGCTAAAAACAAGCAACTAACAATTCGTCTCTTGTAAATGTGTCTATGTTCAGTCTGGTATTAGATTTTCACTGCAACAATATACCATAAAATTCTCAATTTGATTATCCTAAATGAAGCCACTCTTTTCTATTCGTTCAGCTGCATTCCGCTTACTTGAGCCACTTTCTTCTTAACAAATTTACGGGATTGCACATTTTTTATCACATTCTCTCTCGTACACTACGATCCAGCTTTCCAGGATTACTTGCGAACGCAGGCGGGGAACACCGTATCAGTCAACTTGATTATATGCACGGTTGATTACTTGCTTCGCCTGCAAGAGTCCATCATGGATTTCTATTGGCACTATTCAAACAAAGAGACAATCGACGCATCTGGCAAAAACAGCTTTGTCCGAGCAATTAAGATTGGCAAGCAGGTATTCCGCAGTCTAACTGAGTACATCCAGGTGAGTGTCGTACTTTGTATGACTGACGATCGCTTACACATTACGTTCCCTACTCGGCACATCTTCAGTAGAAATACGGTATTCTGGTTTTTAAACACAACTTATCACTCGAGCCTCGCGTGTGCTCGTGAGCTTTTATTCCTGCTTGGGATATGTTTTTGATTCAATTGGTGAGCTTCTGCATGCAACTGCCAGGAAATTGCCCTCCGGGTTCACCTTCCTGCCGTCGGTAGATTCGAAGGAATGGAGCCACTATATTCATTCTCTTTACAGATCTATATCCCCATATCCACGAGCGACATCTCTTTCTATTTCATTATCTTCACAGGGTCCTTGTGTGGGGAACCAACTTGCCCTTGCTCATAGCCGCTTATGGGATGCCGTCGGGGGGTTCATCTATGTTTCGGCTCAAATGCAGGATAAGCTGAGCAAAGATCCCGACCAACTAGAGTTGCTTCGTGAGTTTCTAAACCTACAAAAGGAGCTTATGATCATGTTGCTCTCCATGCTGGAGGGGAACGTCGTGAATGGACCCATTGCTCGTCAGATGGTCGATACGTTGGCAGAAAATTCGGCCCATGTCGAGGTAAGCCGACTGATGTTTCATTAGTCAACATAGAAGTCTCAAATCACAGGTCGATGTGTATGCTGATTAACTGCTAATGTGTACGATCTATGGGTTAGACTTTCTGATTGACTATTGTCCTGCTTCTTCTATATTGACGGGTGGGTATGAAGAATAGGTTCTTTGGTATATGAAACAGTCGTCCATTGCTCTTTCGATGCCAATACGTGCCACAATTCTCCACTTCACTTCTCCCCATGTTTTCGTAATGAACACGGTGTTAGTTAGTCAATTGCAACAATAAGCCGGTTGTCTTCCCATCCTAGAATTCCTTGCAGCTACGACTACGGACGAAAGACCAGTTTTTGTGATGAGCTTCATATCATCCCAAATGTGATGAGGACGCTCTCCACTTAATAGACAATAAGCACGAAATCGTTAGCTTAGAGTATTAGCAAGAACACAGGGCCGAAAGACAAAAGGTTATTCATTCATTATTCATGTTCAGACCAGTGCCCGCGAATTCTAGGCTGAATTAATCAGTTAGTGCAAGTCATGCAATCCAGGTGCCAGTAGGTAGTGCGCGCCGCTCTCGGCGACCAAACCATGGGCATCGCAAATCTGCCGTCGGAGACTTTATCCTTTGATAAATGTATTGATCAACTCAATGTGTTGTTGAAGCCGAGCACCTGTTGCCTCATCTGTCGTGATGACGTTATAATACAAGGATTTCAATCCAGGTATATGGGCTCTGAAAACGATACTGAAACTGCCTGTGAAGTCAGTCTGGCGTGCATTTTCAACTCGGTGGGCCGGTGCTAGCAAACCTTGGCCCATGCGGCTTACGCTGCTGAACACTTTTGGATTCTCTCCTAAATTGATTCAGTATCTAAGTCGTCGTTTTTCATCTCAAACTGTCATCTGAATACCGGACACAACGTATGGATCCCAACTGCATAAACAGTTTCACTGCTTGGATTCAGTATATTAACCAGGTTAATGCGGAACACACTAGAGAAATCAACCAAAGAACAAGATATTAACTGGTCAAATATATCAGATTATATACGCACGCTTAGGCAGTTTAAACTTATGAATGAACTGCGATCTTTTTGTTCATTGTGGAATTCCCCTTATAGAAAGTAACGCTTGACTAGAAAAAATACAAAAGAGACGTTACAACTGAAGGCCTCTGAATTGATCGGTCATGTGCGAAACTGGGCTGTATGCTAGCCCATCATGAAATTGCAAACCAATACATGAATCATCCAAGTGATCTTACAAACAGTTACTTGTGACCACGTGAAAGAACCAGCTGCATTACCACCTCCATGGATCTCCGTTCCCCTTGGTGTATGATCGTTCCCGGCATGCATTCAGTTGCACAGAATTTGCGTGAGGTAATAAATGTACGAGGAGCATAGCCGTAATATTTGTAGCTTAGATAGTCTTCTGGTAGAGGGGGCGAACGGAAGTAGTTTGCGTAGCTCACTAAATGCTGTGTTGAACGCTGCGATGCGCATCCGTTCTCTCGCTGCATGCATACGACGGTAGTTTGCCGAAGACTGCTTCTTACGACGAGTTTGCCGGTGGGCCGCAACACAGGCACACATTGAGTTTGGTCTTGTATTGACATCGGTTCCCGTATCCGTTGTCTCTGAGTGTGGCCAGTTGATTCTAAGATATACATCATTGTTATCTTCATCTAGCATGTGGTCCCATGCTTGATGGGGCTGCATTAGCTGATTCGAAGTCATGATAAGATAGCTGCCCTCACCAGATACCTCTTGTTTCAGGGGTTCGGGAATAAAACCGCTGTATTCATTCCACTGGGAAAACCGATCCATCGCTCTTCCTGCATTGTAAATTTGCTTATCGCAGGAGGCCTTATTTATAGCATGGTCGCCTGCTCAGTCCCTGGCTTAGCCACACAATTAACGAACAGCGAATACAATCCTCAGGGACAAGGGATACTAGATAAGGTTGCCACTGGCATCAATTAATTGCCTCGTAACGGCAATTGCTGCTATGCCTTCAGGCATTGTGCTGCAGTGCGATATGTCCGAAACAGAGGCATGCAATTGGCGTTTGTTCCTCCTACTAAAGTGGCAAAAAGGAGCAAAACAAACCTGTCATGATATCTCAGTTTTCGGCTTCTGAAATTTTAGGACGGGTCCAGACAACTATAGACATAGCTAATTCTCCAACGAGATACGAATTTACTGAGCAACAACGTCCTAATTGTGCACCAATGACGCTTAGTAAACTTTTAAGGATGACGGCTTAGTCTCACATAGCTCCATGCTGAGCGGTTTCCCCACGACAAGTTCCCAGTGAAGCTGTTCAGCGCAGTCATCACTCTGACGATCAGATCTCACTCCTATGGGATGCACGCTGACTTTAAGTGTAACGCCAAAACATCACCATAATTTCATTCTGTTTGTCCCTCTCTACTACTCTGCACCGAGTTCGAGTCGAACAAGGCTGGTACTGAACTACTGCCACACATGGAAAGAAAACGGATGTCAGTGTCTGGAAAAGCTTTCAAGAAAGCGTCATCTCTGTAAGAATATTGCAACTAAATGAGCTGTAACTATCGGTACATCTAAATTTACTACATCTCATCATCACCATTATACACATTAGCTGCAGGTGGAAAACACCTCAGCTATTGTGCCGCAATACAAAGAACAAGAAGAAAAAATAGTGGCACGCCGGCTGAGTCCCCAGTAACGAATGGACATCGTTCCGGAGAGCTAACAGCCGGCTTTCGTGCCGCAAAATGTTATGTCTAAAGAATGAGATCGTGCTTGGAGGGTGAGGCTAAGCAGGAGGGGGATGGACAAATGAACTCAAAACATAAACGCCACTGGGGCCGGCTCCTAGCCATATCAGCAGGTGTGTCCAACCAAGCGAGTTCATCGTCCTTAGAACTCCAGCCAGGCAGTCAGGATGCACCAACCGACGCCAACTTCGAAGTGAGAGTTTGCAGCTCTCTCTCGACCGAATCATCACTTGGCCTCCCGTCCTCCTCCTTTTTCAACCGCACCCCCGACGCACAAACAATGCACCTCACGGAAGTCGGTGTGCTAGCATGCGCAACACGTGGTCCAGCCATCGGAGCCTGGTGTGTGATATAATGGTGCTGAGCGGTTCACTCACTCTTCCTGCACCAAATACGCGACGCCGAACACGCTCATTGCTCACGCGGTGCTCCCTCCAGACATGAGCTAAGCTGCGAAGGCAGCGATGATCAAATGTGACGAGCCTCTTTATATCTGTCGACCTGATGGGCCAGGTTTCACAACCATATAGGAGAGTTGAACGGACGGCTGTGTTACAAACTCTGTCCTTCAGGGCAAGAGTAATGTCGCGTCTGCGCCACAGGTGGCGGAGTTCGGCAAAAGCACCTCGAGCTTTTGCTATACAGTTCGTAATCTCATCTTCGATCCCTACGGATGCTAATATAGCTGCCCAGGTACTTGGATTCCTGAACGACTTCTAACAGATCACTACAAAGCGTTAGCGCAAGGGTGGGTACCTGCCAGTCTTGGAGAAGTACTTTGCATTTCGATAGAGCAAAGCATAGTCCAAAAGGATTGACAGCCAGTGCTAATCGGTCCAGTGCTGCTTGGCATGTTTGGGAGCTGTCACAGATTAGGGCAATATCGTCCGCGTACTCCAAGTCAAGAGGTCGCTCACCAGGAAGTAGCTCCACACCTTCTAGGTCGTGTCCAGCGAACGCTGTTTCCATGACTTCATCAATAGCGAAGTTAAAGAGGAAAGGTGACAGCGGGTAACCTTGTCTCACACCGCTGGTGATACTGAAAGGTGGCAACAGTTTGCCACAAACCCTCATTCTGCCCGAACTATGCGCGTAAAGCGCTTTGATAATGTTTACATATTTATCAGGCATACCTTTCCTCAGCAGACAGTCCCAAAAAGCACGTCGATCGACTGAGTCGAAGGCACCTTTTATGTCAAGAAACACGACAACGGTGGGTCGCCAATAAACATGGCGGTGCTCCAACAATTGACGCAAGGTGAAGACGTGGTCGATGCAGCCCCGACCTCGACGAAACACGGATTGCTCTTCACGAATCTGGCTTTCACGAGTGCCAGTCAGTCTGTGGAAAATGACAGACGCAAGCAGTTTAGAGGCAACTGAAATCAAACTGATCCCTCTATGCTTGCCGCATTCCGGACGGAAGTTTCCCTTGCAAATTGGGACAATGATGGGGCTGCTCTAGTATGTCGGGACAGTCTCCTGCTCCCAAAGTTTCATTAGCAACTCGTGTAAACCATCTAATAGAGCAGATCCTCCGAATTTGAGGAGGGCTGGGGGAATTCTGTCTGCCCCTGCGGCTGTTTGCAATATCAACAGCCTGGTCTCACGTTCGACCTCTGCGCGTGAGGGCAGATCCAAGGAGACGGCCCAAGGAGAAGGGCGCTCAATGCCCGAAAAAGAAACCGACAACTCTGGTTGGTTAAATTGCCTTGCAAAGTGTTCGGCCCAACGCTCCAAGCGTTTTGACAGGCTGTGGATCGGCTACCCACTCTCCTCGAGTATGGTCACGCTAACATCAGGTCTCCTGCTGCATGTTTCCCGTATCAGACGGAATAACTTACGATGACTACCAACGGCAGCGGCTGTTTCAGTCTTCGAGGCACGAGGAGACCACCAGGCTTTGCGGTCTTTCTTCAGGTTAGCACGTAGTTTTGCCCTGAGATTTTTGCGAGCCTCATTGTATTCACTTCCAGTCGGAATACATCGGCGAGCATCCATAAGTTCCAGAGACTGTGTTGAGATCCAATGTCCAGTTTGGCAATTTGATTTGCCACATGAAGACATGCCTGCTGATAATAACATTTGACGAATTTGCGACCAGTGGTCTTCGACGGTGTTTGGTGGGCGCTTACTCAGCCCGATGTCAGCGCACTTTGATACACGTTAGAACACCTAGCTTCGTCAGCTGGCTGGTGTCAATCCGTTCACATCGATGTTGAGGACGTCCACCGAAACGCACCCGGAGGTCGGCGCAGACAAGTGCGTGGTCAGAGTCCACGCTCGTGCTCCAAATCGAGCGACAGTTTTGGACACAGCCTCTTCAGCGCTAACTGATCTTGATGATCGATTTGCGTCCAGGGCTGGCCCGAGGCTGGTGGCCGCCAAGTCACGCTCCTGCGAGTGCTGTGTCGAAAGTTTGTGCTCGCAAGAAAGATACGAACATATTCACACAGCTGTAACAATCGCTCACCGTCATCATTACAGGAGCCTACACAATGTTGGCCGCTTAAATGAAGCTCATCAGAGGACAATTCTCCGACTTGGGCGTTTAGATCGCCAGCCAACAGCACAGTATCCGTGCTTCTTCTGTAACCAAGGAGATCGTGAAGTTGCTGATAGCAATCATCCTTTACCGAATCAGTGCTACAGTTTGTAGGGGCGTAGGCCGCAATAACAAACAAGCACCGTTTGTCCCCGCGCGACTTCGTAGCAAGGAACGAACCAGCTAATCTAACGACGCACATCCTACTGTTTACTTGGATCCAATCAATCAGGGCAGTTTCAGCCCGGGGACTCAAAACAATGCCGACACCAGCTTGATCGGCATTTGAAGCTGCATCATCGACAGACAGGCGCAATGAGAATGTGCCGCCAGTGTCGCATGTGGGGGATCTCAGGGTAAGCACGGAGCTCGAATCTTGCAGGCGGATTTCTGATAAACAGCAAATATCGATGGATAGGGTCTCTAGTGTGCGGGCAAGTGCTGCCTGTGGGCCAATCTGCAGCAAAGTGCGCACGATGAGGCATGCCAGTCTTAGCGAGACGCGAGGACTCCAAAGGGAAACGGATGAACTGACGTTGTCCGCTTGGTTGAACATGGACTTGTCAACTGGATTGGAGCGAGGCCCTGGGATTGTGTGTGGTTTGAAATTAGAAAACAAGCGACCACTGAATTAAGCTGGGGGAAGGCCAAGAATTGGGGGATTGAAAATGGGAGGATATAAGTAAAGTTGGAGCGGGACGATAAGGATGAAGAAGCGCAAGAAGGGGTATAAGAAGACGGGAAGGCCTGAGCAGTAGCATCCATACTCCTATCCACCCTGCTCGATGCAGCAGATAGGGCACCATTGATTATCCTCTGCGACGGCCAGAGCATCAAGAAATTGTTAGAGGGAAGATTCATTGTATTGCGTGGCCAGAATACTGTCAGGTTGCCCAGGCCTAGACAGGAGAACGATTAGGGTCCTCAACCAAAGTCCTAGGTTCAAAAACCTTACCATAAGGCAGTGAGGTTTTGGCGTTGGGCTACATGGAGTCCGTTTTAAGGAATAAGATGCCACCTTCATTCCAACTCCTAATCTGGAGGACCAGGAGGCTGATTTTGTCTGGCCTTCGACCATTGACCAATCTGGTGTGAGTGGCTCGGAAGATGCAAAAAGCACCGCCCAGCGTAGCTCAGTAGATATCTGAGGCACGCAAACCATCGCACCACGGTAAGGTCCAGCCTCATTGCGATGGATTTACCACATCTGGATTCAGTCAGATAGTCAGCTCATGTCCGGAAAAGCACCGGACAACCATTTATCATTTTGGAAGCCATCAGCAATGCAAGTCACATCTGACCCTCGTGTGTGGACTAAGGAGGGCAGTAAAGACCGGTATGACTAACGCTGCTCATTCTCTACTCATTTGCACGTTACTGCCGTGCAGAGGACAGGACAGCCCCTCTGCTTATAATGCCATAATTCAATTGGTGACTTTAAGTTTGGTAAATTCGTTACTGATGGCAGTTGAGACAGTAATCTCCAACGGACTTTGATTTACTAAACGTGTTCTAAACATTCCGATGTATGGAGACGAGTTAAACAACTCCACTGGCACTGCATTTTGCAACTTCCTCTGTTCTTCCGTAGAAAGTAGAAGTCACGAGTAAACTCCACACGGAAATCTGCCTCGACGGGGAATCGAACCCCGGTCCACGAATTTCCGGTCCGCTGCTCTACCACTGAGCTACCGAGGGCTGACGATTAGGCGCGGAATTTAATACATGACTTCTGCTTGATGCGCGACGTATTGCCAATGAGCTCACAGTAACTGTCCTGGTGTTGCAGATCGGCTCACTCACTCATCACTTCGCAGTAGACCGAAGTAACTGTCCTTCTGCAGTCCAAAGGGCGATGGTAGATTAGTTGAAGGATGTTTGTGAGTTCTGTTCTCTTGACGGAGCCCCGTCCACCGTCAACGCTACCGAATGGCGCCCCCTGGTCCTCGTTGATCTGTTAAGCGAAGGGTCACCTTAATAGCTAGTGCAACCGTGAACTATGCTTTTACTGGGCGTTGCATTCTTGGTTCAGGCCACGCGAATGACAGCTTTTATACTGTGGTGTCACATCATCGCCCGCATCAATGGTACTGTTACGGGCACGTCAAATATTCCCTCAAAAATGCGCCAGGAACCCCGGCAGAATGGCTGTGGAAAGCGAGGTTCAATTCCTCCCGACAACGCAGCAGCGCTCAGCCACTCCGAGACGCGGCCCAACTGCGCACCTTTTGACAATGGTCATTTGCAAACTACCACCGCTTCGTGGTGACTGTTTTCCCTAACTTAATAACCCAAAGCATTGGCTGTGATTCGCCCTTTGTTGGTCATAAAAGAGCCTTCAGAGAACCGCTTGCATTTCTTTCCTTTTCGCCTAACTTGGGAGTCGGTCGGGTCACGTGATTTTTGTGCGTCGTTAGCTGGCCAGCCTTCGCGTCTAAGTCACTATACTATTTTCCGGCCAACTTGTCCTCTTTGCGAACAGAAATAAACTGAGGGGGCATTCAACACGAGTCTACTCAATTAATTTGTTCCGCGCGTACGCCAGTCACTTGTGCAGGTATGTAGGTGTGCGTGTATAGCCCGTCGCCTTCAGCCAATTGGACCTCAGACGCACTAAGTCATAGGGGTGCAGGTGGGACGCTTCAGCTTCTACGTACGGAACTAATTAATTGAGAAGACTCATGTTGAATGCCCCCTCAGATTATTTCTGTTGCCCAAGAGGACAACTTGGCCGGGAAATGGTGTAGTGCGCGTCTACCTAACCCCCTCTTGTGTACGTCCGTTCCGAGGGCTCAGCGTCCACCCGAATACGTGCGGCTAGGATCGTTCTCACGCTCGCTCAAATTTCCGTCTCACCAGCGCGTGCCCCGGCTAAGCTAACGCCATCAGGTCAACGCAAGTCCGTTCGATTGGTCAGCGTTCCAGGCTGTTATCGTAGGCGTGCTCCAACCGTGCCAGAGACAATCTTATCAGGCGTGACGCAATCAGAACAGAGGCGGCGTTCCCTCAATTATAACAGGCATGTTCCGCACGAGACTGCGGATACGAACTGACCATAAGCATATACACTGATCGCATAAGTAACCTATGCGTTTCACCTCGATGTTCACATTATCTTCTTAGTAAATGCGTCTGGTCATATATGTGTGATCATTGCCACCGGGTGACTTGTTCTCACATCCTCAATTACGTTACAGATGATACTCAAATTCTTCGACATCTTCCTTCGCATGAAGACGATTACTACTTCGGACGCGTTTCTGGTGAGTGAAGAGCTGTTTATTTTGTCGGCTTGTTCAACCATCCAGCCAAATTAACCCGGTACCACTAGGAATTGACTCTCCTTTCACTGACGAGGAACTTGGCTGTGCGTCCAACTGAAAGTGGCCGTGCATCTGTGGGGGAACGGCACCATGCGATGGGACATGGAACGTTTTGGTTTCCCTCTTTGGAAGACTTCTTGATTAGGCCATTTGCTTAATAGCCACCCCACCAAAATCTGGGACCCCACTTACCGTGTCCGTTGGAATTTATATGGTATGACCCTATTGTGTGATGAACATAATAGTTGGAAAGCTGTTGAAATATCACAGAATCGTCGTCAGAATTCTTCAAAGTAGTGTTGCAGCGTTTCACTACGTAGTAAGGTCGATACACTGTTTCTCTCTTAACAGAGGCCAACGCAGGTCGCTAGAAAAAAATTCGTTAGAACGTGAGACAATGCAAAATTCATAGGATAGAGAGCTAGAAAATCGCGTCGTTTCATTCCAGTTACTGCATGCCATCGACTAGCAGAAGTACTGGGATTTGTGTCCAGTTGTGCATGTTATTACCGACGCTGTACTTTTCCACACACCACTACTCGCTCCCTCCCCCCGTTTCTTTGCCTTACGGCGTTCCGTAGGCCTTCGATGTGAACGGGGATGGATGGATTTCACACCGGGAATTCCGCGCGGCCCTGGAACAACAGAAGACCTACACCGCGTAAGTTGCCACTCTGTTCTACATTGGGGACCGGGGCAGCGACCTTAGCTGGTAATCAGTGGAAGACAGGCATCACGCCAGTAGCGAGGTATCACAGGTTCTGCTGACCAACTAAGCATCCGAGTGCGGTTAATCAAGTTACCTTGATACACGGCATAATAAGTAAAATGGTGGACAAATTAGAAACTACTACGAAAATTAGAAACTAACAGTCAGCCCAGAAAGTGACTGCACCGCACGGCGCCGTCGTGAACAGAAGAATTAATAGCAAGGCACTGCTTACTTCCCGACTGCGTCACGCCACGGATCCTACCCCGATATGACCTTACTTTGTCAACTAAGACGTCTACGGACGGCCGCACTCGCAACAGACTGATTAGCCCAGTGTTGATGCGGCGTGCAATTCATTCGATCGAACTGCGGACACGCCGAGCGAAGAAACCAGTGCTAGGGCTCTGGGACATCTCATGCGTCCCGTCACAACCAATGTCAATTCCCCCATTGCACATCTACGCTCCATGACATCTCACCAAGTCATGGGCAGTGGCTTGGGGGACATGTCTGTCACCGATCAGTGTTAACCAATGGGAAGTAAATATGAGCCAGGGTAACTGTCGCTGCTCCAAGCGGCCGTCGGACGAATCGATCACATGCCAGACAGCCGTTAACCAAAGCGAAGAGAAGCAGTTTGTGTGTCTAGCCAATGCTTTATGTCTTAGTCTTACTGGGATGGAGAACGCTGCCTGTCAGCCTCCTGACAGACGCACAGAATGCCTAACCAGCTCAACTTATCAGTGGTCCGATGTCGTCCTACCGTGGCCTTACGAGCGAACAGTTCCCAAGTCATGGATTTTATCAACCTACAAGCGTCGGTCGCTTGCGAAGTAGGTAGCTATTCGACCGCTGCGTGTAGATAGATATCGAGCAGCGATGGGGTTTTTGCAAAGCTTGAAAAGATACACAATCCAATGCTACAGAAAGCTCCGGTGAAGTTAAAATAAGCTATATGAACCCTAATGGTTCATTTTCAGCATTTGCACTACCACTGCAGGTATACTGCATGCCAATATCAATGTACTATACATAAGTAGGCAGAAAATGAAAGCAATGCACAACTGTCACTCCAACCAGCGCTCACGCAGCATGGTTATGACTTTCGTTGAGTCAACGTGCAAGAGGAAGTGCGCGGGGGGGGATAAAATTCTGAATTTCGAACACGTAGAAGATAAGCGTCTTTGAAGGGTCACTGTGAAGTGGATGAAATCGGTCAGTTATTATCTTATGGGGGCATTTATTACAATTAAATAATGTCTAGCCAAGCTGCTACACCTAGGAATCTGCTTTATTGAGCATACTAATGAGATGTTGCCTTTCTGAAGCGGTCCAGAAAAGATGACAGCGGAGCAGTGTAACAAATGCATAATGTCCCAAACCTGAAGTACGAGGCAGCGAAAACACCTTAAGTCTGAGGGCATACAATGGACATGTGGAAAGTTTCACTGAACTGCGTGGACCAAGTGAGGTTTTGGAATACCGAGATACTTGACCGTGGATGATCTGGGTATGGGATTTTCATTCCCAGTTAGGGTGCGGGAGATATCTGTGAGGGACTGCAGCTTATGGCCACGAGGAAAGGAGAATATTACGCCACTACATTTAGAAGCGCTAAGAATAAGGATCTGGATGAAGACAACTCCAGTAAATCTTCTAATCAAAGTTGAAGTGATCGGGTCTCTTGAATGCATCCTGTGAATGTATTTTGTGCAGGAAGACGTTCAACATAAGGAACATAGTGAAAGTGATCGCTCCCAGCAGAACACCCCAGTCGACACGGAGGATAGAGGACGTCTTACCATTTAACTTGGTGGAGTGAGTACAACGCGTAAAATATTCACGCAACCGATTACACACACACACCCGGGTGAACTACATTCTCGGATAATAAGTTGAACGACATTGACTTATCTAGCATTCCAAAGACAGTGGAATAATCACGAAAAGAAGTCGTACAGATTCACATTTTTGTTCTAATGCAGAGACTATAGACTGAACAAGATGCATGCAATGAAGAGCGCTGGGATCTATACACCGATTGGTAGATATCGTCTGCAGGAGTGGTTGTGAAAATCCGCGGAATTAGCGGTGTTTCATAGGTCTTTGGAAACACTGAAGTGCACACAATCGGATGATACATTTGAGATCCATTTTCGGGTACTGGGATTATTCCGGCCGATCTCCAAACGTCTGGGATCCCACCCATAGTGAAACACTTGTTAAAGAGGTCTGTGAAAGGTAGTGCGAGAGAATCAGCACACCGTTTCAAGGCTAATGGTGAGAGAGCATCCGGACCACTTGGTTTGATTAACTTTACTCTCTTGATTTCCTTGTGTATGTTGCTTTGATCGAAGGGCGCAGCTGGACTTGAGGTAGTGAAGGTGGGCAATGGGGATGCGTTTGGTGAGGCGGAACTAAACTCAGAATTCGGTTTATCCACATCCACTACACCGCTCTGGTTGCGGACGCTGTTACCACAGAGCTACCTCAAAAGCCTCGATAGATCACGGCAGTTATGGTTGCCTAGAGCGGCTTCTATGTAAAAGTTGCTTAGCCTCTTTATATCAGATGTACTTGCTGAAGTTAGGCTCCTGATACGAGTAGACATCTTACATTTATGAGCTCACTTCGTTCTTCGGACTCTCTTCAGCTTTGTTGATGAAAATCTACCCGCCCTTAGGTGAATCGTTTAAACAGGACGACACATGTCAACGCAATATTTGATGCACTCTGTGTGATAGTCACACCGAAGTGGCAGGCTTTCGTTGTTGAAGGCTGAAAAATCATTTCAGGAAAATATGGACTGAAGCCTTGTGATATTTTCAACGGAGCAATTTTGCCCTTTTATGGTCCTGCAAGGGCATCTAGTCAGCATAACAAACTCAGCTCTATTGTATATGATTGCACGAAATTTTAAAGCACAATGATCTGAGCTCTTCATATGAACCACCCGTTTTTGTATGGGAAGCAATCGCACTTTGTTTATGCACATTGCATCCAATAGTGTTTTGTCTGATCGAACAGCTCACTAGGTTTACCAAGCCAAGTGTCCTCAAGAATGTTGTATCCTTTCTATTAAAGTTGCCAACAACGGTACAGATAGAACGATATAACTTAAGCAATAGTATTGAAGAAACTTGGTTCTCAAAAAGCTTCGAATCTGACGTAGATGCGACAGTAGCAATGTAGACGATTCCAGTGATGGCCGATTGAAAGTCACTTAAGAACTTCAGTTTGCATTCAATTAAGTGACAACTTATAGAAGTCGTTAAGTAGTACGGTTGCTGAACTGCACCAACGTTGATTAACGTAGTTCATAACGCCGCCACCACGAGGCTGGGGATTTCTAGAGCGGTCAGACCTGATGGGAAAATAACTATCAAGTTGTGCATTTCCATTTTCCACATCAATATGTAACTCATTACATCACATCATTATACACGCCAGCTAGAGGTGGGAAAAACACCTCCGCTATTGTGCCGCAATACATGAAGGAAATACATACATACATATAATACAATACACAAAGGAACAATAGATACAACAGTTGCATGCCAGCTGAGCTACCAGCAACGGATAGGCATCGTTCCGGTAAGCTACCAGCCAGCTACTAGGCAAAAAGAAAAAAAATTATTATGTTTTACCCTACGAAATGAGATCGTAGATGGAGGGGGAGGCTAAAAGGGATGGGGAGGGACAAAGAAACTCACAGCAGGAACGCCACTGAGGTCGGCTCCTTGCCATGTCAGCAAGTGTATCCAGCCAAACGTGTTCACTGTCTTTTGGACCCCAACCAGGGAGCCGTGACGCTCCAACCGAGGCTAGCTCCGAAGTGAGGGACTTCATTCCCCTGGACCAAGTCATCGCTTGGCCACCTCTCCTCTTCTTCCACCCACATCCCCGGTGAGCAAACAACACACGTCGAGGGAGTCGGTGGGCTGGCATGCGTAACACGTGGCCGAGCCATCGGAGCCTGGTGCGTGAAATAACGGTGCTGAGCGGTTCAGATCCTTTTCCTGGGCCGTAAACAATGCGTCGAACAAGCTCGTTACTCACGCGGTGTTCCCACCAGATGTGAGCCAAACTGCGAAGGCACCGATGGTCGAACGTAACTAGCCTCTTCATGTCCGCCGATCTTAGGGGCCAGGTTTCGCAACCGTACAGTAAGGTCGAACGTACCGCTGCATTGTACACTCTACCCTTCAGGGCGAGAGTGATGTCGCGCCGCCGCCATAGGTGGCGAAGGTTAGCAAAAGCACTTCGAGCTTTCGCTATACGGTTCGTGATCTCGTCTTCGATCCCAAGGGCGCTGATACAACTTCCCAGGTAATTGAATTTCTGAACGACTTCTAGCTGATCCCCACCAAGGGTCAGCGCAGGAGGCGATCCCTGCCAATCTTGGAGGAAAGCTTTGCACTTCGATGGTGCAAAGCAAAGCCCGAAGCGGCTGACAGCCAGTGCTAATCTGTCCAGCGCGGCTTGGCACGTCTGGGAGCTGTCACAGATGAGGGCAATGTCGTCTGCATACTCTAAGTCAAGAAGTCGTTCTTCTGGGAGTAGCTCCACACCTTCCAAGTCGCGTCCTGTAAATGCAAACTCCATGGCTTCGTCAATAGCGAAGTTGAAGAGGAAAGGTGACAGCGAGCATCCTTGTCTCACACCGCTGGAGATATTGAAGGGTGGCGACAGCTTGCCGTAAGCCCTCACTCTGTCCGTGCTACGCGCATATAATGCTTGGATAATATTTACATATTTCTCGAGCACACCTTTCCTGAGTAAACAATTCCAAAGGGCACATCGATCAACCGAATCGAAGGCACCTTTGATGTCGAGGAACACGACTACGGTGGGCCGCCAATATGTGTGACGGTGCTCCAACAACTGACGCAAGGTGAAGATGTGGTCGATGCAGCCACGACCACGACGAAACCCGGCTTGCTCCTCAC